TGCCACTAGCATCAACTGATCGAAAAATAGCCGTTTTTGTCGATGTGAAAATGTTCAAAATTTTAAGTGATGAGAGAAGTGGTTATAACTTAGTTGAATTTACTTCGAAGTAACATTTTCCTGCAGCTAGGAAAGGTATAAAGATCGACAATACCACGTCTTAATGTTTTTTAAATACTTTTCATCCCGCATTTTCAATTGAATCGGCATTAAATTCAATGCAAGAAACCGTCAGTGTAAGTTTCGTTTTGGAACCGAAACCATTCTTATTATTCTGGGGTCGATTCTTAAGGTGAGAATATATAAAATGCTTTTTTGACTGGCTTCTTCGTAGAGAAACAAAGGAGTTTTAGGTTGACCTAGTTCGATTTTGGCCCTGCGCTTCTTTGTTGCCCTCCGATGAAGCCAGCCGATGACTTAAGCCAATTTTAAAGACGTTTTATGTATTCTCACCTTTAAAAAAAACTAAGAGCACGTTTTGACAAAGATATCTACTCTATTTCAAATGCCATTCCCATAGCGTAAACATCACAAAACACATCAATTGAGGACTACACAACAACTAGTAGCACCAAAAATATTTCCTTAAAATTAAGGGTGGGAATACATAAAACGCTTATTTGGCTGGCTTAAGCCATCGGCTGGCTTCTTCGGAAATGAACAAAGGAGCCTATGGCAAAATCGAACTAAGTTAACCTAGAACTCCTTTATTTCTCTACGAAGAAGCCTGTCTAAGATTTAAGCCGGCCAAATAAGCGCTACATGTATTCCAACCTTAAGTTTTTAAAATTTTCATTTTGAATGTTGAAGCCCAAATAAAGAAGAATACAATTCGTATTCCTGAGATAAGGAAAAATTACTATTTTTAAGAGCCAAGGAACGTCGAAAATGATAAATATCTTATTATTTTTGTAAAATATGCCAGTCGTCATACGTAAATATTTTAAATATGAAAAAGCACGATTTAGTTTAAAGAGTCTACCACACATCATGGTAGAAGAAAACAGGTAGTCGCATCGACACAGCTGCTGGGTCAATTAACGGTCACACCGATTTTGGAATTGAAAATATTGAATGAAAAATTATTTAAATTTGTAAAAATTTTTAAGGAATACAGAAACACATAAAAATCCACTCATTTTTTACAAAACATTTTAAAAATATGGACATATCAATGTTTTCAAGCGTAACGCACCCACCTGTATTCTTCTACCATGCCACTAATACAATACAATCAAAAGGTAAGGTAAAGCTGCCAGTTGGTTAAAATTTTTTTCTGAGTGTGTACGAATTCTACCAATTTTGTGTTTGAATTAAAAGGAAAAAATGAATACATTGCAAGACGCGCATTGAAGATATTAACCAGTTTTGTCAGGGAATTTCAAGATTGAACAGTTTGAGTCATATTTTTAAAAGAAAAAATCAGGCACTTCATCAATTTTTCGTGCTATTTAACTTATTTTAAAAATCAGAAAAAATGAAAAAAAGAAAACAGTTGCATCTAATTGCGGATATTTCCTCAGGGCTGTATTTCTGTTCTACCTCCTTATTGTACAATGCTACCACTATTCATGGTAGAAGAATAGAGGTAGATGCATCAACGCTTGGGAACATTGGTATGTCGAATAACTTTTAATGTTTTTTTTCAAATATAAGTAGATTTCTATATGTTTTCTTATACGACGTCATTCGGAGGTTATTATAATGCGCGTTTTTCAACAATTTTACAAATTTAAATAATTTTTCATTCAACATTTTCAATTCCAAAATTGGTTTGACAGTTGACATTGTCCCAGCAGCTGTCTCGATGCGTCTACCTATATTCTTCTACCACGCCACTATTGTTTTTTTTTCATTCATCGTAGAATTAAATTCTTCTTTCTTTGTAGAATTAATTTTGAAAATGTATCATAGGTGGAAACCTGTTTATTATGCAGAGAAATTTAACAATATAAATTACAAAAAATGCAGAGACGGGAATGTGTATTTGAAATTACTTTACCTTCTCAATTTTACCATGTACTTATCGAGAAAGCGCTTATTTTCGTCTCAATAAATACTTGTTTTAATAATTTGGACCTACTCTGCACTTTCTGTAAATAAACGTGAGGGCACATAAGCAGATTGAAGTCTTTGCATGGCATATTTTGTGAATTATCATAATATCCTCGAAACCTGCCGTCGTTTTCCCTTGTAATTTGACATTAACATGCCTAGCCATGATGCCAAGCTTCTTACGAGTATGTACCCCCACCTTTACCTTACCAAATTTGACTTCATTTAAAAAAGGTTCCCATCTCTGATTTGTGTACATACAATGAATTTATGAAATTACATTTTGACAATGAGATGTTAATTTTGAAAAAAAAATGTAAGCATTTAATTACAGGGGGTGACCTTTTTATTTCTACAATGGAAATGAACAATATTTCATGGTACAATGAAGAGAAGGTAGGTCAACTTTGAAAAAATTGCAAGTATAGAGGTCTACAATAAAAAATCAAACAACTTGTTGCATTTATTTTGAATAAATAATTGAAAACCGTGTTAACTAAATGAAAGGTCAACACTTTATTTCAAAATCATGTACTATATATCTTTAAAGGATTATTTCGCTACAAAAACTCTAGATTTTGTCGATGCATACGTTGAAATAAACATTTTGAAAACACCCGAAATTGAATGTTTTCTGAGCAATTTTTTTGTTATTGAAAAGAAAACACATACATAAACAAATAAAGATGACATATTAAGCCAAGAAAATAAAAAAAATGAAAATCATATGGTATCATAGCCCTACCTTGATATCATTTTACCATGCAATATTCTTTCTTTCTTTAACTGTTGTGGTTTTGTAGAACAGCAATTCTGTTATTGTTGGAATTTTGTCAGGAGATATAAATACTTACATTTCACTTGTTTTTTTATAAGGCACATTCAAGCACAAGCATGTTTAAATTGCAGGAATTTTAGAAAGTTATTTTGTTTCACATTCCACAATGCATCTTCGCAATGCCTGAAAATGCAGACACACACACACGTCTTTACCTACAAACATATCGATGAATTACAAAGTACATGCCAAGGTAGATCTGACATTGTGCATGGCCAGTTGTACAGGTTTAGACGTCGATTTCAGCCAGGTTAACTGAAGGTCTTTTCGTACATACATATCTACGTCGGTGTATGCACGCACTGATGATACCTTTCACATGGCTTTAACAATTATCCTTTTTACATATTGCCATCTTTAACCAGTCATTTGTTATGGTTAGCACAACTCCAGTTCGAAGTAATTGAATTGTAAAGATGATGTGGTTAGATGGCATTTCTCTAGATGTGAATGGTTGAAATATTTTTTTTGCGCAATTGAAAAATCATTCGTGACTGTAAAGTTTTTTTTTTCTTAAACAGAAACCGCCTAAAACTCCTTAAATAAACGTTATAGGCATCTCTGACAAAATAGGTCATTTACTACAAATAAGACACTTCCCCACAACAAATAGTTCTATGTTCTGCATCTATCCAAGAATCTTAGTTGTTAGGTCAGCAAGAGCTGTATCACCCAAAGTTATTTCACACAGGTCTGAATTTACATCGGAAACTTCGCCTCGAACAACATTTAGGTCCTGGTAAACCGTAAACGAGATATTGTGAACCAGTTTTTTGTTACTACCACATAATATGAGATTAACAATCATTGATTCAGCTGAAATTTGAATAAGCAAAGTCCCACATATTTTCTTCTCAGACAAACTAATGTGTAAACCCATCCTTCTCGGCAGTTTTCCATCAGAATTTTATTAGTTAGGCCGGTCCGTTAAAAATTCTGTTAAAATCTTTAAAATACCAAATGTAGACGTCATATTAGGGTCTAAACGCCGATGTGGACCTGCATAAGCCATTACAATATTCAAATGCGAAACTTGAAAAAAAACGGTGAATAATGTACCTAAAATCATCAATATAGGGAGGTACTATTATGTGAGGGTTATACCAAAATGTGGACCTGCACATACAATTTTTTGTCTTAGGCTGTAGTATTTATTACGATCTTCAAATACCAAATTTGAAACAACTCCGGTGAATAATGTGGCTAAAAACATCAAAATACCGAATATCGGGAGGTACCGTTATGTGGGGGCTATACGAAGACGTGGACCTGCACAGACAATCTCCTGTCAAATATTGTAGTATCTATTACGAACTTCAAATACCAAATTTAAAACAATTCCGGTCAATAATGTGGCTAAAAACTTCAAAATACCGAATATCGGAAGGTACCGTTATATGGGGGCTATACAAAGACGCTGACCTGCACAGACAATCTCCTGTCATATACTGTAGTATCTATTATGAACTTCAAATACCAAATTTGAAACAATTCCGGTGAATAATGTGGCTAAAAACATCAAAATACTGAATATCGGGAGGTACCGTTATATGGGGGGCTATACCAAAACGTGGACCTACATGGCACATTTTCAATACCAAAAATCCTGCAGACATAATATATATTTGAGTAAAATTTTATCAATCTACTTCATTTCAGAAAATGTAATATCTTCAGAAAAAGGTCTTCTATAGACGGACGAAATTCGAAAGGGTTAAATAGTCTGAAAACCTTTTGAGAATATTCTAAATGAAATAGACCCTTTGCAGATAGAAAAAACTTTTCAATTTCTTCTGTATACATAAGATCTTTTACACGGCCTCTAGAGACAAAATATCTGTTAAGAACCTTTTATAGATAGGAACTCATCTGAAAATAATAGACCTTGGAGTGGTCTTCAATAAGAAAGATGCCTTCTGCAGTTCTTTTAAGTCTTTTATAGGTTGAATAATTTAAAAATATTCAAGCCATTTGAATGGTCTACGATAAGAAGAATACCTTCTTCAAATAATCATTATTTAAATGACAACACAAATGGTCACATACATTGTACTAGCTATATTTATTGTAAATAATTTCTTTTAATCAAATTGGAAAACCAAAAAAATTCTCAATGGAAATTATATTTCTACAGGTTTTATTGTTATATATCTAGATAATATGAATGCCACCAGTATGGAGGCACAAACAAAACAAAATGCAAACGTATAGAACGACTCTTCGGTAAAAATGTCCGTAAACGATGGTATATCACCGTAGATTTTCTCAATAACCGCTAATGTGCCGGTATGTTTGCTACGTTTCACCATGGCTGTGGATGACAGAGGGAGGTTTACTTTTTCTTTTGGATTTTCTTGCCAGCACCAGCAATCTTTTGTTTTTCAGCCTTTGTGAGCACCTTGCCGGTGTCTTCTTCTTCAGGTGCCGCCGTGGAAATGTGACGATTGCAAAGCTGTAAAATTTCCAAGGTATTTAGATTGGAACTTAGCAGGCGAACGTCTTTTACTTTGAGTTTTTCTGCAAAGGGAACAGAAATGCAGAGAAGAAGATTAAAATTTGTGGTTTTTTAGATATGGGGAAGTACGGTTTTTTGCTTTAGCTAGATTTTTAAAGTTAAGCTCAAAATAAAAAAAAATATTTTTAAATTAAATAAACCAAAAAGAAATCGGAAAGAGTATAAAATAAAAAATCCCCAAAAAATTATATTTTTGTATTCCTACTAGAGCCGGGTGCGTCTTCTATCTGAATTATACCTGGACCAAGCATCCATATCAGCCTCTGACAACACTAGAACAGTTACAAGATGAACTTAAAATTTAATGGAATAGTTGGTTCAAACAACAAATCTCAATGAATATTGAGTCTGTAACATACACTGAATTTGAAGTCGTCTAAAACATATATATGGGAAGAATATCTTCATAAATCTTACACAAGATATTATATAATTTTATTATATTATATTAAAAAAAAAAAATAATTATTGAGGCGGATTTTTAGACTATATGCGATTTTAGGGCCGTGACCCTGAACGATATCTATATCATTGACATATATTGAATCAGAATTTTCGGTATCATTATTAAAATGTGAGTTAAAACTATATCCTCGGCAATGTGTACTAAATTTGATAGAGCGTCCATACAAATAATTGTCAATATGGAACATTCGAACCATTTGAACTAAATAACTTTCCGCAAATTGTGCGATAGATGGGAAAAAACTTAAAATCTGGATGAGTCTGCAAATCGAAGCTGTATCCAAATCTGAATAAATTGATTGATATTCAATTTAACAGACTTTATTGTAATCAGATGGGCAATTCTTTGTCAATAGTTTATGCCGCCGACCTATTCTACGTCAATTATTCAAAAAGGTCATCCTCTGCATGGAATATTCTCGTATACCCAAAGGCATAAACAGTTCGCATAATTTTTTTTGAAATAATGGCCTGCAATTTCCCCCAAGCATAGTTGGCAAAAAGATCCATATTCCGTAAAACTGACAGAAAAAGTTAGTTTCATCGGGAGTTAAAAAAGATCACTTGGCCCTCGCTGCTAAAACCTCACTGTACAGGTTTTGGATTAGAACATGTTGGAATAGTTTCCCCCTGACAAAACAAACATAGCCTCTTTGAGAAAATATAGCCACCAACTTTCCATATACTGAAGAAGTTTACAACATTGTGTCCCTTTGACGTTTAATCTAACTTAGGCAAGCCTAGCATAAAATCACATGAAATATTATTAAATAAAACATATCGAATAAATTTACACTTACCTTGTGCTGATTCTATTAAAGAAAATTTAACTTCTGCTGGCTGACGATTGCAGACAATATCAGTTTTCACAACGCACTTGGGATTTGTTTGCACCACCCGGGGAGTAGATAACAGGAAAAGGAATTCTCTAGAAAACAGAAAAATATATTCATTAATTTCATTATACTCACACACAATATTTGTAAAAAAATGTAAAAGAAGCCTCACAAGACTATTTTTAGATCAAAGCCCAAAAAATTAATTGTTTGTTATTGTTTTCTTTTTTTTTCAGGTCATCTTCTTGTAGCTGTAAATTAGACACAAGATAAAGGCCCCGAAAGGCCTTCATTATCCATAACAACGATACGATGACCCCAACGCCAACAAAAATGTCCACAGAAAGAGAGCTGGCCAGTGGGCCAGCTCAACTGCATAACCTACCAATGACTTTTCCAGACTTGGGAGCTACTTTGGCTGTGGGAATTATCAGCAAAGTATATGGTAAGTAAATTATCCAAATTTTCTTATTGGAAATTGATTGCTTGAAAAATCTGCACTGCACCGTGTGTGTGTCCAATAGAACAGTCAAAAATCTTTTGACAAGTCTCTTTTATGTTAACATAAAAAGAAAATTCCATTTCCCCCATATGTCATCGATTTTTCCTTTTGGTTGGCGCATGCGTTTTTGTTTTTTTCGTAATTTCTTTCTATCGAATGGTGGAAAATCGGAAAATGCCAAAACACATCCTCCCACAACAAAAACACCAACAGCTAGAGTTGCTTACCTCGTTGACTTAACATTCTCGGCAAAGGGATCGAATGTAATTGTTACGCGATTAACACCTTTTAAATTGACTCGTTTCAATTCCTTGCCAATGGCCGACACAATACCCTGGGAACGTTTTAGGGCCCCACTATAATAGATGGACATTTTGCTATTTCTTTAATATTTTAATTTACAATTTTTTGGCGACACAAAAAACGTCTTGGCCAAACAATTACACAAGAGCGGTGAGAGAGCTAAGCTAGATTACGAAGTCAGTATGAAAAAATCGGCGCCGTTAAAATTGGAAACAAAGAATACTAAGTAGGGTGTATATCCAAGGGTGCATGTATAAATAACTAATAATTTAATTTTAGTTTTACTAAATTGTAACAAAGACATAGAAGTATAAAGATGGAACAAGACAGAGTCAAAATATTGTCACCAGGTGTGAATACCTCTGTTGTTACGATATGATAACAACATAACCATCAATGTTAAGTTGTTTTAACAGCAAATGCAATTTTTAATTAATTGAAAACGTCAATAGAATGCAATTTTGAGTCCAATTTTTTGGTTTACAGAAAATATTATTCGTAAAATTTCTCTGTAAATATGATTTTTATGCTAACATGTCACTGTTGTGAGCAGCACCCCTATATATTTTTCACATTAACCATTTTTTCATAATGCATTTTGTCCAGTCTTTACTATTTTAGGTCTTTGATTGTAATGTATTTAAGAGCCAAAAATAAGAGAAAGCATACAAATATGACGTTCTCTTTTGGTACTGTCTTCTATAAAAATTTGTACGAGGAAAAAATAATTGCAAGGTTGCAAGCTTCGGATTGGATGAAATCTTGATTTTCAAAATTTGTTTTGACACATATACTAGTTTTTAGTTTCCGTTCTTTTGGGCAAAGTAGTTTTCCAGAATTATTAACTGACTACGACATGTTTATTAACGGACTATGACATGTTGCTTACATGAAACAAATTGTCCTAAATCTGAGTTACATTTTAATAACATTTACTATGTAATGTCAACAAATGATCAAATTGTATGTAAATTATGGAGCAAAATAATCGAAAATTCTTAATAACCGAAGAAGGGGATAAATAAAAAAATATAACTTTTAAATTTTTATTCCTAATTTAATGATTTTTTCAATTGCCAGGATGCATACATCATGTAAGCCAATTTTGTCCTTCTGAAAAGTATTACATGAACTGCTTTGTCTTGTCTTTTGCAAATAATGGGCAAAGAAAATTTTGGGTAGTTAAGAAATTATTCACAAATTTTGCTGTAATAAGAAGAAACATTTTGAGCTTCAATAGCTACATTTCAAAAAATAGCTTCATTTGCTACATTTTTGTGTACTATTTTTAATTATGTGGAAGTAACACATTTGACAAATAGAAACTACCTTGACAAGTTAGTGGTTTGAAAGGATAAACTTCCATTCGTGGTACTACAAGTAAACCTTGGCACAATAAAGGTGAGAATACATAAAACGCTTTTTTGACTGGCTTAATCGGCTGGCATAGTTTGATTCTCCTCCTTGTAATTTTTTAAAGAGGACAGCTGATGACTTAAACCAGTCAAAAAGAGTTTTATGTATTCTCACCTTAATACGATGTAACACAAATTAGACGAAATGTCAAAATTTGTTAATGTTTTGTTTATATTTCGTAATATAATTATAAACACAAGAAGTGTTTTTACAACACATTTAATTGATGAGCTGCGGTAAATTCAGTACATCGAAAATATTAAGGAAGTGTTATCAAGGTTATTATTTCATGGTGATTGCCAGAGATTCCCATTTTCATTTCTGTGTAAACACCAACACCACACCGTACGTCGCAATTGGGTTGCGTTTTTTATTTTGATTGCAGAAGTTTGTCATATTTTCATAGCATTCATCTTTCGCATACCACATAAAATGAACGCAAATTTTACTGCTTTTCAATGTTGTCAGTAGTGGTTATATCGAACGTGAAAGAAAATTGTAAATTTTCAATTGAATTTTTGGATGTTTTACTGCACATGTAACGCAGTAATTTTACAATAAAAATAAATTGTAAAACTTCCTAAACGCCGTGCACATGAAAATCCAATGAAATTTACGAGATAAACCGTTGAAAATCGATCAAGTCGTGAACGGGCCAGCAAGAGGCAGCATTCTATTCACATACACACACACCACTTAAAGCCACACATAAAATACGACCACCTTTAGAAGAAGAAAAAACAAAACCCCAAAAAAAGGAATTCTAAACATCTTGGAGGAAAAGCATAACAATTTTACAAAATAACCAATTCCAAGCGATTTTCGACAATTACGAATAAGATTTTTTAAACAAGAAGAAAGATAAGCATTTACAAAAAAAGTGATTCTTAGTGTTAGATAATTATTTAAAATATTTTTTCAAAACAAAATATGCCAGAGCAGAGTGTGTAATAATAAGCAAAACAGATTTAACAGATATATAAGAAAAACGTGCCTAAAATTGTGTTCTTCATTTGCTGCTGTGTTTCAAATACAAGAAAAAATTAGAGAAATTCATTCTTCGAATAATTCTAAGTATTAGAATAACAACAACAAAAAGTTATTGTCATTTGTGTAAATGAAACCAAACGAAAAATCCCAACAACAAATCAATTCTCTACAAAAATAAATAAAGTGATACAACAGAAGGCTGATCCACCAATTCATTAATTTATCAAAACAACAACCAACAGGGAAACAACAACAAAGTCTTTTTTCTTTTTTTAATCCATCAGTATAAAAAAAAGATAACCAAATGTATCCCGTTGGACAACGTAAGTTTTTTTTTTTGTTTTTGTTGCTTAATTTTGGATTGATGCATAAGATGCTGAAGGAAACAAAAAGACAAAGCAATCAGTATTTTCCTGTGCCACCATCCCATCCATTCGTCAACGACGACGAGGAGAGTGGTCAATGTGTAAACGTCATAGGTCATACGCCTTTGCATAAGGGGGAATGAATGTTGGTTGTTTATGTGTGCGCGCGTGTACGTTTTCTTATTTATTGCATTTCATATGTGAAACTTGGCAGCACTTTTTTGCTGCATATATGAAGAGATGTATACCCAATGGTACAAGTGTGTTATTTGAGAAATGTTTTTGTTGCCACAGAAAATGATGTAAATGAACAACATTACTTTAGTTTTATGTCTGACCTGACGGTTGACTTGCAAAGTTTACACTTCTGCAGTAGAGTCGAAAAAACCACACTTTCTTGAAAATGTCTTTCTAGTGGAACAATACAAAATGCCATCAATGACGTAGTCCATGGAGCCTTGTTCATACTATTTAATAGGGTCTGAATCCATATGAACTGAATGACGATTAGATCAGGAAAAGAAAGGTTTAGAAGTGTCAAGAGAAGGATTCAACTATAATGGAAGATTCAAAGCTTTGGCGCGACTAAAAAAGATATATATCAAATTTTTCTTTCCATTTGGCATTTTTTGTATGCCAAGATGAGTTTAAGGACACATATATCCCATATTCGGGCGTGTGCTGACGAACCCTCAAAAACCACAAAGAGAAGCGAAAACAACAGCCTGATGTATTTCTAATGTCCGCCAGCCTAAGATATTTATTGTAGAATATTTAATTTAAATTCTACATTTTTTTTAATTTCATTGAATGAAAGCAACAAATGTCGGAAATAGCATCAAATTTTAGAATAAGTTTAGTTTTGTTCGAATTGGTCACCTTTGGCGAAGCAACGTTTAGCTCTTTTGAGTCTTTTTTGTATTTCAATGGCATTACCCCGAGCTCATTTTTCAATATTTGCCGGATGGAATATTGCGATATGTTCAGCTCACGAGCCATTTTTCGGCCACTGCGACCCGGGTTCCGATCAAGTCGCTTCTTTGCTTTTCAAACCAATTCTGCCGATGTTGCTGTTTCCTTCCGTCCACTTCCTTGACGTTCGGCTACGCTATCAGTATCACGGTAACGAGCGATGGTACGAGACACAAAAGATTTATTCACTTTTAAATGCTGGAGTGCTCTAACGATAGCTAATTGTGGGATTTTCAGCCAAATATAAAAAAATCACACTATCACGCTTGAATTCCATCACGAATAACTTTTGTATATTCCAAGTTCCAAGTCATTCTGTCAGTTCGCTGATTTCGCGTTCTTAACAGAATCATAGATTTCCTAATTAAGACTAATTAAAGAACGTAGATGCATGCGGTCCACTTTGGAATTTTGGGAGATTTAACCAATGTTAGCGAGACCTGTGCGAAAAGGGCTTACAGGACTGGAGTATGAAAATGATCCTCATGATTTTCTTTTTCTAAGAACCCCGAAATCCCATTGTGACAATCCATAGCTTATTTGACTGAATTTTGAATTTCTGTATGAAAACAAAGTGAAAGTTGTAAAGAAGGGTTATAAAGTTCTACGAAATTGTATTGCACAAGTTTTGAGCTGGTCTTTTTGTTTCCCCCTACATTTTTGGTTGTCTCTAGAATTAACCAAGGATTTCATAAATGTTTAACCATTAATCACCATATTTTTTCTCCATTCCCATATGCACCCACATGTCTAATCAACCATAACATATTGGGTTTTTTTTATGATTTTTATTTATTTTTGTTTTTTATTTTTTAATTGGTTATTGTTTTTATTTTTGTTTTGTTTTGTTTTTTTTTATTTTTTTTATTTTATAATTTTCTCATTTTATTTCTCAATTATAGAAACACAATGGACTACTCCCACGCACACAAGGCCTCAGAGCCCGTCTCAACAGCAGACTAGCTTCGATACACTCACATGTAAATTATCCAATTTGAATATCCTAATTTGTTTTGTTTTTCAAAATGAAAAATCAAAATTGTTAATAATTATTGTTGAAATCATTTGAGTTGTATCCTTAATAGAATGTTAACAAACAAAGGCTGGGACTACTTTGAAGGCAATATCAAATGGAAGTTAAAGACTACCACAGTATTCGCAGATTCGAATATTTTCATGAAAGGAAATTTAAAAAAAATGAAACGTTAAAATAAAAATTGATTTTTTTTTTTTTGGCCAGATCTTTTCATTTCAAATTTGAAAATCTTATGATATGGCTTTGAAATTAAAAATACGAATCAGAAAATAAAGTTTCCTTTGATATTGTCTGTCCAATTCCTGTTCAGCGCCACCTTTGATTTGTCTAGTCATTTCATTAACCCACTAATCAACGTTTTTTTTTTCTTTTTTGTTATTAGTTTTGTTGTTTTCGTTTTAAAATTCAAAGTTTTTCCTGTATAATACAACTAACCTAGCTGCTAACTAATCCATTCTTGCATTCGCAGACTTTGTAGTTAATCGTAGTTTAAATAATATTTACATCAAAAAATATTTTGAAAACTAATAGCTTTTCAGGGTTGTAGGAAGAAATGAATAATGAATGTGTGGCCAAACCAGCTTTTCCTTTTTGGTCACTGTGCTGATATTTTTAAGAACTTTCTTCCGAAATGCTGCAGCATTCCTTTTTACATTTCACATTCTTGTAACTATATAATATCTCGTAAGAGTATTCTCCCTATAGAAAACTCCGTAAGGGTCTTTCTAACAATAATTCTATATGTATAGAAGGCCTCACGATTCTCCCTATGGAGGGTGAGATAAAAAAACTGCAACAAAGCCAAACGCCATAATTTTTACATTTTTATTTTAAATTTAATGAGTTAAAGCCTTGCTTTCCAAAATACTTCGGACAAAATAGCCAAACGGATTGGTATCCGGAGATTTTGGTGACCTGTGGCACGAATTATGGCCTTTAAACGGCCAATGAAACTGTCACACGCTGCCCGAATGTTGCTCTGCGGTATTTTGGCCCATTTCCGGCGAAGCGCTTGCTTGCTGAGGTTATTGACACTTTGGTATTTTAGTGCCAACCTTGCTTTCTAAAATAATCCAGAAACAATAGTCCAACGGATTGGTATCCGGAGATTTCGGTGGCCATTGTCTGCTTGAAATGAAGCGATTTCGCGATAATATTCGGCATTTATTATGATGTCACGGTCGATTAATGCGGCGGAGAGCGACCATCGGCTGTTATGGCGGCCCACAACATCACCATGGCCGGCGCTTGAGTTCTGGTGCTTTTCAGCTGACCCTTCGGCAAGTAAACACGATCATTTAGTTTGTTTACAAACTGCTGGAAAACGAATGTTTTCTCATCGGAGAAAACCAAAATTTACTACTTTCGGCCAAGCGAAGCAACTCTTTAGCTCTTTAGAGTCTATTTTCTTTCTGTTGCGGTCCACTTTTTGGAATTTTAATGGCTTTACCCCGAGCTCATTTTTCAATATTCCGAATGGAACCCTTGCGATATGTTCAGCTCACCACGAGCCATTTTTCGGCCACTGCGACGCGGATTTCGATCAAGCCGCTTCCTTACTTTTCGAACCATTTCTGCTGATGTTGCTGTTTTCTTCCGTCCACTTCCTAGACGTCGGGCTACGCTACCAGTATCGAGCGGTACGGTAACGAGCGATGGTACGAGACACAAAATATTTATTTACAATTAAATGCTGGAGTGCTCTAACGATAGCCACTTATCACGCTTGAATTCCATCACGAATAACTCTTTTTCTGGAAAATTCTCACCAAAATGCTTTTGTACGCTTTTAAAGAATATAATGAGCTGTCACTGGAATAATTCTAACAGCTGTCGGACGAGTGGCTTAGAAATGATAGCAGTCTGAAGTTGGTTGTAGTTTTTTCAACCCACCCTGTATTTATAAAAGGTCTCACAAATCTCCTCATATCTATAACAGATGCCAAAAGAATCATCTGTTTATGGAAACCCTTAATACCCTTAATAACCCTTAAAGAGCCTACGAGGCTCTTATATTTATGAAAGAGCCCATGAGGACCTTTAATCGATAGAAGATCTCACTAGACTCTTCCATCTATAGAAGACACCATCTCCAGAGGACCCCATCTAAAGTATTCCGAACAAAGATCTAGATCTGATGAGGGTCTTTGGTTTACAAAACACCTTTAGGGTGTCTATATAAATGTTAAAAACATGCCATATCCTCTTGGGATTAATAGCTTCTCCTCCGAACGATTTGTAGTAGTTGTTGCATGTTATTCGTTTTTTTTTCATTAAATGTAGTTATCGTTTTAAGCTTATGTTCCACAATCTCTATATATTTGATAATGATATTAATTTAATTTTGCGTTCTTTCATTCTATTTTGTAGCACCACCAGCACCTGGTTCATCTGTGAATCCCACCGCTGTAACTAGCCCAAGTGCTTCTATTGTTGCTGTGGGTGGGGCCGTCGGTGGAGCCTCATCCACCCAGGCAGCTGTTGACTCGGCATTAGGTGCTTCATCGACTGTTACGCCAGCAACAGCTGCGGCGGCTGCCACTCCCACTCAACCTGAACTGCCTGTCTTTACATGTCCTCGCCGTCCGAATTTGGGCCGCGAAGGTCGGCCCATTGTACTGCGAGCCAATCATTTTCAAGTTAGCATGCCACGTGGCTATGTCCATCACTATGACATTAACATCCAGCCGGACAAGTGTCCACGCAAGGTGAATCGTGAAATTATCGAGACCATGGTATCGGCTTACGGTAAAATATTTGGTGTTATAAAACCTGTCTTTGATGGCCGCAACAACTTGTACACCCGTGATCCCCTGCCAATTGGTAATGATCGCTTGGAATTGGAGGTAACATTGCCGGGTGAGGGCAAAGATCGTATATTCCGTGTGACCATAAAATGGATGGCTCAAGTATCGTTATTCAATTTGGAAGAGGCTTTGGAAGGCCGAACACGACAAATACCATATGATGCCATTTTGGCATTGGATGTGGTCATGAGACATTTACCCAGTATGACATATACACCGGTGGGTAGAAGTTTCTTCAGCTCTCCGGATGGCTACTACCATCCACTTGGTGGTGGTCGTGAGGTATGGTTTGGTTTCCATCAAAGTGTCCGACCATCCCAATGGAAAATGATGCTAAACATTGATGGTACGTAAAACGAGACAAATATCCCCAAAAAACATAAAGTAATTATTTTTTCTTTTAAATTACAGTTTCGGCCACTGCTTTCTATAAATCCCAGCCAGTTATTGATTTCATGTGCGAGGTCCTTGATATCAGGGATATTAATGAGCAACGCAAACCCCTCACCGATTCGCAACGTGTCAAGTTTACAAAAGAAATCAAAGGTTTGAAAATCGAAATTACCCATTGTGGACAAATGCGACGCAAATATCGTGTCTGTAATGTCACAAGAAGGCCAGCTCAAATGCAATCGTAAGTTTATTCAAACAACATTCAATTCTGTGTACATTTTCTATCGTTTTCTTTGTTATCCTTAGATTCCCTCTACAACTTGAAAACGGCCAAACGGTCGAATGTACTGTGGCCAAGTATTTCCTCGATAAATATCGCATGAAACTACGTTTCCCCCATTTGCCATGTCTGCAGGTGGGCCAGGAACACAAACACACCTATTTGCCATTGGAAGTTTGTCACATTGTTGCCGGCCAGAGGTGTATTAAAAAACTCACCGACATGCAAACGTCAACGATGATCAAGGCAACCGCACGATCAGCTCCCGATCGTGAACGTGAAATCAATAATTTAGTTAAGAGAGCCGATTTCAATAACGATTCATATGTTCAGGAATTTGGTCTGACAATTTCTAACTCCATGATGGAAGTTAGAGGCCGTGTTTTGCCGCCACCCAAACTGCAATATGGCGGTCGCGTATCCAGCATGACGGGACAGGTTAGTATGGCCACATTTTAAACTCCAAACTATTGTTTATGTTTTCTTCATTCGTAGCAACTTTTCCCACCACAAAACAAGGTGTCCTTAGCTTCGCCCAATCAAGGTGTTTGGGATATGCGTGGCAAGCAATTCTTTACCGGTGTTGAGATCAGAGTTTGGGCCATTGCCTGTTTTGCTCCCCAACGTACCGTGAGAGAAGATGCTCTACGCAATTTTACCCAGCAATTGCAAAAGATATCTAATGATGCTGGTATGCCAATAATTGGACAACCATGTTTCTGTAAATATGCCACTGGACCGGATCAAGTGGAACCAATGTTTAAATACTTAAAACAATCATTTGCCAGTCTACAATTGGTGGTTGTGGTATTGCCGGGCAAGACACCAGTTTATGGTAGGTCTTTAACACCCCCCATCAATTCAATGGAATTTTAATCTTGATTTTCGTTTTAATTGCAGCTGAGGTAAAGCGTGTCGGTGATACCGTTTTGGGTATGGCAACACAATGCGTTCAGGCCAAGAATGTCAACAAAACGTCACCACAGACTTTGTCGAATCTTTGTCTCAAAATCAACGTTAAATTGGGTGGCATCAATTCCATTCTGGTACCCTCGATTCGGCCAAAGGTATTCAATGAACCCGTTATTTTCTTAGGCGCCGACGTCACCCATCCACCGGCTGGTGATAATAAGAAACCATCAATTGCCGCCGTCGTCGGTTCGATGGATGCCCATCCATCGCGTTATGCGGCCACAGTACGTGTCCAACAACATCGTCAAGAAATCATACAAGAACTTTCCAGTATGGTCCGTGAATTGCTGATAATGTTTTACAAATCGACTGGTGGCTATAAGCCACATCGTATCATTCTATATCGCGATGGTGTTTCCGAAGGACAGTTCCCCCATGTACTGCAACATGAATTGACAGCGATACGTGAGGCGTGCATTAAACTAGAGGCTGAATACCGTCCAGGTATTACATTTATTGTTGTACAAAAAAGACATCATACAAGACTATTTTGTGCTGAGAAGAAAGAGCAAAGTGGTAAATCGGGTAATATACCGGCGGGTACAACGGTCGATGTGGGCATAACACATCCAACCGAGTTTGATTTCTATTTGTGCAGCCATCAAGGTATTCAGGTAAGTGCGAGAAAAAAAAAAAAAAAAAACGTTTTTGACAACATTCTAAAATCCTTGCCTATTTTTTGTATGTTTCAGGGTACCAGTCGACCTTCTCATTATCATGTTCTATGGGATGACAATCACTTCGATTCTGATGAACTACAATGTCTAACATATCAATTGTGTCACACCTATGTCCGTTGTACCCGTTCTGTTTCTATACCAGCCCCAGCCTATTATGCTCATTTGGTAGCTTTCAGAGCAAGGTAAGATCATCTGAATGGGGGTTTTTGAGGAGATTCTAATGGTAGACCCAGTGGAATTCTATTAATAGTCCATTTGCACCTCTGAAAAGAGACTATAGATCTTCAATAAGAATAACCATTAGAAGAAACAGAAAAGGGACTTTTGACTTCTTATTATGAAATCCACTAAGGGTGGTTGAAATTCTGATCATGATAGACATTGAATTAATATTTTTTTATTTTTTTAGATATCATTTGGTTGAAAAGGAACACGATTCTGGTGAAGGTTCCCACCAAAGTGGCTGCTCTGAGGATCGTACACCTGGAGCAATGGCTAGGGCCATTACTGTACATGCAGATACCAAAAAGGTTATGTACTTTGCCTAAATTGATTTCACATATTCATTTTATTTTAAATTCTAAAGTAAGAGCTCCTCCCTTAGCAAAGCAAATGGTGGAGAGCAATAAAAAAACTCTCCAGTCTCTCTCCCCTTCTCAAATAAATACACCTATTACCCCCTCTTATGAAAGAACAAAATGCCAAAACCAAAAAATAAGAAACAAACTACGAACATTTTCCAATTACAAAATCTTCTATTAAGAAAAGAAAGCAAACAACTAGCAAAAGGAACACAAATCAAAGCATTTTTTTTTTTTTGGAAAAAGTTAACACAAAAACAATGTAACAATTATCAATCATGTGAGAGCAAAAAATGCAACTAATTGAAAAATATCTTCTTTCTTTTGGTGACATATGATATATACATATAGATAATAGTTAAACTTAAAAATTCATTTATTTTAATGAAACAAACAAACAAAAACATAGTAGGAAAAAATACAAAGAAACTATTTATAATTTCCCCTAGACTAAGTTTTATGTTTATTTTATAAAAAACAAAACAACTAGCTTTTAAAAGAATAAAAAATACGGAAAAATTGATAAGAAATTAAAAAAAATACGGATTTGCTGAATATTGACATAAAGTATACTTTAATGAAGGAGAAAATGGTTTTCATTGAATCTTGCAATTCTATGCAATATCTGGACTATCTAAACAATAAATTAAAAAAATGCACACACAGAACAATACATGTGAAAACATTTGACATAATTTAATGAAAAGGGATCAACATTATAATAAATATAATGAAAACGAAATGGCAAAACAAATCAATCTTGTAGGTTTAACTGTTGTTTTTGAAATTATAAAAATTGCCTTTCCCTTTAAATATCATTTTTATTACTTACAACCAAAGCTTTTATTTAGACAATTTTGTTTTTTTATTATATATTTTTTTAAAAATATATTTTTGGGACGAAAATTCCATTGCATCCATCATCCAGTAGGCCACCATCTAATATAAAGAGAATAAAACTAAAATCCAGAATCTTCACATAATATCAGGTTTGTGCAGGCGAGCCATCAGTTTTAGGATATTGTAAAGCTGTTTTCTTTTCAAAAGGAAAGACAACAAACAAAAAACAACAAATTTCCAAATGAAAAGTTTTTCCACTAGAACCTTTTTTCGATACAATTTTCTATTAAAAGCTTTCCCTTAGAAAAGATGTTAGTTAAAAAAGTTTTTCACAGAATGTTGTTCTATAACATCTTTTTCTTTAGGAAAGTTGTTCGATAACAAACTTTTCTTTAGGAGAGTTGTTTGATGGCAACCTTTTCTTTAGGAAAGTTGTTCGATGACAACCTTTTCCTTATGAAAGTTGTGCGATAACAAACTTTTCTTTACGAAAGTTGTTCGATGACAACTTTTCCTTTAGAAAAATTGTTCGATAACTACCTTTCCTTTGGAAAAATTGTTCGATAACAACCTTTTCTTTAGGAAAGATGTTCGATAACAACCTTTGTTTTAGAAATGTTTTTCGATAACAACCTTTTCTTTAGAAAAATTGTTCGACAACAACCTTTTCATTAGAAAAGCTGTTTGATAACCAACTTTTCTTTAGGAAAGTTATCGATAACAAGCTTTCCTTTAGAAATTTTGTTAGATAACAATCTTTTTTTAAGATAATAGCATTTTCTGCAAAAAATTTGTCCTATAATAGCGTTTTCTGCAGAAAAGTTATCCGATAATAGTATTTTCTATAGAAAAGTTGTCCGATAACAACATTTTCTGTAGAAAAGTTGTCCGATAACCACATTTTCTATAGAAAAGTAGTTCGATAACCACATTTTCTATAGAAAAGTAGTTCGATAACCACATTTTCTATAGAAAAGTAGTTCGATAACCACATTTTTAAATAGAAAAGTAGTTCGATAACCACATTTTCTATAGAAAAGTTGTCCGAAAATTGCTCACGTACAACCCTTAAAATAGCAAAGAACGATTGGTAACACTGCTGTTAGGCAAAAGTATTCGTTATGGAAAATATTTCTTATGCATATATAGTTTGTTCTTGAAGTGAAGATTGCACTCTAATTTGATTAAATGTCATAGTTATTCTTCAAACCTTTTCGAATCGTTGTCAAGTTATATTAAAACTCCTCACCCCAACCCTTTTGATTTCAAGCAACTTTCGTAATAGTTCTAAAGGCTTTTAAATGCTTTTTATTTAGTTCTAAGTGCCTGTACTAAAGAAAAAATACAAATATGTGATGGGAACCAAAATGTCGTTTTGAATTGTTATTAAATTGAAATTTTCTGGTTTCCATAGTATATAGTCTTTTGTCGATCCGTCTTAAAGCAACACAAAATATTCACTCAATAATTCACTAGTGCATATAACATATTACAAATATTTTATTTCTTCCACTTACCTTCCACACAATATGATCATCATTAGCATCATTATCCACAATGCCATATTCTTCTTGAAGTTCTTCTACTCAATAAAATACAATTTTTGTTATACAATGCCTCGTATTAGTATATGACACACATTGTTTTAAGTTAATCTATATATGTAAATTTAAGTTAAGCAAGGCAAACAATTTCTATAAAATATATACATGATATTTTTTTAATGGTGTACGGGTTCAATATCATTTTTATTTCAAATTTTATTAAAATATTCTCTCTATCTTTTTTTTTTTAATAACAATGATAATACAAATGAATGCAAGCTAATAGTGTATGTAATGCTAATTACAATTTAATTTTAATTATTTACCTAAGATAACACACACACCAACACAAAAATACAAAAAATAATTTAAAACTTAACAAAACAAAAGTAAACAAAAAGAAAAAACAAGGACACAGTTCAAGTTAACATTTGATTTTATTATTTTAAATAATATATATATTGTACTAAACAAAGAAAATAAACAAAATACATGTATTTATATGTTTTGAATATATGTCCTTTTTGTTGTTTTCAACTGAAACATGCATGTGCCTGTAGTATAAAAGGCAGACGACAAGCTCAATATTTGATGTTCAGAAGATTGAGAGTTATTCGCGGAAAATTTCGTAAAAAAATAAGAAAGAAGACCACCACTCCAAATGGGGTTTTCATAGTTTTGAATTACTTTGAGTAAAATTCAACAAAAATTGGAAAAACACACCCACCCATCCTGTATGAGTTTCATATACAGGGTGAGATAAAAAAACTGCAACAAAGTCAAACGCTATAAGTTTTACATTCGGAAATAGCATCAAATTTTTAGAATAAGTTAAGATATGTTCGAATCGGTCACCTTTGGCACGAATTTTGACCTTCAAACGGCCAATGAAAGCGTCACACGCTGCCCGAATGTATTTTGGTCCATTCCCGGTGAAGCGCTTGCTTGAGGTGATCGACACTTTGGTATTTTTTAGTGCAAACCTTGCTTTCCAAAATACTCCAGACACAATAGTCCAACGGATTGGTATCCTGAGATTTTGGTGGCCATTGTGTGCTGGAAATGAAGCGAGGAACCTAATTTTGTAACCATTCTTGGGTGGCGCGTGCTGAGTGCAATGCTGCTGAGTCCTGTTGGAATGTCCAAGGTCCGCGGCCAAAACGTTTGCGTGCCCAAGTCTTTAATATACCCTCCAGAATATTTTCGCGATAATATTCGGCATTTATTCTGTTGCCACGGTCGATTAATACAAGCGGAGCGGCTGTTATTGCGGTCCACACCATCCCCATGGCCGGCGCTTGAGTTCTGGTGGCCAACCGAAGGACAACGAATGTTTTCTCATCGGAGAAAACCAATTTCGGCCAAGCGAAGCAACTAAAGACTTTTAAGTCTATTTTCTTTTCGTTGCAGTGTAAGTTCTTGCATTTTTGGAATTTCAATGGCTTTACCCTGAGCTCATTTTTCATTAGAATATTGCGATATGTTCAGCTCACGAGCCATTTTTCGACCTCTGCGACGCGGGTTTCGATCAAGTCGCTTCGTTTTTTCCGTAAATTTCCTTGACGTCGGTCTACGCTACCACGGTAACGAGCGATAGTACCAGACACAAAAGATTTATTTACATTTAAATGCTGGAGTGCTCTAGCCATAGCCACAGCCACTTGTGGTTTTCCAGCCAAATACAAATAAATTTTTTTCTGGGGAATTCTCACCAAAATGCTTTGGTACGCTTGTAAACAATATAATTAGCTGTCACTGAAATAATTTTAACAGCTGTCGGACGAGTGGCTTAGAAATGACAGAAGTCTGAAGGTGGTTGCAGTTTTTTCATCTCACCCTGTATTTTTTTTTTTTTTTTTCAAAATCCTTGTAGGTAAAGGAATCCATGGATCTTCTAAAACCCGACTTCCACACTCTAGCAAATTATACAATTGTAGAGTTTTTGGAAAGGAATAATATTTTTGAGTAAAATTGAATCCTAAACAAGCCTATTCAAAATTAACAAAAATTGAGTGGTTCGATATTCTCGCCAAACTTAACAAATAAATAAATACTTGAGCAATTGTCACTACTTCGACATGCATGTTACTACTGTCACTACTTCGACATTACATTTACTACTCTTAAGCAGCCATTAAATGCAAAAACCATTTTTCATTATTTTACTTTTTTTTTTTAATGATGTCAGTTTACTTACTTTCTATTTTAATTATAATTTAATACAAAAAAAATATTTTCTAAAGAAAACAAAACACGAAAAAAAAAAAAAAACAAACAGCACTACACAAGGGACTTTTTTTATTTAAATTTATTATAGATGATTCTTATTGTAATGTAACAGCTAAATTGTTGGCAACCCACAACAACAACAATTAGCATAAAAACAAAACTTATCCAAAAGAAACGAATGCGGAAAACTAAAAAATACATTAAATATAAGCTACACATAGATCATTATAAAAGAGAAATAAATAATATCATGAATAATATATGATCTTTGCCACAAAAAGGCAAACCAAAAAAAAGTGACAGATATATTTGTACAATTAGTGTTTTTTTTTATAGATTTTAGTCACTCTATCCATGTACTTTCCCCCCACCATTATGTGATTATATTTATGATGAAATTTAATTGAAACGATATCAAAACAATTTGATAAAAAATATTATATAACCATTTTTTTCGTTAAACTAATTAATTTTTTAATATTTTTTGTTTACCTAAAAAATAGAAGATACACACACATAGATCCGTAGACATGCCTTGAAAGAGAAATTACCAAAATCTTCAATAATATGATCTTTGCCCCTTAGCACAAGAAAAGTCAACTCAAAAAGTGACCGATAAACTTGTAAAATTCCGTACAATTTTTTTCCATAAATAACTCAATTGAATTCGAAAAAAGGAATCAAATAAAAAAAAATCCAGGCATCAAAACAAAGCTTCATAAAACAATAACAACACTCAATTTGTGATAAAAACTACAACACATTATTTACCAACAATTCGCTAGTGTTCATCCAATTGCCTACTCATTCGTATACTCCATATTTTTTTTAAATCTGTAAGGCCAAAGAAGGAACACAATGTGTACTAGGCTTATACCCACCTCAATATTCGTGTAAGAAAAAAATTATATAAAATTATTAAATTGTTGGGAAAGCTTACCCTTTAATTATCGGCAAAAAGTGCTCTTTTCAACTTCCAATTTCCAATAACTAAGCATCTCTTTCCCAGATACAGGGTGAGATAAAAAAAACTGCAACAAAGTCAAACGCTATAATTTTTACATTTTTTTTTTTCAATTTTATTGAATGAAAGCAAAAAATGTCGGAAATAGCATCATATTTTAGAATAAGCTCAGACTGGTTCGAATTGGTCACCATTCGACACTAATTATGGCTTCAAACGGCCAATGAAACCGCCACACGCTGCCCGAAAGTGGTTTTGCGGTATTTTGGCCCATTCCTGGCGAAGCGCTTACTTGATTAAAACGAGCGGAGAGCGACCATTGGCTGTTATGGTGGCCTGTCCTGATTGAGTCTTGGACTAATATGTGTGGATATGGCGTACAAGGTTGGCTTCTGAACGATGTGGGTGACTATCGACAGGTTGAGAACTTTTGTCAGATACTCAACACCCGGCATTGTACTTTAATTGGTTCTTTCGAAAATTGGCAATATTGGTTCAGGTTTCGACACACCAGCCCCGAACATTTCAATGGATAAAAACTTGTTGAATCCCTATTATTATAGTTGCAATAATTTTTGGTATTTTGTGGGTTCCAGACATTTTTTCTTATAAAATTAGCTTGTTTGTGTGAGTGTCAAGTCATTCATCGCCTTATAGAATAGACCAGCTGCTTTCAGTTCTTACATCCATGATCCAACGGTCGAAGTACTGTCTGAAATAAGACTGCTCTTGTACGTGATTATGCCAGCCTTTCCAAAGTTTAGGACGGAGAGGAAGGACATATATCGATGGCAAACTGAATTAAAATACCAGCTTATCCCATTTACTATTCTCAGAGTATATACAGAGTGTTTGACCGATTTCCCTACAGAATTCTCTTCTTTATTGGAATCAGAGCACAAATTTGCCAATTTTCACTCCGGAGTGAAACTTGCTCGAAGAGTGGCAGTTTTTTTACGGAGTTTATTTTATTTTACTCTTCACTCTTTTTGTTTTGTGTGTGGAGAGCTCTTCCGAGTCACTCTTGTTTGAAAAAATAGAATGAGAGTTTGCTCTAAGAGTGAAATCGAATATGATAAAAACTAACAGAGTGCTCGGAAAATCTGGTCGTTTTCGATTGAAACCGAGAAATGGGGTTTGCCCAGGATTACTGCTGCTCGACTTGAGCGAGTTTTGCTCTTTACTGGCGAATTTTAGCAATATTTTTCGGAAGTCTGATTGGAATTGTTGTCTGCATTCCAACAAACTGGGGTTAGTTTCTTGCATTCTCGTCATAGAGAAACAGATCTTTAAATGGATCCATCTGGCCTCTAGGGAAGTAAAGTTTTCTCTTTACCCTTTCACCATGCAGACAGTGAGCGTGAAGTGAAAACTCCACTACCCTAGCGGTCAGATGGATCGAATTAAAGGCCTGTTTCTCTATGACGAGGCGAAAGTGGAATCGAAATAGAAACAATCATTCCTTGTATTGTTTTTAATTTTTTTAACTTTTTAATTATTTTACAAAATACTCCTTGAACTCCTTGAACTCGAGTTCACTTTCGTATTATTTGTTGAAGGCTCCTTCTTTATCACAAATCGGCTTCATGCAGGACTTCCTGTAGATTTTCCATTTACAGAAAGGAGTATTGCCAGTTATCAAGTCCTTTACTTCAGCAATTATTGCTCTTTTCCAAAACTGCAAGAGTGTAAAAATGTTTGTTACGTTAACCGATGTTTCTCTTATGATATCGGAAAAAATTGCAAAACTTGTAGATTCTTCCAGGTTTTGGATTGTTTATAATTGCGAGAAAAGAAAGAAAAAAATTTTAAAATTCTAACAAAATCTTAAATGCTCTACAAGTTGTATTCTTTCTTTCAAAGGGAATTCGTATTGGATATTTAAAGATCAAATAAAAGGGTTAACCATGCTTAAAGACACTTCCTATGCAATGCAAAATAAATATTTAAATTTGAAACGAATTATTTACTTTTAAAAATCCAAGTATATAAATATTTTATTTGAAGCAATGAGAAAATATAGATAAGAATCATTCTTTAGCCAAACTAAATATGAAATTAAGACACTCCAAATTAAATTTGTCAACTTCCACCTGAGTTTTCCGCTTAAAAATATATCAGCCTCCTTGTTTCTCTCACATTTGAAAAAAAAAACAGTCTTAGATGTACACATGTTAATCCCAAATATATAAATTATATTATATCTTATTGTTTTTTTATAATCAAATTAATTTGAATTTGTGATGCGCAATTAAAACTATATTCTTATGGCATTCTCATTGGAAGGGAATTAAAAAGATATTTTTGCAATTGGTAATATTGTACTGAAAAAATAAAGCCAATAGAATATATTTCTTTTTATGGGAAAATATCATTGAAAGCGAACGATCAATATATCTTTTCTTGCACCTTTCTCCCATATACTTTAAGTTTTCAATTAAATACTTCAAATATCCAATGTCAGACTTACTTATTTTTTTGAGACTAATAATCTTTTCCCTGGCAAAAATCCTATTAATTTCCCATTTTCCATTTGAGAATGTTTAAGAGCAACTCCCCAAACTTCAAAGAAACTTATCGGTCTCATTATCAATTAACAAAACAATTAAAATGCTTATAATTAGATTGTACTAGCAAAATATGTTAAATTAGATTACAAAAATAACAACAAATAATCACTCAAATTATATACATAACATAAATATTTACATCTAAAAAAAGGAATTGTTAATATGAAAAATCAGCATATTCCAAAACGAATATTTTACTATACATGATTGTAATTATTTTCAAATGCCGGGAATAATATTTAAAAAACAAACACATGAAAACAAAGCAAACCATATTTTATTTATAAGTAAAATTAATTACACATTCAATTTATTAAACATTAAGAATAACAAACAAAGAATGATCAAATGGATTCAAAATATTCATATTAAAATAATATTAAAATAAACAAATTAGTTATTTAAGGACCTGAAGATATCCTCCAACAAAACCAACTTAACAAGAAATTGAAATACGGTAATGATGTGATTTGTATTTATGGGCTATATGTGGAGTTTTTAGCTGCCAATTCGATACACAATATCTCTGTATTTGAATAAAATCTTAAAATTGTAATTTCTTTCAAAAACAAAAACTCCCTGTGCAAAATTAAAGGGAGTTTGCAAAGAAATTAAAATATTTCCAACGAAAAGCAATTTTGTTCTATATATATTCAGCAATTTTGATATATTCAGCAATTTTGATTGATAAATTTCGAAAAACATTAATTTATGCCATATTTCCAATAGTTATCGTTTTTAAATTATTTCTGCATTCTATGCCAATAACTTAACAAAGGCGGCCAAGCAAAATTGCTGAAATTGCCCATTCTGGATTGTATTTTCAGACTTCTATGTTGCTCCACAGACATTCTACACACACATATTTGAGTCACTTAAATTGCATCATAACACGAACGTTTTTCAAATACAAAGACATAAAATGGTAAAGACTGGACAAAATGCATAATGGAAAAATAGTTAATGTGAAAAATATATAGAGGCGCTGCTCACAACAGTGATCATCATTCGCGTTGCCAACATCACAATTTACTTTTCCTTCTCAATTTTGCTTATTGGTAGAATGAATGATCATCCTTTGGAAAATTTAATCAATTGATGATTTTGAGCCATCTCGGAATTTCATGAGATAACATAGGACATATTATTAGTCCGATTAATATTGGTCACTTGAATATACATGATTGATTTGAATCAGAGGCAACTTTAACATCAACCTCTTCCGAGTCTTCAAAATTTCTTTAGCCCCCATCAACAAATCTCTTGATATTTACAACAATCTCTATCATTACTCTATTCTTTTCTTGTTACAAACGTGCCGAATATTTGGATTCATATATTTCGGCACAAATTAAAAAACGATATGTGGGAATTATTGTAAACTTTTGGTGATCTGCAAACAATTTTGTGTGTAAACCATTTTTTTAATAAAAATAAATTTAACAATAAAGATTTTGTTTTCTGATGAATGATATAATAAAAAGAAAATATATACAAAAGGCAAATTAGCAAAGGTATTCAGTTGTTGTAGTTGAAGAAAAAAAAACTTGAAATTCATCACAATTTTCAAATAAACCAATCAAAAGAAAAGAAAACATCGTTACTTTTTAGATGATTGCAACAAAATGTTTTGAAAAAAAATAACATTAAAGATATTCAACTCAAATGAAAGGAAGAAAAATTACATTAAATTTAAATAACAAGCAACTTAATAATACATATATACACAGATTAATTATACACATAAATGTATACATTGTATTGTATTAAATAAGAAATCTTGAAAGAAACCAACACAGAAAATACAGCAAAAATAGAATACATATTCATGTAATGAATCAAATAAACTCTCGATGTAATGCAAAAGAATGAAAATCAACAAAACAATAACAAAAATAAATATATTAAGAAATAAAACAAAAAATGGAAAGTTTTTTTTACTGGTGTGCGTTTGGGTTAATGAATATTTTAAAACTGCCATAACTCCTTTAATATTGACACTTCGGGGTTTTTAGCTATAACTTGTGATCAGTTTTTTAAAGAGGAAAAATTGCATACTTTAAAATGGCCATAACTCCTTTAATATTGACATTTCGGGGTTTTTAGCTATAATTTGTGATCACTATTAAAAAGAGGAAAAATGGCATACTTCAAACTGGCCATAACTCCTTTAATATTGACATTTCGGGGTTTTTAGCTATAATTTGTGATCACTATTATAAAGAGGAAAAATATATTAAGAAATAAAACAAAAAATGGAAAGTTTTTTTTACTGGTGTGCGTTTGGGTTAATGAATATTTTAAAACTGCCATAACTCCTTTAATATTGACATTTCGGGGTTTTTAGCTATAACTTGTGATCAGTTTTTTAAAGAGGAAAAATGGCATACTTCAAACTGGCCATAACTCCTTTAATATTGACATTTCGGGGTTTTTAGCTATAATTTGTGATCACTATTATAAAGAGGAAAAATGGCATACTTGAAAATGGCCATAACTCCTTTAATATTGACATTTCGGGGTTTTTAGCTATAATTTGTGATCACTATTAAAAAGAGGAAAAATGGCAGACTTGAAAATGGCCATAACTCCTTTAATATTGACATTTCGGGGTTTTTAGCTATAATTTGTGATCACTATTAAAAAGAGGAAAAATGGCATACTTTAAAATGGCCATAACTCCTTTAATATTGACATTTCGGGGTTTTTAGCTATAATTTGTGATCACTATTATAAAGAGGGAAAATGGCATACTTTAAAATGGCCATAACTCCTTTAATATTGACATTTCGGGGTTTTTACCTATAATTTGTGATCAGTTTTTTAAAGAGGAAAAATGGTATACTTTAAAATGGCCATAACTCCTTTAATATTGACATTGCGGGGTTTTTACCTATAATTTGTGATCAGTTTTTTAAAGAGGAAAAATTGCATACTTTAAAATGGCCATAACTCCTTTAATATTGACATTTCGGGGTTTTTACCTATAATTTGGGATCACTATTATAAAGAGGAAAAATTGCATACTTTAAAATGACCATAACTCCTTTAATATTGACATTTCGGGGTTTTTACCTATAATTTGTGATCAGTTTTTTAAAGAGGAAAAATGGCATACTTTAAAATGGCCATAACTCCTTTAATATTGACATTTCGGGGTTTTTACCTATAATTTGTGATCAGTTTTTTAAAGAGGAAAAATGGCATACTTTAAAATGGCCATAACTTCTTTAATATTGACATTTCGGGGTTTTTAGCTATAATTTGTGATCACTATTATAAAGAGGAAAAATGGCATACTTTAAAATGGTCATAACTCCTTTAATATTGACATTTCGGGGTTTTTAGCTATAATTTGTGATCACTATTATAAAGAGGAAAAATTGCATACTTTAAAATGACCATAACTCCTTTAATATTGACATTTCGGGGTTTTTAGCTATAATTTGTGATCACTATTATAAAGAGGAAAAATGACATACTTTAAAATGGCCATAACTCCTTTAATATTGACACTTCGGGATTTTTAGCTATAATTTGTGATCACTATTATAAAGAGGAAAAATGTCATACTTTAAAATGGCCATAACTCCTTTAATATTGACATTTCGGGGTTTTTAGCTATAATTTGTGATCACTATTAAAAAGAGGAAAAATGGCATACTTTAAAATGGCCATAACTCCTTTAATATTGACATTTCGGGGTTTTTAGCTATAATTTGTGATCACTATTATAAAGAGGGAAAATGTCATACTTTAAAATGGCCATAACTCCTTTAATATTGACACTTCGGGATTTTTAGCTATAATTTGTGATCACTATTATAAAGGGGAAAAATAACATACTTTAAAATGGCCATAACTCCTTTAATATTGACATTTCGGGGTTTTTAGCTATAATTTGTGATCACTATTATAAAGAGGGAAAATGGCATACTTTAAAATGGCCATAACTCCTTTAATATTGACATTTCGGGGTTTTTAGCTATAATTTGTGATCACTTTTCTAGGCATGAATTATTGGATACTTTAAAATGGCCATAACTCCTTTAATATTGACATTTCGGGGTTTTTACCTATAATTTGTGATCAGTTTTTTAAAGAGGAAAAATGGCATACTTTAAAATGGCCATAACTTCTTTAATATTGACATTTCGGGGTTTTTAGCTATAATTTGTGATCACTATTATAAAGAGGAAAAATGGCATACTTTAAAATGGCCATAACTCCTTTAATATTGACATTTCGGGGTTTTTAGCTATAATTTGTGATCACTATTATAAAGAGGAAAAATTGCATACTTTAAAATGACCATAACTCCTTTAATATTGACATTTCGGGGTTTTTAGCTATAATTTGTGATCACTATTATAAAGAGGAAAAATGACATACTTTAAAATGGCCATAACTCCTTTAATATTGACACTTCGGGATTTTTAGCTATAATTTGTGATCACTATTATAAAGAGGAAAAATGTCATACTTTAAAATGGCCATAACTCCTTTAATATTGACATTTCGGGGTTTTTAGCTATAATTTGTGATCACTATTAAAAAGAGGAAAAATGGCATACTTTAAAATGGCCATAACTCCTTTAATATTGACATTTCGGGGTTTTTAGCTATAATTTGTGATCACTATTATAAAGAGGGAAAATGTCATACTTTAAAATGGCCATAACTCCTTTAATATTGACACTTCGGGATTTTTAGCTATAATTTGTGATCACTATTATAAAGGGGAAAAATAACATACTTTAAAATGGCCATAACTCCTTTAATATTGACATTTCGGGGTTTTTAGCTATAATTTGTGATCACTATTATAAAGAGGGAAAATGGCATACTTTAAAATGGCCATAACTCCTTTAATATTGACATTTCGGGGTTTTTAGCTATAATTTGTGATCACTATTATAAAGGGGAAAAATAACATACTTTAAAATGGCCATAACTCCTTTAATATTGACATTTCGGGGTTTTTAGCTATAATTTGTGATCAGTTTTTTAAAGAGGAAAAATGATATGCTTTAAAATGGCCATAATTCTTTAATATTGACAATTCGGGGTTTTTAGCTATAATTTGTGATCACTTTTCTAGGCATGAATTATTGGATACTTTAAAATGGCCATAACTCCTTTAATATTGACATTTCGGTGTTTTTAGCTATAATGTGTGATTACTTTTCTAGGCATTAATAATTGTATATTTTAAATGGCCATTACTCCTTAAATTTTGACTTTTCTGAGTTTTTAGCTATAATTTGTGATCACTTTTCTAGGCATAAATTTTGAAATGACCATAGCTCCTTAATTATTGACTTTTCGGGGTTTTTAGGTATAATTTGTGATCACGTTTTTAAGCATGAATTAGTGGATATTTTAAAATAACCATAACTTCCTAAATATTGACTTTGCGGTGTTCTTAGCTATTATTTGTCATCAAATAACTCTAGTTTTGTAAAAACTGTTATTTATTTATTTTTTTTAATTGTTTTAGTGTTTTTACCCGAGAATCGTTTCGCTTCGCTCTATTTCCATTGTCTTTACCTATTTTTCTCCTACAAACAGCGTTTTGCTCCATGTAAACTGGGCTTGATTATGTGCTTTAAAGTACAGAGTGCACAGAAAGAAAAACCCGACGCCGTTGATTGGTTTACACCTGATAAGCCGCCGAAAAAATCGTTCCGCTTCATTGTCTGGTTGGTAGCTTAGAAAACAAGAAATATAAACGAGATAATGGTAATTATAATCAATTTATTTATGCTAAAATTGCAAATATAAGATATTAAACAATCTCAAAATATTGATGGCATTTAATTTAAGTACTTTGACTGAACGAAGTATAGAATATACAACGGATGAAGCAACATCAAAATCCTTATCATTGTTTGCCCATTTATCATCAATAATTTTTGTATGTGTGTATAATTTATTGTTGTTTTTGTAGGATTCCACAACAGAAGATATTATTAACAACAGTGAAGATACAACAATCTCCGTTCCGCTGACCGCAAATGACGAAGAGGTTGAAGAATTAACAACGCCCACCATACCGTTGAATGCAAGTTCAGCAACACCAGCAGCAGCACAATCAATCGCCGCCACCAGCACCACAGAGATTGCTGCACAACAAAATAATGGAAGTGCTGCAACAACCTCTGAATCATCGTCATCGGTCATTTCACCCTCGGCCATGGCAGATGATACACTACATGTAGAAATCTCTGATGCCCTAAGTGAAAAGGACAAAGTTAAGTTCACGGTTCATACCCGTACAACTTTACCGGGCTTTTCCAAGCCAGATAATAATGTTGTTCGCCAGCATGAGGAGTTTGTGTGGTTGCATGACCGTTTCGAAGAGAATGAAGAATATGCGGGTTATATAGTGAGTTCTTAGATTCCGGTACGTAAAGCTTGTTAACAATATGTTTTTATTATTTGCAGATACCACCTTGTCCTCCACGTCCTGACTTTGATGCATCCCGTGAAAAACTACAACGATTGGGTGAAGGTGAGGGCAATATGACCAAGGAGGAATTCAGAAAAATGAAGACGGAGTTGGAAGCGTAAGTACAGCAAACGATTGCAAATTGAAGTTCTGTCGAAAATAATGTATACTATCTCGTCGACCTCTTATGGCAGAGAGACAATCCTTAGTATATAGTGTAGCATATAGTGTTGATTTTTGGTGGCGATCTCTATTTGTCTGAAAACCGATAACGGTGGTGGTATGACTCACCTTAACTAGCCTCAAATTTGGTCAAATCTTTTCAGTTTAAGCCCTCGTTCCTATGTATGTTTCATACTAATGCGATACTAAAAAAAGTTTTTGAAACCAAATCTTATAAATACCTAATATTGAGTAGGGCATCAGAAAACCAACATTGTCCGTATATGACTTGATACTTTATGTTTTTTTGAATATTCATTCATAATGAAAATAAAGCGAAATGTGTCACTCCTACAACTCTTAAAACTTAATTAACAAAAACCCTTTGTCAATCGTATATCATTTAATAACGGTTTATTTTCCCATCTTTATTTCCATTCTAGCGAATACTTGGCTACATTCAAAAAAACTGTAGCCATGCATGAAGTTTTCCTTCGCCGTTTGGCCAATCATCCAGTTTTTCGTAATGATCAACATTTGAAAGTCTTCTTGGAATATGATCAAGATTTGTGTGCTAAACCTCGCAAAAAGTCGGCAATATTTGGTGGCCTTGTCAAATCGCTGGGCAAGACAACCGATGAAATTATACTGGGTGTTACTGTACGAGATGTAAATGATTTCTTTGAGAATGAATTACAATTTCTTACGGAATATCACAGTCATTTGCGTGAGGCTGCATTGCGTACAGAAAAAATGACACAGCGACACAAAGATGTCGGGGAATGTCATCAAAAGATTTCGAATGCACTGCGCCACTTGTCCACTGCAGAAAAGGGTTCAATGGAGGCATTCTGTGCCAAAACTGCCGATATATTTGAGAAAATAAAGGTAATTTTAAAAACATATGATATCTATGGATTTTTTTATAAAATATTTTTTTTTTTTTCACTTTGTTATAGAACCTGGAAGTTCGTGTGGCAAGTGACCAAGATCTAAAACTTGGCGATACATTGCGTTATTATCAACGTGACAGTGAGGCTGCCAAAGCTTTGCTTATACGTCGTCTTCGCTGTTTAGCCGCTTATGAAGCTACAAATCGTAATTTAGAAAAAGTTCGTGCTAAAAACAAGGATATACATGCGGTAAGTTTTGTTTAAACTTGAAGTCATTTTTCGTTGAAAACAAATCACTTTTCGGCAAAAATTTTAAATATCCTAATTATAATATATAAACTTTGTGCTGGCTAACAAACTATATTAATGTTTAGTGTATTTTCCAAAATTCCAATTGGAAATGGGAAGTTTAAGCATTGTTTTTAAATAGAAACTCTTAAACATTGTGAAGATAGGTAATAATGAGACATAATTGTTAAAAATAAGAACTAAGACTAGGTACAGAAACCTACAAAGAAGGGCCTTAAAAACCGTACGTTGCATATTTGAAAACTTTAGGAACAGTAATTTTACTTAGCAGTTTTTTGAAAATCCGTTTGATGAGTTGGGATATGTTACTTTTCATTTTCAGTGAAATTGCCTAAAACTTGGTAACCCTGTGTTTAAGTGTTGCACATAACGGAAGTGACCATTTTATTCTTCATTCCATTCATTCCTGCTTCAACAAAACTTACCACATGTGCATTAATGCATTGTAAACATTGATCATCTGTTTTTGTCATACACTGCAATAGTAGGTGTGTCTGGTTACTTTTCCTGCAGGAATTGTCCAGCAGCATCTTTCTGAGAGAGTAAGGAAGTTTTATTCTCCTTTGCAAGGAAAATTTGAAAAGTAAACAGGCAGTATTCCTGCAGAAACTTGCAACTAATCACCTGTTTTGTCAAAACAAACCAATTTGTCCCCCATTAAAAGAATTAAAAGAAAGGATGCACCGCCAATTTTACAAGTTTTATAAATAAAAGGGAAATTAGTTGTAAAATAAAAATTTGAGTAATAAAAGAAAGATAGGTTGGATGTGTTCCCCGGAATCTTTAAATGTGTTGCTAATGACGTTTGTGTAAAAATGTCGATTAATGTTTACGTTTTTCACATTTTGTAAAGTTGTTGTTGTATCGAATGTCGATGAATGAGAAGAAAAAGAAGAAGAAGAGTTGCAAGTGATTGCAAGAAGAAATTTGTTCAGCAAGAATTTGCAAACTCTCACCTAAAGAGCTGTCAAAATTTCTCTTTCCAACCCCTCTCTTTTGCAGAACTTTCGGGTTAATAGACGACTTCCAGTAACAATTTGTAACAATAGTTAAAAATTTTAGGCTAACCAGACACACCTATTGTAAATATTGAACAGCTGTTTTTGTCATACAATGCAATAATTAAGATAAGAAGTTGCAGTCGGGCCAGCTATTTCTTAGCATGATATGTCAATGGAACAATAATCCATTCAAAACCAGAATTTGAAATTTAAAAAAAAAATAAATAAATAGCATTAAAAGCGTGAAAGAAATGTGGTGAATATAAGATATATTTCTGAAGAAATGCCCTTAGCGATACCTTCTGATAAAATTGTTCGAAAAAGGTTTATTTAAGGTTTACTCAGCACAAAAAAATGTTGGTACAGTACCCGCTTGCTTGCTACGAACACAGACATGCAAACCAATACTTATGAGCCCGTTAGTGTGGCATATTTTTTCCAACATTTCGGTCGGCATCTGCTTCAATGCTTTAATGTTGACTTCCAATGGATCAATTGAAGCGGGCTCGTCTGTATAGTCATGAGCTTTAAATCGCACGATCTAGACGGCCAATTGACCTATCCCGAACGTGAAATAAAATACTCAACAAATTCGCCTCTCAATAATTCCACCGTCTCATTGAAACCATATGTCATACAAGTGATTACATTTTGAACAAAAAAGTGAGTTTTCATCTCACGGTAGTGTCTACAAATTATCGTTACATACCATTTACTCAGCATACTTGAAGAAGTGTAGTCCATTGATGCTACCAAACCATAAACCGCACCAAAGTATAACTACTTCTGGATGCATTGGTAGCTTTTACAATGCTTCTGAACTTCACTCCAAAATCGACATTTCGGCTTATTCATGTACCCATTGAGCCAAAAATGAGAAGCGCGCGATGAACTTTCTTAACAGAGCATTCATTTTGATAATAAAATTCAATGATTTTAATAAAATGTTTCTATTATAATATTTTTATTTTACATTTTGAAAACTTCAATTCACGACGCTTTGTTAAAATTGAAAATATTAAAATATTTTTTTTTTCATACGCAATGCGTATTTGCACAATATGTATCAAATTTTGTGGTGAATTTATTTTAAATTGATAAGGAAAGAAACTACTACCACCTGCCAGAATCTACTATTTTTGCAATATTTTTCGATTTCATAAAGGTTATCGTAGTCGTAGTAACAACTTTTACATTCTTGAAATTCTGGAACAGACCAATGGCAATTGCGTCTTTGACTAGGCCAACATACGAGTAATTTCACGAAAATTATATTGTTTTAATACGAACGAAGTAATATAATAACTAATAATGGTGTGTAGAAAAAGATTATATCAAATAAAATACTCATACCAAAATTCATTTTCACATGGATTTGAATTTGTGTGTGTAAGCAATAATGAAAGTTCTAGAGGTATGCCGAAAACAGAAATAGCCGTGTCTTCATTAGATTTATCCCCTTATTTTTAATGTATAATCTAGTTAAGAGCGAAATGTAACACTTATCTTATTTAGCAACCTATTCTGTATTTGTTTGTGTGTCTTCTTATGGAGTTATCAATTTACAAATGTTATAAAATTTGCAAATATTTGCCCGACAAGCAACAAATGTTTCGATTAGTTGCTGGTTTGGTTTTCGATTGTGACTACCCTACTTTGCCTGTTCCTCTTTGAACTATAAAACCCTATACTGAACATTCCAACGTCAGTCTATAACGGAAGTAACCATTTTATGGTGTTGCCAACTTTGCGATTATGTTTCATACCATTCGTTCCGTTAGCGATAAAACTCACCACATGTGCATCTTTATCAAAATGCATTTGCGACATTGATCAGCTGTTTAAATTGAGGTTAATGTTTATTGAAACAATAAATTAAAAAAAATCTACTTGTTTTTAGAAATTTTACTATCAAATCGATTTTTTTATGATTTTTAAGGAGAAGGATGGTTAAAAATTCTGTTGAAACATGATAGTTAATAGAGCTACTAGACTTTTCTAGTGTTTTGATTTAGGAAACACATCCATTATCAAAATAGAATTACCATTGTTAAGTCAAGGTTACGGTTTTAATTAAATAAAGCAAAATATATTCCATTTTTAATCCGAATTTAGGTCTTTGTTGGCCAGTGTTGAGCACTGTTTTCACTTTTAAGATATTTTGATTTTAAAAAAGCACTTTATAGAAAAGCGATATCCATTTATTTTTATTGTTAATCTATCTTTGTCCAATTAATTTACACCTATTTTATGTTTCACTTTTATTGCTTATTTTTTGAACCTTAAAACAAAATACTTGCTTTCTTCTACCAAAAATATATAACTGCAGCCTTTGGAAGTTCAAGAGGTATATGGTACTTGTTTTTACTTTATATATACACAAAAAATATATACAACAAATTATAACGTAAATAACAATAGCAAAAAAGTAAACATAATAACTGTAACGGAACTTCATCGCAAACATGAAAACAAAATCCATAACAAAAAATTTATTTTTATAAAAAATAACAATTAGACTACAAGAAAGCAATACTAAAAACTCCACCTTAATACACATTTAATTTTCATTTATTTACTAATAATATTAAATAATAATGCACGTTACATACATAATGAATGTAGAGAAGAATGTATAAGTGTATATTTATTTATTTATTTTTAAATTTATTGTTACTAAATTGGGAATAATTAAACACGTTTAATTCTTTTTTCACAATTTCTATTTAGGCTGAAGCTGCCCAGGCTGAGGCTTGTGAAAAATTTGAGACAATGTCGGCTTGTGGTAAAGAAGAGTTGGTCAGTTTTCGTAATAGGCGTGTTCAAGCATTCAAGAAGAGGTGTGTTAATTTAAAAAACGTTTATATATTTTAATATAATATAAAATTTTTTTCTATTTTTATTTCAGCCTTATTGAATTAGCTGAGTTGGAAATAAAACATGCCAAAAATCAATATGAATATTTACGTCAATCTTTATTAGCTTTAAAAGAAATTTAATACTTATTTCAGTTATCCTTCTTGCTATGCATATATTATTGATTGCGTATGTCTGAGTTTTGTAGTATCTCTCTCTTTTCTATATAATTGTATATCTATATCTTAATCTCCTATTATTTTGTTATCTCATATATACATGTATATGTACGTATTTCTTATCATCATTCCACAAATGAATGTTGAACATTCTTGTCTTTTTGCAATGAAAAGGAAAATAGTATATATAAAATCTTATTTACAAATTGTATTTTTTATTAAATTTTTTACTTATAAATATTACGTATACCTTGAACAAAAATAAAATAAACAAAAAAAACTGGAATGTATAGAATATATTATTTGCTAAAAGTAAATACCTTATAATAAAGTCATATTTATATTTGTGAAATTATACACTTTGTGTTTCAATTCAATAATCAGGTTTTTAAAAACAAAAGCCCACAGAATTGTTCTTTGAAACTATGTGATATGACGTAATGGACCTTTTCGATAATGCAACATTGCACTGCATGTACTGTTCAACGGATTCACAATTACAATGTTCGGCAACACTATCAGATGTTCCTGAAATGCAACTATGAAACATATGTTGTGCAAACATACGAATGAATGCAATGTTGTCAAATGAAAAATTAAAAAAAAAATTAAACGTACGGGGTGAGATGAAAAATTCTGCAACCAACTTCAGACTGCTGTAATTTCTAAGCCACTCTTCCGACAGCTGTTAAAATTATTCCAGTGACAGCTCATTATATTTTTTACAAGCGTAGCATTTTGGTGAGAATTTTCCAGAAAAAAAGTTATTCGTGATGGAATTCAAGCGTGGTAGTGTCATTTCTTTACATTTGGCTGGAAAACCACAAGTGGCTTTCGTTAGAGCACTCCAGCATTTAAATGTGAATAAATATTTTGTGTCTCGTACCATCGCTCGTTACTGTGATGCTGATAGCGTAGCCCGACGTCAAGGAAGTGGACGGAAGAATACAGCAACATCGGCGGAAATGGTTCGAAAAGTAAAGAAGCGACTTGATCGAAACCCGCGTCACAGTGGCCGAAAAATGGCTCGTGAGCTGAACATATCGCAATATTCCATTCGGCAAATATTGAAAAATGAACTCGGGGTAAAGCCATTGAAATTCAAAAAAGTTCAAGAACTTACACATCAACAGAATAAAAATAGACTCAAAGAGCTAAAGAGTTGCTTCGCTTGGCCGAAATTAGTTTTCTCCGATGAGAAAACATTCGTTGTCCAGCAGTTTGTAAACAAACAAAATGATCGTGTTTACTTGCCAAAGAGGTCAGCCAAAATTGTGCACCTTCGGTTGACCAACAGAACTCAAGCGCCTGCCATGGCGATGGTGTCGGCCGCCATAACAGCCGATGGTCGCTCTCCGCTCGTATTAATCGACCGTGGCATCAGAATAAATGCCTAATATTATCGCGAAAATATTCTGGAGGGTGTATTAAAGCCTTGGGCATGCAAACATTTTGGCCGCAGACCTTGGACATTCCAACAGGACTCAGCACCATCGCACTCACCACGCGCCACCCAAGATAGTTACAAAATGGGGTTCCTCGCTTCATTTCCAGCTTACAATTGCCACCAAAATCTCCGGATACCAATCCGTAGGACTATTGTGTCTGGATTATTTTGGAAAGCAAGGCTGGCACTTAAAAATACCAAAGTGTCCATCACCTCAAGCAAGTGCTTCGCCCGGAATGAGCCAAAATACCGCAGAACAACATTCGGGTAGCGTGTGACGGTTTCATTGGTCCATAATTCGTGGCAAAAGTGACAAATTCTAACAAATTGTTACATTCAGCCTACTCGGCGTTATGGTGGGGTTCCGCACTAGCTCAGGAGGGAGCGGTTAATCCAGGGGGTTCTCAACCCTGCCACCATCAACCCTAGGGAATGAACACTTAAAGAATTGTACTGGAATAAACACAAACACAGAAAATCTGAAAACAAACATACACAACATACACCTATGACACAGGAGCTTGATATTATTGCTCCCCCACTATGCCCACCCATCCTTGACCCTTTAGTCCAAATACACTCAAAAAAATTTAAAAAGGGCCCCAAAAAGCCACACACACTCACTTACAACGCCTAACCTCCTCTCTCACAAACAAAATTTAGCACAACATATTATTTCTTTAGACAATTAGACATTAAGCTTATTTATTAGAATCATAATCGTTCTCTTAAAACTAATTTCAACACGAACACATAAAAAAAAACTGGATTATTAATACCCGAACGAAAAACAAAAATTGTGAGTCAATACTCAGATTACCTTTTTTTATTACCCTGCTAGAAGCGCCAATTTTGGCCAATACAAGTACTTTAAATTTCTGCCTAAAGGAGCTCACTTAGACAAATCTTTTGGGCATTTCAAATCCTTGTCCCAAACAGAAAAATCGAAATTTTCTAGCTGTAAAATTTTGAGGCAACCCTACACTCACTAACAATAGGATTTAATGGGCATTAATTTTCCTTACATTTGTATCTTAAGCACTATTTATCTAACTACAAACAATACGTTTAACTTATATACTAAACTACACACTAACAAACAAATAATTTTTTTATAGCTTCTTTTTTTTTCTTTTGGTCAAATTCGGATTAATTGATGAATTTCATGTTTTTTTCTTTTTTATTTCAGTGGTGTTTCCGTCAAAGGAGAAGGAACTTCATATGACTTTTTCCAGCGGGATTTGGCTTTCTTTCTTTTCTTTGGTAAGTAACTTAAATTTTGAATTACATTACCTTCACAACGGCATACTTAGGCAACTTTTTATCTTCTTTTTACAGATTTTTAGGTGGGATCTACTGGTTAGCTTCCCGGATTGGTACTATTGCCTGTTCCAAGGGTTATCCACTGGCAGTTTCCCAGGTCTTTTGGCCGTTTCCAGAACCTTTTCGTTGCCTGGAACCCCTGTGCCGCACCTGGCGATACAAAAATAATTGTTGGGGATGCCCGCTTCTTTTTCGTCCCAGTCGGATGGCGTTGTCCAATTGTGGATTTATGCGCGGCGTTATTCCTAAATAGAACACAAAACTTAACACAACACATCCGACATAACATCACTTACAAATCAACACTTACAAATTGTTTAGATACGCCACACAAATAAAACAATAAAACACACAAATTGTAACTGCCAATTTAATATTTCCTTTTTCTATTCACAAAAAAAAACATTTAAAAATTGACTGAACTGTTTCTGTTCCACACCACTTTGAAATAATGGCGCTTTTCGCCCTCTCTGTGCTTTATATACGGCCACCAAGGACGCTCAACCAAACTTTCCCTCTTTTCCAAGATTTTCCCACAATTTCCCTGACATTTATTATTTACCTTTATCAGGTGTTCTACCTACCCACTATTATCCCCAGTGTTGTATTTTTGCCACACGTCTCTCATGTTGTACAATAAACAACATGAAACTTGGCATCACTTTTTAAAATTTAGCCGGCCGCCCTGCGTATCCGGTTCTCTTTTTTGGCTGGCGTTCAGCACGTTCGGTGCATTAAATTGCACATTATAAAAATTTTACAATGAGGATGAACGCAACAAAACTTCACCACTTTAGAAAAAAATTAAAAAGAAAAGTGGTGATGTGCGTGAATCCTTACATCCAGTCGTAAACGGAATATAAAATTGTGGATTTAAGTAAGTTTGTCCTTTTTTTCGCCACCATTTCGCGTGGAATGACTACGCGACCAAACCAAATTTCTTGTGTTTCATTTTATTCCTTCGGACAAAGGTAAGAATTCCCTTTTATAATAAATTCCCCCCAGAAATATAATCAATTTATATTATTTTATTGCAGACAAATCAAAAAAATGCCATGTTCATTCTTGGGAGTCTCATGTGTAAGTATGTGCGTGTGCAGGCACGCTGCATCCATTGAAAAAAATTCCATGCACACACACATGCACGAAGTAGTTGCAGTCGTGTAAACGCACATGAAGGGTGCGCAACGCCGTTCATTCAACTACATCGCCCATTCATGCCGTTTGTCGATTTATAAATCCCTACGCGACTTTGCCGTGTATTGTTGCAGCTCATTCATCGGAATCGGACAAACCAAAAACAGGTAGTAAATTTTTAAAGAAATAAGGTATTTGTACATTCTAACTCCTTGTATTTTTTTTTTGTTTTTAGAAATTTGGCGAAGTTGCACGCACTCATCAAACAATTTATAACCAGGTCTCTATATTGTGCAGGTAGTCATTTTTTGTATTTATGCATCTGCAAAACAATAGATTTGTTGTCATTTTCTTTTCCCATATTTACTAATGTTTTTCTTTTTTCCTTTTCAGGTAAACGACCATGGTTGTGTATAAAAATAAAGTGCAAGTGATATTTAAAATTGGCAGTGCATCTGCCTGAAACTTATTTGTGTGTTATGAAAAAAGTATAAAATTAAATTTAAACAAAGAACTGATGTGCGGATAGATAGATTGTCAACCAACAAAAATAGGATATCCAAACGGCTTCAAATCGCTGCATAAGGAGTAAACTGCTGATTGGCGTATTTCAAGAACATAATTCAGGTGAGTAAAAAAAATAATTTTTGTGGTGGATTATTTTATAAAAACCGAAAGTGTTCGTTTGGTAATGAACCAAGCAAAGCCCACTAAAGAGTATTGACATAGTGAAATGAGTCAACGCCAAGACGAAGCGACTAAAGATTACAGTTGGGATTACCGTTGGGAACTATTCCAATGTATGAAGCCTGGTAGAAAAATACAGGTAGTCGCATCGACAATGGGACAATGAACTGTCACCCCGATATTGGAATTGAAAATGTTGAATGAAAAATCATAAAATTTGTAAGAATTTTTTTTTTTGAAAGAACGCATATTATAACAAACCCTAAATTGCGTCGTATAAAAAACATTTAAAAATCCACTTATCAAACATTATAAAAATTTTGACATATCAATGTTCTTAAGCGTGTACCTATATTCTTTTCCCATGGTATGAAGATGGTTTTATGGAAATGTGTTATACGTGTACAAACTGTGTAGAATTTAAAAATGTTGGTTTAGTATGAACGACTGAATCTGGGATTTGGAAATTATGTATTGGGGGTATCTGTTGGTGGTTGGATTATGAAAAAGAAATGTTTTTAGAAAAGTGTACGAAAAGTATTATGGTATTGGATGAAGATAAAAAAATTAAAGACATTTTGATGGAAATGACGAAAAAATTATTACAATTATTCTTTCTTAAAGCCGAAAATTCGATATTTAAGGTTCTGATAGAAAGATTATGCCATAGTGAACAAATTGTGTTTCTTTTTGGAGTACTAAAATTACTACCTCAGGCTTTTGTAACAATTCAAATGCCTTTTTACTATAAAAATGTTGAATTCTAAATGGAACAATGCAGAGTATTGTGTGATCAAAAAAAACTTTTTGTGAATCTTCAAAACTGAGCTGAAAAGTATCTAATTCTGTTTTGCTAAATTGCCAAAGAGCAAGTGGTAAGCTGATAAAATGTTATAACATTAGATATTCATTGATAGACAAACACTGAAAAGATGAGTACATATAAAAAAAAAACAAAAATTGACACAACTTTCAGGAAATTTTCTGAAAATACAGGAAAAACAGAATACCTACAAATGAATAGAATAAAAAAAAATCTTCTATGGTTTTTAATTGAGAAGAAATACAAACTATAATAAGGCCATATGTAACAAAAACCAAATCATATCGACTATATTTTTGCATTCCCCGGGAAAAAAGGAGAATATTGGAAAAAAATATTTAATCAAAACAAATGAAAATCAACAGCAATGTAAAGGGGATATGATTTTATTCTTCTTTTATATTATATTACTCTTTTAATCTTAGTTGAAAAATCTGTTATGCTTTTAAAATAATTTAACCAAAATCAACTAAATTTCCACGATTGTAATGTGAGAAATATCGGTTGTCAGGTAACAATTGAATACTTTAATGCCGGAAATGGTTGTTAGAAAAAAAATCTACGGAACTTTTCATGAATATAAACGTACTTTGGTTGTTTGAGACAATCAGAGATGGTGGCTATTGTATTTTGAAAGGAATTAAATGGAATATTGGTCTTTCTACTTATGTTTTCCACAACGTGGGGAACTCCCACACCCTGAAGTCTCATTCAGCCGGGCTCTTTAGCTGTTATCTTTGCTTTAGACATACAATTAAAAAAAAAAGTGACAATAACGACTGAGAAAAAAATTCTGAGCAATACAAATAAATAATTTAGGACAATAACGGACTAATTTAATTATCCTATATTGCACTAGTAAATTCTATATCACAGATTTTTATTATTGCGTATTTCCTCTCTAATCGCATATCTATTGCACAAGACCCTCAAGACATCCACATCCTATTTGATAATACAAACCTTAAATTTATAAAACAAATTCTATGTATAAAAACAACGACACATTATAATTTATAAAATAGACATACACGACATACATTTTATAAATTATATTGCACTTAAGTAATTATATCACAGTAATTATATCTCACATCATTTTAAGCTTTTATATCCTTGACGTGGAAGTTTCCAAGGGGTTTCCCTTGCAGAGTCTCCAGCTCATACATATTGTTTCCAATAGGTCTCACGATTCTGCACTTCAAAAACTTCTTGCAAAATTTCGCATTTATATTATTCTTGAAATCTGAGAGAACGTGATTCCTACGAAAGACTTCCTGGCCTGGACGAAAAGTTACATTTCGTGATCTACTATTGTACCTTTTGGCACTGGCCTCATAAGCTTGATGCATGTTTTTCTTGATGTTTTCTCTCATTAATTCTAATCTATCCTTTCTATTAAATTGTATAATTTGGTGGTCAGTGAATGATTTGAGTTTCTTGGCTAATCTATAATCATTTCCGTTGGTAAACATATTGTATCCGAACAATGCAAAGAATGGGTTAACACCTGTGGCGGAGTGTACCGACGTTCGGAGAGCTTGCTCGATTTCAGATAGGTATAAGTCCCAATCTCGGTGATCTTTCTCGACATAAGTCCTTATCGCCGCCAGTACAGACTGGTTCACTCTCTCTGCCGCATTTGATTGTGGAGAGTAGTACGCTGTCGTTAAATGGTTTATTTTGTAGTTCTTAACCATTTCTTGAAACATATTTGAGACAAATTGTTTTCCATTGTCACTATGGATTGTTTCTGGGACCCCAAATACACGAAATACTTTGTCCTCCAGAAATTCCACAACATTTTTAGCGGTAGCTTCTCTCATCGCATGTAAAAAGATGAATTTAGTGAAATGGTCCATGACAATAAAAATGTAGGCGTTTCCATTTTTAGATCTGGGATACTTTCCGAGGAAATCTACATAAAGTTTTTGGAATGGCCTTTCTGTGATAACCTCGTTTCCTATGGTAGGTCGCATAATAGAATTTGACGATTTGGTTTCTTTGCAGACTTGGCAATTGGACACGTAATTTTTTACTTGGCATGCCATTTTTGGCCAATAATAATACGTTTTTAAACGTTTCATAGTTTTATTTATGCCATCGTGGACAGACTGATTATAATTGTGGGCCTTCTCAATCATCGTATAGGTAATTTCTTCCGGTATCCACAATTTCCATTCAAATTCCATCGTCGTTTCATCAAAATTACTCACTCTTATGTAAATTTTGTCGTTGTCGACTTTTAAATCGGGTAGTCTTTCTTGATTCTCTATTATTGTTTTTCGCAACTTCAGGTACTCCTCGCTGTCAAACGCGGTGGTTTCGAAATCCAAAATATCATCGCTAGTGATTTCTTCTACTGCTATCTCCGATTCAATTGGTAGACGGGATAAGGTATCAGCCACAACATTCTCAGATCCTTTTCGGTATTCAATTGAAAAATCAAAAGCTTGAAGCTGCAGAGACCATCTAGCAAGTCTCCCACTTAAATCTTTCAGTGACATAAGCCACTTGAGACTTGCGTGATCTGTGATCATGGTGAATTTCATGCATTCCACGTATGGTCGAAATCTCTTTACGGCAAGAATCGCCGCCAAACATTCCTTCTCAGTTACCGAATAATTCCTCTGACTTGAATTTAGTTTTTGCGAGTAGAAAGCAATTGGATATTCCCAACCATTATCATCTCTTTGGAAAAGAACGGCTCCAATTCCGTACTCAGATGCGTCACACTGTATGAAAAATTCTCGCTGAAAATCGGGATGTCGAAGCACTGGTGCCGAAGTGAGAGCTTTCTTCAGTGTTCGGAATGATTCACATGCTTGAGATGTCATCGTAAATTTCTGCCCCTTTTTTAATGTATCAGTTAGGGCAGCGGATATGGAAGCGAAATCTTGTATGAAACGACGGTACCATCCGGCCGTTCCTAAAAAGCTTCTTACTTCTCTTGGAGTCTTTGGTATTGGTATTTTTAGAATTGCGCTGATTTTTTCCGGGTCGGTTTTTAAACAGCCGTTTCCGATTATGAACCCAAGATATTTCAATTCACGGAAACAAAACGAGGACTTTGTGAAACCAATTGTTAAGTTGGCCTTCTTTAAACAATCTGCTACCTCGCTCAACAATTTCAAGTGCGTTTCAAATTCATCAGATATAATCAGTAAGTCATCTAAATATATGAACACGTTGGACTTCAGTTTACCAGGTATTACTCGATCCATCAAACGACAGAGTCGTTGCGCCGCATTGCATAGACCAAACGGCATTACTCTGAATTGGTATAGCGGTCGACCTGGTACTGTGAAGGCTGTGTACGGTTTGGCTTCTTCTTCAAGTTCTATTTGCCAAAACGCGTACTTCAGGTCGACACTGCTAATATAATGCGTTTGATCTATTCGACTCAATATCCCATCAATGTTCTGCAATGGATATGCATCCTTGATGGTTAATGCATTGAGTTTTCTCGCATCTAAACAGAATCTGTTTTTGCCTGGTTTTCGCACTACGGTAGTCCTGTTGCTCCACGGTGAATCGCTTTCTTCAATCACGTTTAGTTTGATCATGTTATCAATTTCTCTATAGACTATTTCCTGAACGGCGGGCGACAGAGGGTAATGTTTGTCCTTGACAGGATTTGCTCCTTCTATCAATTTAATGGCATGTTTCTCCAACTTGGTACATCCCAATCCATTCTTTTCAAATGTCGGAAATTTGTTTACAATTTCATTTAGCTGTTGCTGTTGTTCCTCTGTTAGAACATGCATATTTTCATTATCATTAGCTGAATTCCCATGAATTTTTTGCTGAAGTTCCAGATTTATTTCTTCTGTGGGAAATATTTCGGGTGCAATTCCAAATATCTTCCAAAAATCTATCCCTAAATATAATTCCTGTTCTAAGTCAGGACATAGAAACAATGTCATTTTAGCTAACTGACTTTGATATTCAACATCGACTTCAATTGTACCTAAAATGCGGTGTCGTTGACCAGAAGCAGTGGTGACATTTGAACTATAGAGTTTTACATTAGTTCCTATCTCTTCCACTATTTCTCTACAATTTCTTCCCAGTAGACTGACTGTAGCGCCAGAGTCTAATAAACCTCTAACTTCCTTTCCTTCAATTTTTATCGTAACATATGGTCTTAAATCTGTTTTATATTGGCATCGGACTATTGATTCAGACACAGATTTCTTTAGCAATTTAAATTGTTTTTGCTTTTGCCTTAGTTTTGAAATTCTTTGTTTTTTCTTGAATTGTTTGCTATTCATTTCATTTTGATCTTCTCCGAATATTCTTGACCTTATTTCCTCATAATTTTGTTCCCTGACCTCCAACGGTAAATAATGTCGAATTTTAGGGTAAATTTGTTTATCGGTTTTACTTTTTTCTAAATCGATTGTGGATTCTGATCGGCGGGCTGCTCGGCAGAACGGTGGTTTCCCGCTGTAACCAGGTTCTTCCTCGAGTTTCCCAATCGACAATTTGCACATTTCGGCGTAATGGTATTCTGCTTTCCACACTTAAAACAAAATAGATTTCTTTGAGTGGAAAGACAATCCCTGAATCCGTGGCCGGGAGTTTGGCAATTCCAACAGACTAATTGAACATTGACTGCTGAAACATCTACTACTTCATCTGATTCATCGAATACCTGAAAAATTTCTTCGTCATTCTCTTCATGCATCGCATTTACACGAGCTGGTTTATTGTAAGTAGGAGTAGTAACTGGGGCAGGATCGCGTCGAAAGAATGTCTTTTCAATCTCAATACACTCAATTCTCAATTGCTCAAGCGAGGATACTTGCATCGAATAAACAATACCTGAAATATTCTTTCGCACATTTTTCTTAGCCAGGGAGATCATTTCGTATTCCGAAACTGGTCTTTCTAGCTTAGATCTCATTGCGTTTAAGTCGTGGAAGAACGAGTTTATCGATTCTCCTGGCATTTGCTTTCGCTCTAACAAATCACGCATTTCTTCGAAGCATGTTCTTCTGGTTTTGAACCTTTCACACAAGGCATGTTTTAATGACTGCCAATTAGAAATATTGTTATTCATTTGTTCTAGCCAGAACCATTCATTAGCAGGGCCTGAAACTAAAACATGGAACTCATTCAAAATATCTTTCCATGGAAGGTTGTAAAGCTTTTGAAAATGTTCTAGCCGGTATATAAAGTCTTCTACTGACAAAGTATTGGGTCTGCCAGAGAAATTTATCCCAAATCTCTCAATTCTTATACCTGGAAAATTTTGAAAACTCATGAAGGATGGAGTAATAGTATGGGTACGGTTTATAGGTGGGTTATTTACGCTATTTGGGGGTGAAGAAGGGGGTTTAGGATTTAATGTAGGAATTGGTTGAGGCATCTGAATTGGTGGTGCACTTTGATTGCTGATCGACAATTTTGCGATTGCATCATTTAATTTATCTACTACAGTGTAAACCTTTTCCATCTCCTTGCTCACGCTCTTTTCAACCAGAGCCTGCAGATTTGCCTGGGCATGGTTCAAACTATCTTGCACCAAACTTCTGACAAGTTGGTCAACTTCTTTTGGTTGCATTGGCACAGTGGGTTGAGGCATGTTAGAAGGCATTTTAGCTGCAGCACTAGTGCTAGGATTAGGGTTATTAATTGAACCTGATAAATCCCGAACAGTTGGGTTGACATTAGCGTTTTGCATTTTTTCTTTTTTCTTAGTTTTCGGTTTTGGTGATGCAATTGAAGTTCTGCTAAGGTCAAACACTAACGATCTATTTCTTTTCCTGCGTTTTTTCCCTACCGTAGCTGCGTTCATTGATATTACTATATATATAAAGATGGAAATACTTATGTGGTTGGCTGTAAAGATTATATGGAATGAACTACAAACTAATTAATTTTAAAAGACAATAAAAGGGATTAATGTATTACACACAGTTATAAAAATAGTAAATATTAATAAAACAAAACATTTATAAATCAATAGGTTAAATAACAACAAAACAAAACAAATAAAAATCAATAGGTTAACAAAACAAACAAAATTTAAATTTTCAAAGACAATGACAAATATGAGAGGAGTTTAGGAGTATTTTCAGCTGTAATAAGGTATGTGTGTGGTCTATGCTTTTCAAACAAAAAAAACATGATTTTATTTTATAGTGGCCTATTACGGTTGTCATAGAGTATTGACTAGTTGGACTTTACAATTACTAACATTGAACTTTTCATTTAGAAATTAGCACCGTGGCAATTTTCTCCAATATTTAAAGAAAAGAGATCTCACGAAAGGATAAAATTAGTGCAATACAGTCTGTGGCCCATCGGTTCGCAGATGCTGTAATTATCCTATGCTAACCTTAAAATATTGTCGCTACTCTAAAAAATTTAAACACATACACGTCAAAACACAGGTCATAAAACAATACAAATTTTGTTACACTTCACGAACAAAAGCTATTGCACTAGACCCTAATCAGTGGAACAGAATATCCTGATTTTTTACTTTCTATGCTAAATATTGCACAATTGACACTTTTTAATTACTTAGAAAGTGGTTGCAATATTCGCAAGCATGTAAAAAATGCGATATTTTGCTTAAATCTATTGTCTCCTATGGTATATTGCACAGTGCGTAGATTTTATTGCACATATTATTGGCTAATGTCTGGAAGACATTAATGTTTTCTTTTGAAATTGGGCGCCATATTGTTACATTCAGCCTACTCGGCGTTATGGTGGGGTTCCGCACTAGCTCAGGAGGGAGCGGTTAATCCAGGGGGTTCTCAACCCTGCCACCATCAACCCTAGGGAATGAACACTTAAAGAATTGTACTGGAATAAACACAAACACAGAAAATCTGAAAACAAACATACACAACATACACCTATGACACAGGAGCTTGATATTATTGCTCCCCCACTATGCCCACCCATCCTTGACCCTTTAGTCCAAATACACTCAAAAAAAATTTAAAAAGGGCCCCAAAAAGCCACACACACTCACTTACAACGCCTAACCTCCTCTCTCACAAACAAAATTTAGCACAACATATTATTTCTTTAGACAATTAGACATTAAGCTTATTTATTAGAATCATAATCGTTCTCTTAAAACTAATTTCAACACGAACACATAAAAAAAAACTGGATTATTAATACCCGAACGAAAAACAAAAATTGTGAGTCAATACTCAGATTACCTTTTTTTATTACCCTGCTAGAAGCGCCAATTTTGGCCAATACAAGTACTTTAAATTTCTGCCTAAAGGAGCTCACTTAGACAAATCTTTTGGGCATTTCAAATCCTTGTCCCAAACAGAAAAATCGAAATTTTCTAGCTGTAAAATTTTGAGGCAACCCTACACTCACTAACAATAGGATTTAATGGGCATTAATTTTCCTTACATTTGTATCTTAAGCACTATTTATCTAACTACAAACAATACGTTTAACTTATATACTAAACTACACACTAACAAACAAATAATTTTTTATAGCTTCTTTTTTTTTCTTTTGGTCAAATTCGGATTAATTGATGAATTTCATGTTTTTTTCTTTTTTATTTCAGTGGTGTTTCCGTCAAAGGAGAAGGAACTTCATATGACTTTTTCCAGCGGGATTTGGCTTTCTTTCTTTTCTTTGGTAAGTAACTTAAATTTTGAATTACATTACCTTCACAACGGCATACTTAGGCAACTTTTTATCTTCTTTTTACAGATTTTTAGGTGGGATCTACTGGTTAGCTTCCCGGATTGGTACTATTGCCTGTTCCAAGGGTTATCCACTGGCAGTTTCCCAGGTCTTTTGGCCGTTTCCAGAACCTTTTCGTTGCCTGGAACCCCTGTGCCGCACCTGGCGATACAAAAATAATTGTTGGGGATGCCCGCTTCTTTTTCGTCCCAGTCGGATGGCGTTGTCCAATTGTGGATTTATGCGCGGCGTTATTCCTAAATAGAACACAAAACTTAACACAACACATCCGACATAACATCACTTACAAATCAACACTTACAAATTGTTTAGATACGCCACACAAATAAAACAATAAAACACACAAATTGTAACTGCCAATTTAATATTTCCTTTTTCTATTCACAAAAAAAAACATTTAAAAATTGACTGAACTGTTTCTGTTCCACACCACTTTGAAATAATGGCGCTTTTCGCCCTCTCTGTGCTTTATATACGGCCACCAAGGACGCTCAACCAAACTTTCCCTCTTTTCCAAGATTTTCCCACAATTTCCCTGACATTTATTATTTACCTTTATCAGGTGTTCTACCTACCCACTATTATCCCCAGTGTTGTATTTTTGCCACACGTCTCTCATGTTGTACAATAAACAACATGAAACTTGGCATCACTTTTTAAAATTTAGCCGGCCGCCCTGCGTATCCGGTTCTCTTTTTTGGCTGGCGTTCAGCACGTTCGGTGCATTAAATTGCACATTATAAAAATTTTACAATGAGGATGAACGCAACAAAATCGAAACTTATTCTAAAATTTGATGCTATTTTCGGCATTTTTGGTTTCATTCAATAAAATTAAAAATAAATGAAAAATTATTTTGTTTTACTTTGTTGCAGTTTTCTTCTTCTTCTTTCTTCTTAATTCTACCATGAATTTAATAAAATTCTAGTAAATAGCTCTTAGCGTCCCTCAAAAAAATCTTTTAAAACCTATATTTATAGCTCTTATGCCATGTTTACGTTAGAATTTTTTGTAGGGTTAACCTAGTTTAAACGTCAATTAAAATAATTCATCCCAGCATTATCTGTATATTACCTCGTCAATTTTCCCTACAAAAAAAGCCTTATTTTTACCGATTATGTTTTTACAAAATGAGTTATTTATTCTGTTAATATCTTTGATCAAACGTCTTATAAATTACAACTCTTCGTAAAATTAGTAGTCGATAACTAATGTTTAGAACATTTTAAAGTGCAATGTTTTTATGATAGTTTTTTTTTATGTATCTATATCATCATCAAATGTTGTTTCAATTCCAAGCGGTTCACCAAATATCTCATTACAGGGTTGCCATAAACCAGCTTACTCATTAAAATGGTATAATTATATAAGGCATGTTCTGTGCCAAAACCTGCAAGATTTCTTAAGTTTTGCGTTTTTGTTTGATATAACAAAAGAAAAATCGATCATCGTAAAAAATCTTTACATTCTTTCAGATTTTGGCAGGGAGAAATTAATGTCATGAGTACCTTAAATGTACGCCTTTATTTTTCAATTATACTAGAAATATGTCTCTTGTCTTGCATAAATACTTAGGGAATCGTTTTTATACCATATAACACTTACCACAAAGTCTTTGTGCGTTTGTTTGTAACATAGACCCATAGTTACTTTTGGGGATCTTCATAGAATCACTTTCTGAGTCGATTTATGCCAGGAAGTCCGTTCGTCCGTCAGTCTGTCCACGTATTTTTGTGAACAAAATGCAGGGGCCAAATCACCGAGTCGAAATCTTCCCATTTCCTACTTCCGCATCGTAACGTAGTTTACGCGGATCACCGCAGACGTTATCGAATTGTTTTTACTCGAAGTTGTACACGATAAGTAGTATGCAATCGAAATTTTTCTCTATACGAAACAGCGCTCGATGACGAATGCGGTAATTTGGCCACAGGTCGCACTTATTATCAGATTGAGTTGAAATTTTCCAAACAATATTTTTTTGGCCCGAGGACGAATCCTATTGAAATTTACATATAGCTCACATATATACCTTCAACCGATTTCCGATTAATTGTGCACCAAATGACAAATATCAGTACAAATGATCTGAATTTTGGCACATCCGACCGAATTCAGTCTAGTAGCAATTACATCAAATTTTGTGAAAATCGGTTCAGATATAGCTATAGCTCCCATTTATATGTTTCATCCGATTTAGGGTTTCAGGTCCCTCACATGCGTAATATGCAAGAATAATAATTAGTACCAGATAACTACTGGAGCTCAAAAATACCTCTGATAAATTTTGTCGATATCCGGTCAAATTTAGATATAGCTCCCATATATATATATTTATGCGATATCAGGTTTAATGGGCACCAAATGGCTAATATCAACCCAAATGGACCGAAATTCCGACTGAATTCAGTCTAAGCAAGTGCATCACATTTTTGTTAAAATCGGTTCAGATATAGTTATAGCTCCAATATATATATTTCATCCGATTTGGAATTAAAGTCCCTCACATGCGTAATACGCATTCCACAACAATGATAATTGATACCGGGCATCAGATACTGCTCAAAAATACCTCTGCCAAATTTTATCGACATCGGTTTTGACTTTTATATAGCTTCGATATACATCTCCATCCGATTTTACGGCTATTGCTCAATATATTGTGAATATCAGCCCAAATTGAATAGATTTTTCCATATTCAACATCTCCATCCGATTTTACGGCTATTGCTCTATTCGAAAACGGCAAGGATATAAAAGCGTTTGCTACAATAACCAATTTTTCTTTATGATATCGTTAAAATTGCAAAAATAGATTCTTGCTGGTTCTGGAATAGAGCAATAGAGTTTTTATTGCAGGGTGATCTCGCCGTATCAGTTTCCCTCTACTTTTCCACCTTTCTAAGGTACATACTAGGAGAATTAGTAGACCTATGTATGGCCAGAGCTATGGCGCGGTGAATACTCACTCAGGCCAAAAAACCAAAGCTAAAATACACAGATATGATGAAAAAATAGTAGAGAATACATGTATTTTTTAATTCATTAAACTCAAGATTTTTATTCAAAAGTTTTGTAGCTGAACGTGTTTTAGACGAGAAAGGCAATAAAAAAATAACTATTACTATTGGCAATTCAAAAAAATATTTATATCTAATAGCTATTTTATTATCATGGAAATAAGAATTAACTTTTAATCAAAAAAAAAAAGTTGCCAAGCTATAGATCAAAGGAAACACAACAATATTTCAACTTTGTTGTTGCCATTATTTTTTTAAAAACAAATTAAAAATACCGAAAACTAAACGTTTGTTTTAAAAATAATTATTGCTATCACTAATTAACGTTAGTGAATATAACATAAAATCACTTACAAATAAATAATTTGTTTTACAAAACAAAAAAAAAGAAAAAAAGCTAAGTTTAATAACTTAACTTTTATGTATAAATTTATATACAAATTCTAATTTCGAGAAGAGTCTAAATTTTTGAGTTGTTTCCTTTTGTTTTTCCGAAATAAAAATGAATATATTCGATATCATTGTTTCTTTCTGTTTGCATCATTGCCATCAATGGCAGTTTTTACGATTTAATCGTCTATTAATATCGGTTCACTCATGGAAGTGACATTTACAACCTTAGATGATTTATTCATATCCAACAATTTATTTGCATTTGTTCCGGGTTTGGTTTTACGTACCAGCATGGATTTTTGATGCTAAAAAAGAGAAAAAAAATGAAAAGTGTTTGTTAGAAATGGAAGATATTTGGGAAGAGATTGTTTAGAAAAGAATACAAATACATTGATGGTTCAGAAATATTAAATCGAGTAATACAGGGTGAGATAAAAAACTGCAACAAATTCAAACGCCATAATTTAAAAATGTGCGCTGGAAATGATGTGAGGAACCTACTTTTCTAACCATTCTTGGATGGCGCGTACTGAGTGCAACGGTGCTGAATCCTATGGGAATGTCCAAGATCTGCGGCCAAAATGTTTACGTGCCCAAGTATTGAATACACCCTCCAGAATATTTTCGCGATAAAATTCGGCATTTATTCTGAAGGTGCACATTTTCAGCTGACCTCTTTGACAAGCAAACGCGATCATTTTTGTTTGTTTGTTGTTTTCTCATCGCAGAAAACCAAATTCGGCAGTTCACCACTTTCGGCCAAGCGAAGCAACTCTTTAGCCCTTGTGAGTCTATTTTCTTTCTGTTGCGGTGAAAGTTCTTGCATTTTTTGGAATTTCATGACTTTACCCGGAGCTCATTTTTCAATATTTGCGGATGGTATATTGCGATATGTTCAGCTCACGAGCCATTTTTCGGCCACTGCGACGCGGGCTTCGATCATGTCGCTTCTTTACTTTTCCAACCATTTCTGCTGATGTTGCTTTTTTCTTCCGTCCAATTCCTTGACGTCGGGCTACGCTACCAGTATCTCCGTAACGAGCGATGGTACGAGACACAATAGGTTTATTTACATTTAAATACTGGAGTGGAAATCCACAAGAGGCTATCGTTACCACTTCTGGTTTTCCAGCCAAATATAAAGAAATCACACTTGAATTCCATCACGAATAAGTTTTTTTTTTTCTGGAAAATTCTCACAAAAATGCTTTTGTACGCTTGTAAACAATAAAATGAGCTGTCACTGGAATAATTTTAACAGCTGTCGGATGAGTGGCTTAGAAGAGACAGCAGTCTGAAATTGTTTACAGTTTTTTCATCTCACCCTGTACATACACCCACCTTGCTTCTTTAGCCCTTCTGATTTATATAACAAGGTTATTCTTAAAAATCATTTCCAACCACCAATATATGAGAATCTTGCTACTTACATTTTGTATTTGTACAGCTTTACTGGCGGCCACAAATTTCCAATCACCAGCTTGGGTATTTTCATTGGAACATTTCTGCATGTGTCTGAAAAGATATAGACCATTATATATAAAGATAATGTATGAATATAAAGAACTTCATATTTAATAGAAAATATATTTAAAAATTATCCTCTATTTTGTATTTTTTTCTATTTCACCCTAGGTAAAAAGACCCTTCCCCTTAAACTTAAATCTCCCTTAAACTTGTGTTAAACTTCCAATAGGACAGCCCAGAAGGAACTTTATAATCAAAAACAAGTAAAAAAAAAAACTTTTTATACCCTCCACCATTCGAAAGGAACTTGAAAATTTTCAAAAAAAAAAAAAATGCTGTCAAAAAATACCGCTCAAATAAAAACCTTTATATGGGGGCTATACGAAGACGTGGTGCTAGATAAGTATTTTTTCATAGGTGGTAGTAACGGAAAAAAATCCGGTGAATAATGTCGCTAATATCGCCAAAATACCGAATAATGTTAAGTACCGGCTATACGATATCGTGGACGGATATAGCCCATATTCGGAAACAAAAATTAGCTTCCTGTTTTTATTTGTTTTGTTTGTTAAGTTTTGATAGCATATATTCGGGTCATTGCATATTCCTTAAGCAGAAATATAGACATATATAGGGCACCCCCCTCTGTGAAAATGGTGGTACCACAAGGAGTAGACTTATATTAACCATCTCCAAGCTCAATCTATGTTTGATAATAATATTACGATATACCACGAAAGACAAACGGACCCAGCTAGATCGACTCCAAATGTCATGAAATATATGTCGTCCAAAAGATCTAAATCCTAAAAGACCTTATTTCGATGAATCACGTTTTAGCTGTATCATATGATATATACCCCTCTGTAGCCATACGGCTGAGGGTATAAAAATAATTATCAAATTGACCCTTGCTTTTAAAACTATTCTCTCTCCGGCAAAGCGAAACCTCACAAAAAGTAACCTGAAATTGAGATAAATTTAATAGATAAGAATAGTATTCCAAGCAACTTACTTATTCAGATAATTGTTGACAGCTGCCAGACCGATCAACTTCAAAATACCCACTGTGGGTACTTTAACGTAAAACTCTTCCATGACACGTTTGGCTACAAATTTACAATCGGTATAGATGGGTGATACAATATAACCGTACTGAATGTGTGGTGGTAATGTTGTAGCCATACCACCAACAACATTGTCCGTCCGATCGATGACAATCGGCGCTTGTTCCCTTGATGATGATGATGGTGATGATGTGTCGTTGGTTTCAGTTCTGTTATTCGCATCATTTGTAGTGGCCGAAGGAATATTTCTTTGTTGGCTAATTTTTATTGTTGGTGATGACAAAGAGACTACTGTAGAGGCGGAGGAGGAGGAGGAGGACGAGGATTGTTGGTGAATAGGTGCTGCCTTTATTGTTGCGGTGGCTTTCTTTTTAGTTGGTGAAACTCCAAAGGATTGTACACTTGTGATGGTTAGGCCTGAGTTGGAATTAGATACAGGCGATGCTGGAGGCGGTGTTGAAGTGATTGTGGCTGTTGTGTTATTTGAGGGCGGTAATTGTTTTGCCATTACCGCAGTAGTTGTGGCATTTGTAACTGATGCTAGTTGTCTTGCTGCTGCTGCTGCTGCTGCTGTATTGTTTATAGCTGGAGTGATGGCAGGTTGTATCTTCGAATATGTAACACTTGTAGAAGTTGATGTTGGGGTTATTGTTATGGATTTTACAGACGGGACAGAGGTGTAGTTAATTGTTTGGCTTTGTGTCGCCATTGTAGCTGTTGACTTTGGTGCAATACGTACTGACGAAGTTGGTATTAATTGAATTGTGGAATTATGTGAAGCTATCGATGATATACCCGTAATTTTAATGGGATTCGTTGTGTTTAGAACTTTCTTTGGCAAAGCAGAAGCAGGTGAAGAAGAGGATGTGGCAGTTGGAGAATTTAAATTACTATTTAATATTCGCGTTGCAGTGCTGGTACTAGTTGTACTGGTGGTCAGTAGGCTGGTACTCGCCTTGGTATATAGCGACTTATTTTGAGTCTGGACATTGGAGTTAAGCGGCAATGAAGTTGTGGGTAATTTTAAAACTTTATACTGATCCCTTCGGGCTGGTTTTATTGAGAATTTTGCTGCCGGAAGTGGAACTGTTGAGGGGGGTGTTACAGTGGAAATTTGGATCTTTGTGGTAGCAGTAGTTGTTGCGCTGACCGGTTTCTGTGGCGAACTATTGGGTTTAATGACAATCGAGGCCCCTGGCTCTTCATCGCCATCAACGAAACTAACATCGAATACCAAAGGTTTTGATGTGTTTGGATTATTTGTGTTTGGCGATTTAAAGGTGCTTGAGTTGTTTGTGTATACCGTAGTTGTGCCTGCATTAGTCTGATGCTGTACATTATCACTTAGTTTTGTAATGGTTGTTGAACCAATTGTCGATACGCTTTTCAGAGTACTCAATGGCTGATTCACCTGTATATCTTGAATATTTTCCGGCAATATTTTATTTATGACCGCGCTCACGGCAATATTTTGCGAAACTCGATCAAATGGATTCTGACAGACGATGGAGACACGCCGTCTCTTTTGGGCAATGGGTTGCTGGGTAAATGTTGTAACGCTACTACTGCTGACAGGAACTGTCACGGTACTGGACACCGGCTTAACAATACTTGTTGTTGTTGTTGTCGTTGTTGCAGGGGTTTTTAATATCTGTTGATTTGTAACTGCTGCTGGCGCAGTGTGGGAATTTTTATTGATCGGATTTATATTTGGCATTGTTCTCGAGTTGTCGGCTGCTGGTGGTGAAAGATAAACATTGCCGACCGTCGCAGTAGATGTATGGGTCACAGTTGGTGGAAGTGGTGCCAAAACGCCGCTATTTAGATTTGAATTTATATTTAAAAATTGCTGTTGTCCTGCTGAAGTTACTATGGGAGGGATTGGTACTATGGATTGTATTACTGTGTTGGCATGGGGCAACTTTAATAGGGAATTGTTTGCAACAATTGCGGGTGTTGCAGTAGTGGCTGACACCATGCCACCACCAATTGTTGTTGTCGGCGTTATTTGCAAATCATTGGCCACTGAGGAGATTGTAAAATATTTATAACCTGCTCCTCCACCTTGTTGGGTTTGAGTGGAGCCCCCTGCCAAGTTACTATTATCCGCTTCATCGACAATCATACAATCGTCATCATCATCATTCTTCATGACATCCGTCTGACGACCGCTGGTGGTTTCTTCCACTCGGCCATTATCAATTGTTGTCTTTATATAATTTTCCGCATATGCTGTCGTTGTTGGCTCCAGTTCAAAATGTGTCTGACCATTCATTTGTAGCAACCAAAACGCCTTGGTCCTCTCTTCCGGCACAGTCGGTATATTGTGTTTCAATTGATACAGTTCACGTAACATCATCTGACCATCAACACTTTGCAAAAGTATGAGAGTGGGTGGTTTCATATTCATGTTGAGCGGACCGAAATAGATTTTCCTACCCGATTTGGGTGTAACAAAGGCATCGAAGGGGGCATTTTGAAAAAACTGCAGTTTGACAATTTTATTTTTTTGTTTGGCAAAATTTATAACTTTCTGTATGCGATCCAGCGATACCAGATCACGAAAATCGGGTACAAAAATATGTGAAAAGTCGTTGTGCAGGTCCAAGACCAACCATTTGTGATTCTCTTTGTGTTCGTGCGGCAAATGAATTTCATTGACATCATGTGGTGTGACTTTACGAAATTCAATATTGGTACTCATTTTGGCATATGAATCAATTTTTTGTGAGTTTATGTCATTCGCAATGGTAAGGTCGTTGGCAGATTTTCGCTTTCGAGAAGATCCCTCAGCGAAAGTCGTTATGGGACCTACATTGTTATTATTATTATTGTTAGCGGGAAAAGCTGCTATTATCTGGGGGCTAATTACAGCAGTTGGTTGAGCATTGTAGGATGGTGGTGGTGGTGGGGCTGCTGCTACCGCTGGCTTTTGTGTTTGATATATTGGCTGCACCGTTTGATGTGGACCAGAATATGACGGCAGGGGTGTTATGGGAGATGTTACAGTCATGGTGACCGGCTCCATCAATGTCATCTGTGGAATTCCAACTCCACTAGCATTTTCTACTCTCGTTACCGGCGACTCTATGGAATTCGATTTTTTGCTTAGCATCTGCTGTTTTTTCTTCTCCTCTTTTTGCCGCTGTTTGACCAACGATGTACATAATATGTTTATTTTCTTCGTCAACGATGGATGTGTCTCCGGTGTTGGTTTATAGCAAGCCATTACCGGATCGGCCCTGAGGAAACCCTTTACTATCCAATATGTGAACTTTCCCTGCATGACAATGGCCAACTTCGTGGTATGCTCATTATTCACATTGTGTAAGAGCATTTTAGCCATCAGCGGCACCCTGTCCGGTTTGAGGGCCGTAATATTTACCACACCCATTGCATCACATATCATGGGCATCATATTTCGTATGGTAGCCACCAAATAGGTACCTTCTTTCGATTTTACTTGCCATATAAAGGCAAAGCCCTGATTGAAGGCATCCAAAAAGTTCGACCATTTCATTATGCACAGGATATCGGTACTGGGGGCAGGTATGATGTGGCTTTCACGTCGCAGAGCGAAATCGATTTCTTGCATCTTTTTACTAACATATGAGTTCATGGTTCTTATGACACTGTTGCAGACATCATGTACACTTTCATTATCCACGACCATGGAGAGTTGTGAGTGATCTGTCATGGCAGTTGCAGGTGTTTGGGTTACGGCCTCCATGGGTGGCTGATTTTGAGAGCTGCTGGCGGCAGCAGCATCATGTGTGGTGGAATGTACACTCGTAACCGATGTTAAATCTGCCAACTGTTTTAATTTTTGTGCATCCGCCGTTGAACCTGCCAAGGGTTTTGTGATGTTTGCCTTGGCATTCAAAGAAAAACAACTGGAAATTTTGGGGAACATCAAATCTGGCTTATCTGCAGGACTGTTTAGGTTCGTTGTTGACTCATTATTCTCTCCCATATTTAAGCTGGATAGAGTAGCAAATTCTCTCATTCTTATAACTGAATCTTGTTGTGCCAGTGGATCTTGTTTGGTGCTTCCATTAGCATTATCCTCAACTTCCATGTTATCATTAATTTGAGTATCTTCCTTTGACAGTCCATCGTCTTCGTCATCATCAATGAGATCGACAATATCTGGGATTTGTGGCGACTCATTAACTTCAGTTTTTGAGGATATTTCATTAGCCTTAGAATCAGCAACTGCAGCTTCCCTCTTTTCATTATTTTTATGTGATTCTGATTGTTGCTTTCTAGGCTTTTCCGAATCTTTCGCCTTAGCTCTATTCACCTCTTCCTGTTGTTTTCGTAGCTTTTCATTATCAGCCTTGTGATAATAAACAGATCTCATGACATGTTCATTTAATAGCAAACGAGTTTGCTCAGTTTCATTTTCTTTGATGTAATTCAAAACGTTTAGCCTTCTCTTACGATTACAGTACAAAAACATACGCCTTGGTATGGGTATTTGCCGTCTACACGAATCTGGCCTCGAGGCAAAGAAGCGTTCTCGAACCTCTTCCAAACTACGTTTGGGTTTTTCCGTTTGCTCTTCATTTTCGTTATCTTTGGCTGCTAATCGTGAATGTTTAGAAGATGTTGGCGGCTGTTGTTTTGCTTCTTTGAGAGAAGATGATTTATGAGCCTTCTCTTTTTCCCTATACGGTTCCCGTTTTTCCTTCATGTGTTTATGGGGTTGGTCATCATTTCTAGACTTCAAATGTTCACCTTTCCTCTGTTTTGCTGGAGGTGGTACCGGATGTTCATATGATGAATTATTATCCCCTGATTCTTCACTATCATCCATATCATTGGATTTCTTGGATTTCTCCGCCTTTTCAAAGGTATAACGAGCTTTGGAACTTGCCTTATAATCCGTGGATGTTAACAGCATAGTTGAGTCACCTCCTTCGCCATGCTCTATGGTTGTATTATTTTCACCTTTTTCAATAACCATGGGTTTACCCTCCAAAGCTTTGCCTTTACAAAAGCATTTATACAAGTTGTGTATCAAACACCAGGGTGCAACATTATCCATGTCCTTTAATCTGACTAGATTGACCGTACAATGTTTTAGCTGTTCCAATACTGTGTCTTGTATATAGACAGGTTCACGTATTTCTTTTACTTCAACAGCTAGATTTTTCTCATTATCAATCGTTGTAAGGGCAGTCTTTTTGGGTGAATTTTTCCTTAGCTCATCATCGGTATCATCGTCATAGTACTCATAGCGTTTGGGTGCCTTGGTACAGCGACGTTTCTTATCATTATTTGTCTCATTGATGAGCAGCGTTTCATTTCCCGTTAAAACAACAGTGGAGGTGAATTCCTTTTCCATGCGTGCCAAACGAGCGGTGGCTTTCCGTCTTAACATAAAGGCATCCTCTGTGGTTATTGTACGACCCTGAATTGGGAGAACAATTATGGAAATTATTAAAAACAATATTTGCAGATGTATTGTTATGGGAAAAGTTATCTTACATCGGTTTCAAGACGTAGAATCCTTGACTGATTCGATGTTTTACATGTACACTCCCACATGCATTTCGTTTTGCCACAATGTTCCCGAACATGTGATTCTTCTGCCAAGCTATCGCACACACAGCCCATTGCACAATATTCGAAATTACAAGGCTTTTTTTCTTTTGAAAAATATGAAAGGTAAGTACTTGATTAAAACAAAAACGGTTACATTTTAGGGACTTCTTTGGGATTTGTTGAAAGGAAAGAAAGCATAAAGAAAAAAGAGCCATTGCTTTTCAGAAAGTTAGTAAAGAAGTCCCATTAATTAATTGTTGTTCTAATTTACCTTTTTCCGGTTTAACCGCAGCATCTATTATGGTGGCATTAAGTCGCTTCAGCTCGGTTCTGAAATATTAAATTTTCATTTAAAATTTAATGAGTACAACAAGCAGTTTATAATTCCTTCACCATTAGTTTGTATCTAGCAAAACGTATTATACAATTTGTTAGGAGGCTGGATGTAACTATTAGGAGGTACTACATATGTGTTATTTTTTATACCCTACACTACAAGGTGGCCAGGTTATTATGTCTTTGTGCATTTGTTTGTAACAGGCAAAAGGAAACGAGATAGACCCATAGTTCCTTTCGATGATCTGCATAGAATCACATTCTGAGTCGATTTATGCATGTCCGTACAGGTTGCATTTATTGTCCGATCCAGATGAAATTTTGCACAAATCATTTATTTGACCGAAGGACGAACCCTATTGAAATTGGAGATAATTGGTCAAAATTTAAGTATAGCTCCTATACATACATCTTCGTCCAATTTGCCTTTTATTGTGCACCAAACGTGTAATATTTGCCCAAATGGGATGGAATTTGGCACTTACGACCAAATTGAGCCTGAAAATAAGTATGGCAAATTTGATCGAAATTGGTTCAGATATAGCTATAGTTCCCATATACATTGTTCATCCTATTTGTTATTTTTGCCCTCTGCAGCCCTAAAGTGCACTCTGTAACAACGATATTTGGGGAAATATATCAAATACAGCTCAGAAATATCTTTGCCAAATTTTAACGAGATCGATTCAGATTTGGATATAGCTTCCATATATATCTACGTCCGATTTGCCTTTTATTGTACAGCAAGCGTGTAATATTAGCCCAAAAGGGATGGAATTTGGCACTTACGACCAAATTGTATATAGAAACACATATGTCAAATTTGATCGAAATCGGTTCAGATATAGCTATGGCTCCCATATATGTATATTGTTTATCTGATTTGTTATTTTTGCCCTCCGCAGCCCTAATATGCACTCGGTAGTAACGATTGTCAAGGAAATATATCAAATACAGCTCAGAAATATCTTTGCCATATTCATATTAATTGTGCACCAAACGAGCTTGAGATTGTTGTGGGTTATAACCGGTCTATAAAGACATTTTAAGACAGAACCCAAAGTCCAGTGGTCTTAGAGTAAAATGTAATTGGGATCTGCGTGAATGAAAATATAATATTGAAGGGGTGTTTGGAAATTGCAAAGGGTGAGAACTTGGAACTAATGAAGTTCCTTAGGTCTTTTTTATCCGCTTTACCCATCTTCAAAGGAACACGCAACACTCAAAATAGAATTTTAAGATACATTTTTCAGTTCCATTACTACTAGATTCCCTTGGTGAAGGATTTATGTATTTTTTCAACTATTCTCTTTTACTTACAATACTCGATTTTGTTTTGTTCGCTTTTTAGTCTCGCTATTATTTGAAGCAGCCGACGATGGGCGATTTAGTTTTTCAGTCTTTATCGATGATATTGTTGATGATGATTTCGAATCACTGGGCTCTTCATTTATCACATCCGGATCGTCTTTTATAAACGAATTCTCACTACAGCTAATGGCAACGGTGTTAATCATATCGCTGACCACATCGGCACACGTTAACAGCACATCATCGGTGCTGGTGGTGTCCAAGTTTTGACGGAATGTGAAATCGGATTTTGGTACCAGTTCTGTATCTAAACATTGTTCGAAAGATTCATCTAGTTTTTCAGAACGATCAACTACCCGGCGTACCAATACATGATTGCGATCATTTAAATAGGGTATTACAAAGGTAAAGGATTTCCTTGGTATACTATCGGTGGCAGCCTTGACGGCATCCCTTAGGGAGCCCGGTAACTTGAGCGTGGAAACACTAAATTCTGCCCATTCTCGTGAAATATCATGATGTGGTAATATATATTGCAAATAACGTTTGGCTATTTCATTCAAAGGCTTTCCACATTCAGGGAAAACTTCTAATTCCACTGTGGGCATGCGCACCACAGCCATACTTCCACCCGCCAGCAATAGAGCTGCAGCATCATCATCCAAGGGTTTTTGGAATGTCTTGTGGGATAAGGGGCAGGGTTTGAACACCGATGGTAGGGGTTCCTTATTCAATTTCCTTGACTTGGGTGACACAGTTTTTATGACCTTAAAGTCCTGCCACATATCCTCATCAACACACAAGCGGGGACATGTTTTGCTTGGATTTTTAACCACACTAATATAGGGTTTCTTACGAAACTCATCATTATTGCCACGAACACCTCTCAGCTTTACTTTATGCTGGCCTCCATCCACATCTAACATTTGATAATAGTACTTGTTGAATTCGGTGTTAATAAATGATGCTGCCATCCAGCCATTGCGGGTAAAAGACATTGAAGAACTATTCGATTGGGCCGTCAATTGTTGGCTATTTGGTTTACATTTCTGATAACGTATCCTTTTTTGCAGCTCACGATAAATACAAGCTTCGTTGTTGATAATTGATAGGCGGGAATTTTTGGCGAATTTTTGTAAATAACTTTTCCGTTCGGCCACTGTACGAAAGCGTAGAAGATTATCTGGTACGGCAGGCATATCCAAATGGGGTGGCTGAGTTTTTGGTGTCATCAGTCCTTCCAAATCGGCCGGCAACGATTGCATACGCTTAAATGATTTATCTTTATCAATGTTGTAATCTGTCTCCAAATCATTTTGTCGCATATACTCATTTAACGTTTCACTAACAAATATCGAATTATTGCTTCGGATGGAATTCGGTACAATGGGTGTCATCAACATGCCCGGTATGCGATCATTATCATCAAAGCCCAAAAATCCATCGGAGGAATCTAGGGAATGTTCACTGTGTTGCTGATGCGTAATGGTTTCACTGGAGGAGGATTTGCATAATTGTGGTTCTCTTTTGCCAAGACTACTTGAGCCCGGCACGCTACTACCAACCTTACTCATAAGCATATCCAAGAAATTTAAGCCACTTTTAAGAGGTTTATCAAAACTCTGACCATACACAGAAGATGACTCATCTTCATTGCTTTTTTCCGTTTTCTCATCGGAGGCCAGTAGTTTCGTGGGATGTACATTCGACTGTATTGTATTCAGTTGTTTCTCTGGTGTGGATTCTAAATTAGGTTGCCAATCGTCATTATCTAAACCAATTGTTTTGGCACTTTCTTCCAAAGAGCAGGATAGAGTTTTAGCTTGTTTTTCCTCTTCTGCATTTCCTTTAGGGCTTTTGGGTTCATTTTCTTCTTGTGGAAGTTTTTCTGCACCTGTTTCTGTTGGTTTATCTTTATTGGCTTCAATTAATGGCTGTTGCCTTCGCCCACTTTTCAAAAGTTCCAACTGCTCTTTCAGCTGCTTGCTAACATCATCGGATATGGCGGGTGCAACAATTTTCTCTTTACAAATTGTCTCTTCAACATACTCTTCGGGTTCTTTAGTACGTTTCTGATACTGAACGATGTTGCGAGACCATTGTTTAACATTTTGTCTCATACGCTTTATGATTTTTCGATTCGCCTGATCGAATAGCACCCTACGCAAACGGTAATAATGCAAAAATACTCGATTTCTTTTCCGAACAGCAAATCGTTTTATAACTGTTCGCGGCCATGTCTGGTACCATATGATTTTTTGAATATTGGCCAGATTATAGCGTAGAAATTCGGTGGACACTTTGTGTTTCCTTTGTAAGCGACGGAACAATGCCCACTCACGTTCATTGAATTTTATCATATTGCTGCTATGATACAACTTTCATAATATGATATGATGTTATAATCTGTAAAGAGAGAGGGATACATATTAAAAATGTGGAAAACTTCTTATGTTTCTATAAAAAGAGTTTTATAAAAATTATGCCCATTCAGATTCGTAGTTTCCTTCTTGTTTCACCAAACCTATTTATTAAACAGTAAAAACTAAGGTACATATCCCACATTTTTCAAATAAAGAATATTTTATTCCAAGTTTGCGCATCCAAAATTCATTAACTATAGAATTATAATTTCTTTGAAACTTGGCAACACTGAATGGCTCTCTTGCTCTCGAAACACACATTGTATAATACACCACACTCGATTGGTTTCCTCAAAACATCACTTCGACAAGTGAAAGGACACTGATTGCTAATTAACATTTTCCATTTCAGTTTATGTTCTTACCGAGTTCATTTAGCCGTTCTTAGCGCGCCCTACTCCAGGCAATGGATAACATCAATAGCAACTAGTTCCGAATGCGTAATTAAAGGTAAATATATCGAATATTTAATATTTTATGAAGCGTCGGTGAGAATAAATGCGATTCATACAATTATAACCTTAAAATTGTGTTCCATTTCCACATTATGCGAAAAAGGGTTGCCATGTATTACTTTTATTTAAGTTTGCAAAATATGCGAAACGGAACATGTTGATACAGTAAAACGTGGCAGACGGGTAAAAATGGTATTGTTTTGATTGTAATAGTGAAGGCGGGGTGTTCTTAAGATATTTTAAAGATAAGTAAAACTAATAGTATTAATGCTTTGACACAGATATGGTATAGAAAAAAAATTATCAAATATTATCAGCAAATTGTAATTTTAATATCCATGGTACAATAAAAAGGTAAGGTAGAGCTGATTACAATTTTCTTCTAAGTGTGTATGTATTTATTGTTTTGAAAAATAAAAACAAAATATTTTCAAAATCAATGATTAGAAGACGAGTACATTGCGGCTGGTGCATTAAAGCTATTAACCAGTTTAGCCATGAAATTGAAAGATTGAACAGTTTGGATTATATTTTTGAGAGAAAAACCATTCATTTCATTCACGTTTCGCACTATTTAACTCATTCTAAAAATGAGGGAAAAAATGAAAACAACCTATCAGACTCATTCAAAGTTATATACAACAAATTTTGAATGAGTCTGACAGTTTTACGAAGCTGTTCTACCCCCTTATTGTACCATGGTAATATCTACCTGTCCAACTGTTTCGACTAGCGGAACGCAGCTATGTTTACAGACTTGTGACAGTGGCATCAGAAAATTGAACATGAAGCGGTTTCCGCCGGTATTAAATGAATGTGATGTCACCTAAAGGTTATATCAAACGGAATGTTGTTTATATATGTAGAAGTTATACATATCATGTGACATTAAGTGTGTAATACATAAGTTACGTACCATGGTAGAAGAATATAGGTAGACGCATCGACACAGCTGCTGGGACCATAAACTGTCAAACCAATTTTAGAATTAAAAATATTAAATGAAAATTATTTTAATTTGTAAAAATTGTTGAAAAACTCGAATTATAACAACCTTTGAACGACGTTGAATAAGAAAACATATAAAAATCTGCTTATAATTGAAACAAAATTTAAAAATTGTTGACATACGAATGTTCCCAAGCGCTGATGCATCTACCTGTATTCTTCTACCATGTTACGAAAATAAAGGTGTACAGGTGCAAGTAAATAAGAAGCTTGAAGTCGTGACAAGGCTTATTTTGTGATATGTCATAAAGGGATTACAAAGCCGCACTAAAATCCTGCCGTCGATTTCCATTATAATTTTACATTAATATGCTTTTTATGTACTTCCACCCTGGGGGGAATACATAAAGCCCATATTTAGCTGGCTTAAGTCATCGGTTGGCTTTTTCGTAGAAGAGCATAGGAGTTTTAGTTTGACTTAGTTCGATTTTGGCCCTAGGCTCCTTTGTTCAGGAAGCGGGCATAGCCTCAGAGCTGTATTTCTGTAGTTTTACGAAGCTGTTCTACCTCCTTATTATTGTGCCATGAATGAAACGTATGAAGACGTAAAAGGGTTACAGTATGAGGGATTTTCAATCACAATCGTAGTTTCGATTCTTTACTTAATTTTTTTTTAAGTTACCGACAAAAGTCGGTAAAATTGAAATGTAGGTAATTAACTAAATTCTATTTTTTCCTAATCATTTGATTGTTTTTTTATAGTTTATTTGCAATGTCAAAAACAATTGGCTTAGTCGGTATGTTTATATTGTAGTAAAATATAACTCTTCATGACAATTTGTCTTGTTTAAACGCTATGTGAAGAGGCAATCAGCTGATGTTTGTTTGTATATACACATCAGAATAAATTTACAATAATATAATATTTGAAGACATACAAATTTTTTTAATATTAATGACAACCATGCGGAAACAATAAAGGCAGTGTCATTTGCTAAATTGAATATGGCAACCCATGAACCATCGAACTGTACCTTGTCATTTTTAAAATAAAAACTAGTTATCTAAAATATTCACGTATGACGAGTGGCACATTTTAGAAATAAATAGCTTTTCTTGAACTTAAAGAAAAAAAAAAATAGATTTTATGTTACTCCTATTTGGGTGCTGTTAGTTGTTCTGTAGCCATCGGATGACGTTTTGTTTTAAGACAGTCTTTAGGGATCAAAACGACAAAATAACCAACTAAAACGTGTTGCCAAAATCTTGAGACTTAATTAATAATAATATTAATGTCAAATTATAATGGAAAACGACGGCAGGATTTTAGTGCGGCTCTGTAATCCCTTTATGAAATATCACAAAATATGCTTAGCCATGACTTCAAACTTTTTATGTACTTGCACCTTAATTCTTTTTAGTTTTCTAGTTTAAATAATATTCTTCCTTAATAGGAATAAAAAGAGTGAAATGACAAAATAAATGAAAATTTCTTTGCCAGTTCTACGCCAATACCTATGGTATAATTATTACAGGTAACAGTAAATCCCAGCTGATTTGACTCTATAGTAATACTAGTGTCAAAATCGATATGACGTTTTGTGATTTAATTCCATTTCTTGATATCAATAGGTATACCCTTTTGTATAAAATTTCACTACAGTACCTGCAAGAATGTACTACTATTGCAATTTTCTTCGATATCGTAAAGGGAAATCGGTTAACGAAGTAAAAACTTGTACATTCTTGCACTTCTGGAACAGACCAAATATGTAAAGGTGAGAATACAGGAGCATTAGGCCAAAATCAAACTAAGTCAACCTACAACTCCTTTGTTCCTTTACGAAGAAGCCAGCCGATGACCTAAGCCAGTCAAAAAAGCGTTTTATGAATTCTCACCTTTACTCTTCTTACGTAAATGTTGCCAATTGGCTCCTTCAAAACAATGAACTGTCAAACCGATTTTCGAATTAAAAATCTTGTAAAAATTGTTGAAAAACAAATACCACCTACACCCATGGTACAATAAAAAGGTAAGGTGGAGTGTGCCTGACTTCTGCCAATTTTTATTATTTATTGTTTTGAAAAAAAAAAATATTTTCAAAACCAATGATTTGTAGTTTTACAAAGCTGCCTTTAAGTGCTTGTGTCTATACCTTTCCAAATATTATCAATGATTCACTTATAGTTTTTAAAATACACATTCCAGATCCTGAGTCCATGATATAATCGTGATTTTATCCTAATTACCTAAATTAATCGAAATCCTTTATATACCGTTAATTAAAATACATTCATAGCACACGGCAACCCTTGTTTTCTAATAGCTATACATACACACCACACTGCGATATTGACCAGAAACTTTGAGTTAGGTATCTTGTTTCAACATTTGCAAATTTTTTTAGTTTTAAAAATACATAACAAAATAACTCCTCTAACATCCCCAAGTAAAAATTATGTCAATTTGTTTTTACCTTTCCACTCAATACATTATGACATCCATTCACTTCACATGCACAGAGCTCTGTTGTCATTCATTTTTTCAATGAAAAAAAAAAAAACGCCAAGATATTTTTGTTTGAAAAAGAATAAAATAAATAAAAGGAAATACAACACAAGATGATAACACAAGAGCAGCAGCAACAACAACAACAACAACTAAACACCCACTTGGTAAATGGCGTGCGTGAAGTGTGCTATGTGTGCGTTTTTCTCTGCTTGCTATCCCACCAACAACACAAATGTTATGCTTCGATATCCATCACATTTTTTCACATTTCTTCTTGATATTTTACATTGGCTCCAGTGATATAATATTGTCGAGAACTTTTGCAGTATTTTACGGTAAACACGAGCACGAAAGTACCGTTAATATTCCATTAAATATATACCGAAAATTAATGGAAAAATCACGAACCGTGTGATCGCAAAGCTTGCTTGTTTGTTTGACGTTTAATACACATCTGTTTCATGTGATTCCGTTCCCTCTGTCATAACAAAAATCAGTTGTTTGTTATTATTGTGGTGAATACGAAGAGGGCAAGAAAAAACCAGGAATTCCTTTTGAGCGCGAGTTTGTGTGGTAGTGTAGCATAATGTTGCCGGTAGTTTTTGTATACATTGCAGATTGATGTGTGCGTGTGTGTGTATATTGCTTTATTTTCTTCAGTAATTTGTTCCCAGGTATCACTGGACATCAGCTGTTGCATATTAGTAAATAAACGTCACTTTTGAGCACATGGTTTTGTTTTTGCCAATCATACATACAGATTGAGGTTAGGTTTGATTATGTATTAAAAATAAAAATATATATATTTCATATAATTACCGTTTTGAATATAAGACCACGGTGTATGACGAAGATGGATTGGCAGTGAAAAGATTATTTTTGCATAAACAGTTGAGGTTATGTTTAATTATGTAATACAAATTTAAAAATTATTTTTAATTTTTTTTATAAACATGAGTTGACTAAGGTACACAAATAGGAAAAAGATTTCCAGAACGGCAAGAATGTAAAACGTTCTACTATGATAACCGATTTTTCCATTATGATAACGTAAAAAAATTGCAAAATTAGTAGATTCTTGCAAGTTCTGAAACATAAAGGTACAGTCCTCAAAAAGTTAACTTGATACGTTACGCCAGGAAAACCAGAGCACCAGAAAGTGTTGGCTTGTTTGTTCGGGATACCATAGTATTTTGTTATTGCAAAATGGTCAGGCTTAATCCCTTTATTGTTGTGTTTATAAAAACAACGTTTGTTTATTAGTGGAGAACGATGTTAACGTTTACCAGGGGGTAAGGCAGGGAATACCCAGGTTTCGGAAAGACCCACCAATCGTCATCAGTTTCCTGGTTTTTTACTGGGATATTCTCCCCAGAAGTTATTTTAAAAATAACTTCTATGACAAAAAACTTTTTCTACCCAAGAGACGAGATCTTAAGCTCATGTCACCCTAAATAAACAATTATTTTTGATCACTAAAGGTTACCTATATTTTAAGGGAGAATACATAAAACGCTTTTTCTGGCTGGCCTTAAGGTGCAAGTAAGTAAAAAGCTTGAAGTCATGGCTAGGCATATTAATGTCAAATTATAATGGAAAACGGCTGCAGGATTTTAGCGCGGCTCTGTAATCCCTTTATGAAATGTCACAAAATATGCCTAGACATGACTTCAAGCTTCTTATGTACTTACACCTTTAGTCATAGACTGTCTTCTTCGCAGAGGAACCAAAGAGTTTTAGACTTAGTTCAATTTTGGCCCACCGCACCTTGGTTCTTTTCCAAGGAAGCCAGTCAAAAAGCGTTTTATGTTCACCTTTAGGGTGGAAATACATAAAGCGCTTATCTGGCTGCCTTAAGTCATCGGCAAGCTTCTTCGGAAATGAACAGAGGAGCCTAGGGCCAAAATCGAAGTTCTGGGTTATTCTCCCCAGAAGTTATTTTAAAAATAACTTCTATGACAAAAAACTTTTTTTACCCAAGTGACGAGATCTTAATCTCATGTCACCCTAAATAAACAATTATTTTTGATCACTAAAGGTTACCTATATTTTAAGGGAGAATACATAAAACGCTTTTTCTGGCTGGCCTTAAGGTGCAAGTAAGTAAAAAGCTTGAAGTCATGGCTAGGCATATTAATGTCAAATTATAATGGAAAACGGCTGCAGGATTTTAGTGCGGCTCTGTAATCCCTTTATGAAATGTCACAAAATATGCCTAGACATGACTTCAAGCTTCTTATGTACTTACACCTTTAGTCATAGACTGTCTTCTTCGCAGAGGAACCAAAGAGTTTTAGACTTAGTTCAATTTTGGCACACCGCACCTTGGTTCTTTTCCAAGGAAGCCAGTCAAAAAGCGTTTTATGTTCACCTTTAGGGTGGAAATACATAAAGCGCTTATCTGGCTGCCTTAAGTCATCGGCAAGCTTCTTCGGAAATGAACAGAGAAGCCTAGGGCCAAAATCGAACTATGTCAACCTAAACCTCCTTTGTTCATCTACGAAGAAGCCAGACGATGACTTAAGCCAGCCAAATATGCTCTTTATGTATTTCCAGCCTTACGGTATCCGTTGTTGGAATGTAACAAACACTCTGAAACAGTTATGAACATTTAGGCTTCCGATAAAATTTCCAATTTTAGATACGATCTGATCTCTGGCCGAAAGTTATGTTGGGTGATTGAAAGTTATATTGAGTGATAGGACCACACACGCAGGGACATTCGAAAGTCGAGCCGAACTCAAAAGTAATTTCGTCTCCATTTAGAAAATAAAGAGAGTGCGTTTCCAAAAAAAGCTCTGCAAGAAGATAAATTGTACAGAATACTGAAATACGTCGGACAAAACTTCAGATTTTGAACAGGCGCATCCATTCAGAGCGTCGCGACAATGTGGAGGACGAAAAGCATGTCGTACTCAAGAGTACGGTGGGATTGTAAGGGGTTTGCACTCAATTTTTTTCGGTGTTAGGGGGGAATTAAGAGCTCTCGGCGAGGTCAATCAATTTCTGCAAGTTATTAGCAAACCAATATGTATTCACGATCATTGCTTTTGCAAAAAAAATCATACAAAACATAATAATCGCGCGTCAGCCATGGTAATAGTGGTTCGCTTTTTCCAAAAATGCAAAATTAGGTAAAGGTGAGAACACATAAAACGCTTTATTTTAACTGGCTACTTCATCGGTTGGCTTCTTCGTAAAAGAACAAAGGAACATAAGGCCGAAATTGAACTAAGTCAACCTAAAACTTCTTTGTTCTTTTTAGAATGAAGCCAGCTAATGACTTAAGCAAGCAAAAAAAACTTTTTATGTATTCTCACCTCAAACATTTTAATCAAATTTGTTTGTAACTAACTATTATAACTATTTTAGTTGTTTAAACAACGCCAATGTCAAAAACTGGGTTGGAAAGAGTGAATACTTCCTCATTTGGTAAATCAAGTGTTTCCCCGCTGTAATTTGTCATTACGAAGCCCAATTTGAGACACGAACATCATGCTCGGGACATTTTTTCCGACTATTGAAATAAAAATTAAAAGTTTTTAAAATATCCCAACATTAAAGAACATTTTATATTCATGGCGACCAATCGTTCATTTATGAGCTGAAATCCGAAAGCTGTTTATTCAAGCTCGCCCATTCACAGTACCACATTTGCTCAATCTGAGGCATGACCCATATAAAGTCGGTCAGCCAGCCCATCTGACAACAAAATCTGTAAGTTTACTGTCAAAAGTAGCCTCCTTGGTCGACCTTATTTAGGCCTTGATTTGATGTCTAAATATTCCAATTTCATTTGTTTCGTCGGCTTTTAGTGTGGCCAATAAATTTTAATATAAGTCACCACCATGAACCTGTCTAACAGCGTTACCTAAGATTCGACGTACTCGGTCGACGTTTTTCACCACACAAGTAAAACACATGTATTTATATGAATGTTACCAAAATACGTCAAGCTCACGAAATATCAAAGTTTAACAATTTTGAACAGTGAAATCGAAATCGTTGAGAATTGGCATGTTCCAGAACTGCAAGAATATTAAAGTTTTTACTACGATTACCGTTTTTCCCTTTATGGTATCGGAAAAAAGTTGCAAAACTACTAGATTCCTGTAGGTTCTGGAACAAAGCAATTATAAATGAATAATTCAAAAATGTGAATGTTTGTATCAAAGTCTATCTAAGGTCGGCCAAGAAGACTACAGTTATCAAAAATTTGACAATATACCATGGTAGAACAATACAGGTAGTCGCATCGACACAGCTGCTGGGACAATGAACTGTCAAACTGATTTTGGAATTGAAATTTTTGTATGAAAAATTATTAAAATTTGCAAAAATTGTTGAAAAATTCATATAATAACAACCTCTGATTTGCGTCGTATAAGAAAATATTTAAAGATCCACTTATTTTTCATAAAACATTTTAAAAATTTTGACATATCAATGTTCTCAAGCGGCTACCTATATTCTTCTACCATGCAATATACTCAGTAGTTTTTGTACTCTTCTGATTGACTTAGTTGTCAGATGGGCTGTTCTTATATATGTAGGCCATGTCATGGTACAATAAGGAGCTAGAACAGCTTCGTAAAACTACAGAAGTACAGCCCTGCAACAAGTTTCTTTCATTTGTTCAATATATTTTAATTTTGAAATCAGTTAAACAGCGATACAATTCCATGGTAAAACTAGCGAATAGCTTTAATGCGCCTCTCGCAATTTACGTGTCTTCCAATCATCCACTTAAAAGATGACGCCGTTCTCTGCTCTGGTTGGTGACACAGAATTTGTAATCTCTTCAAAGTTTATCACGATAAGAAAAATCAAACGAAAAGTATGTAACCAAACCTAATTATTTTATTTGTCACTGTCAGGTAACTGTGTTAATAAAAAAAATAAAAATATTAAATTTGATTCCAAACGAGTCCTTCCACAATCTTTTCCTACTTTATTTTTAAGTTTGTTTTGTTTTTCTTGTACTTAATTATTTTTCTCCTAAGTGGTGTGTGCGTGTGTGTACAACTCAACAAATGATTCAGACTCGGTGAACGATTTCGTTACGAACAATTTAAATAGATAGTGGACTATGAACTAGATTCAGGGGACCGCCCAGTGGAATTAACTAGACTTTATAAAAAGGTCTTCTGTTTTGTTCTAAAATAAAAAAACAATGAGAATAAGGCATAGTAGAGGTTTAATGAATCATCGCTGTTTCACTTTTATTTTTAGTATCGCTGATGTGAAACTCAAAATTGATCCACGGTTGCAACTCTGCAAAAAGCAGATATGCATAGATACAGGCTGAGATGAAAAAAACTGAAACTAAATTCAGACTGTTGTCATTTCTAAATCACTCGTCCGGCAGATGTTAAAATTATTCCAGTGACAGCACATTATATTGTTTATAAACGTACAAAAGCATTTAGTACTTGCGACTTCATCGAAACCCGCGTCGCAATGGCCGAAAAATGGCTCGTGAGCTAAACATACCGCAATATTCAATTGGGGAAATATTGAAAAATAAGCTCGAGGTAAAGCCATTGAAATTCTAAAAAGTGAAATTCTAACTTACACCGCAATAGAAAGAAAATAGACTCAAAAGAGCTAAAGAGTTGCTTCGCTTGGCCGAAAGTGGTGAACTGCCGAATTTGGTTTTCTCCGAAGAGAAAACATTCATTGTCCAGCAGTTTGTAAACAAACAATCATTTTCAGCAGACCTCTTTGGCAAGTATCGTGTTTACTTACCAATGAGGTCTGCTGAAAATGTGCACCTTCGATTGGCCATTAGAACTCAAGCACCGGGCATGGTGATGGTGTGCACCACCATAACAGCCGATAGTCGCTCTCCTCTCGTGACGATCGACCGCGGCATCAGAATAAATGTCGAATATTATCGCGAAAATATTCTGGAGGGTGTATTAAAGCCTTGGGCACGCAAACATTTTGGCCGCAGACCTTGGACATTCCAACAGGACTCAGAACCATCGCACTCAGCGCGCGCCACCCAAAAAAGGTTAACAAAATGAGGTTCCTCGCTTCCAGCGCACAATGGCCACCAAAAACTCCGAATACCAATCCGTTGGACTATTATGTCTGGAGAATTTTGGAAAGCAAGGTTGGCACTAAAAATTACCAAAGTGTCCATGGCAGAAGAATACAGGTAGATGCATCAACGCGTGAGGTGACCATTTCGAACAAATCTAAACTTATTTTAAAATTTGATGATATCTCCGACATTTTTGCTTTCATTCAATAAAATTTATAAAAAATCTAAAAATTATGGCGTTTGATTTGAATCCAGCCGATGATTTAAGCCAGCCAAATAAGGGCTTTATATATTCCCACCTTTTATGTATTCTCAACTTAATTGTGCCCGACTTCTGTCAATTTTGTGTATGTATTTATTATTTTGAAAACAAAATATTTTCAAAATCAATGATTCTTATATGGTAAAATAAAGTAATTTCAAATATCTATATCCATCTCTGCATTTGCTGTAATTTACTTTGTTGAATTTCACTGACTAAAAAGAGGTTCCCTTTTCTAATTTCTCTGTATACAATGAATTTATAAATATAAATTTTAACAATCAAATGTTGTCAAACCAATGATTTTGAAAAAAAAAATTAAACATATGATTGCATGAATTTACCTCCTTGATTCTACCATGGGCAAAATATTTGTATTTATAAATCCATTGTACATACACAAATCAGAGATGGGAAACTGTTTTTATGTATTGAAATGTGACAAGTTAAATTACAGAAAATGCAGAGATGGGAATGCTTATTTGAAATGACGTTACCTTCACAATTGCTAGCAAGTTTTTACAAACAACTCTTAGCAAAAAATGTATTTGTTTAGATCACTTAATTTTTTATTTAAAATAAAATATAGGTATTGCCATTTGTTTTTGAAGAGTAAATTTCGCTAAATCAGTTTCAGTACCTACAAGAATTAACGGATTTTTCAAAATTTTGTCGATATCATAAAGGAAAAATTTGTTTTACATTCTTGCTGTCGTGAAAGAGGGCAGGTGTTTCTTATATTTGTCCGCCGTCAAATTATTAACAACGGCTTTGTAATGACACCAGCCAAATCATGATAATGGGATTAATTAGGATGTAAACAAAGTTTGAATGCCAAATAATTATGTCATTAAAAGGGAATACTGATAGCTAAGTGTGTGCATTTATTTACTTTCAACCAGTCTGAATGTTCTCCTGACAAATAACATTTGAAAAATAAACCATTTTTTCTTTTTAATTTAAGAAAAAAATGATGCTAAATTTCATAACACTTTGTTATAACTGTACTTCCGCAGATCATCATTACGGGTGAGAGAAGAAAAAACAATATGGCGGCCAACAATGAAATGGGAAACATTGAAATTGAAATAACAATACAGACCGCATCACTTGGGAAAATGGAAATTCTGCCATCATCGTATACAAACACATACACACCACACAATGCAATGCAAAACCCATTGCTAGTCACATTTTTTCACATACATTTTTTGTGGCTAAAAATACTTACCGCTTTAATAAATCATTGCTTCTTCCATGCGAAAACTAATTGCAAATGCTTTTCACTCAAATTTATTTAGTTTTCCAAAGGCTTTTCACGTTAAAAAATAATTTAAAGCCCTTGAATACAATTATAAAACTGCGATATGTGGCGTGGTTCTCTATAATACATTCGACTGTCATTTGCTTTTGCAACAACACAACAAAGAGAGTTTTGCTATGAGAAATCATGTTGACAGTTTGATGAAACGGTGTGAAATGGAATGTGGTGAATGGGCTTGTGAGGCATTTGTTAAGGACAAAAACAAAACAATTTTTAAGAGTATGAGACAATGCAATATTTTTAACTTTAATGGACAAAAACTGATTATATTGATAAAAAAAATAATTTATTTTATTCAAATAGACATTAAAAGAATTATATTAGCACTGTATTAAATGAAAGTGTGGTAACCCTGTGCGTAGACGTAACTGGAACAAAGGGAATGATACATTGTTTTGGCGCGAAACGTGTCTGGAAAAATACACAGAAAATGTAATAGAAAATCAATTGTTGCCACAAGCTGTTTTCAAACATAGACATTAAAAAATACTTTTGAATGAAATACAAATTAATCTATTAAATATTTTAGCTGCATTCTCGCATAATTTCCGAGGAAGAAAAGTAGTAAAACAAGTAAAGAAAGTCGTAAAGTCGGGCGGGACAGACTTAATGATACCATACACCACTTTGCATATTTAGTAGAGCTTCACATAAGAATTAAAAGTTTTTATGGGATAATTAAATCATACAAGCTATGATTATAATTATAATTTAAAGTTCAAATGACTAAATATGCCGAAGAATTTGTATCTTTTCAATTGGGGCTTGTATTGCCCATTTGGTGCATAATTAACTTGAAATCGGATAAAGATATATATGGGAGCTATATCCAAATCTGAACAGATCTCGATAAAATTTGGCAAAGATATTTCCGAGCTGTATTTGATATATTTCCTTGAATATCGTTGTTATGGAGTGCATATTACGGCTGCGGAGGACAAAAATAGCAAATAAGATGAACAATATATATGAGAGCTATAGCTATATCTGAACTGATTTCGATCAAATTTGACATACTTATTCTCAGGCCTAATTTAATCGTATGTGCAAAATGTCATACTATTTGGGTTGATATTACACGTTTGTGCACAAAAAAGGCAAATCGTACGAAGATATATATGGGAGCTATATCTAAATTTGGACCGATTATCTCCAATTATCGTCCTTGGGCCAGACAAATGATTTGTGCAAAATGTTATCTGGATCGGACAATAGATACGATCTGTAATTTGTTTACAAATATACATGGGCTGACGGACGGACTGGCAGACATGCATAAATCGACTCAGAATGTGTTTCTATGCAGATCATCAAAAGGAACTATGGGTCTATCTCGTTTCTTTTTGCCTGTTACAAACAAATGCACAAAGACATAATACCCTGACCACCTGTGGTGTAGGGTATAAATACCATCATAACTTCGGTCACTGCTACGGCAAAACAAGAACTTGGTATTTCTGCTAGTAAAAATGGGTCTGTTTCCAGTCCCAACCAAGAAGTATATTTAGTAAGACATATATGTTAAAAATCCAATGTATTGTTCGAATCGTTTTAGAGAAACTGGCCGTATGAGTTTCAGAAGAGTGAATCACAACACCTCACAGCACCTCCTTAATTGCACAGCCAAATCTACCCATCTCACTCAAGAAGATCTTAAATTAGCTGAATTTTTAAACCTTGAGCTTGAACCAGCTTAGCAGAATGCAAACACCTATATGTACTACTGCTACAACAACACCTCGGTGCACTGGCATCGGTTGTCCCCATGACAACCGGGTTTACGATACGGAGCCACTCGAACATTATTTGTTCAATGCTTTAACATGTGACAGGAATTTGAGTTTTGATGGCTATAAAATACTATTATTGGTATATATAGGAGCTGACCTTAACCTTAGTTCTTCATCAATATCTTTCAGTGGAAGTTCCATTTGAGGTAAAGCTATAGGCAGTAGTCTAAATCTCTCTCAAGAGTTCACCACATGACCAACGTTGAATTTCAACAGAACTGGAAAGTGATGTAATGTCTCCAAAAAGATTTGGCCTATGAACTCCGAAAGGAGATCAAGGTCACTCATATCCATGACGAAGCTGGACTTGAAGCTTGTGGTGGGCCTAATTACAGGGGAGTGACGACATTGAGAAAGAAACAGACGGTGGAGCACTTACTCTGCCACTGTCCAACTCTTATAGGAGTGAGACATAGGCTATTGGGTAAGCAAATTCTGCCAGACTTGTCCTCCCTCTCCGACATCGAGCAATCATTCTTCAGTTAGCCAGAAGGCTAAAATGACTAAGGACGACACGCTGATACACCGTGGATGCAAACCTACTAACTTCCCCACTCTTTATTCAGATTCTTAATTCTTCACATTCATTTCCTCTCTATTCTATTCTCCTATCTTCTTAATGTATGATGAACGCAATGGACCAATAGGTCCATCTCCGAGTGGAGTGGTTGTTTATACATCATTTAACCTAACCTAAAAGCCCATGTTACGTTTAATTAATCATGGTTTACTAAGGTTAACGTGGACATACAGGCCGCCCTATATCCTTCGTTATTTCAACATGCATAATATACTTCTTTAAAATTAAAAAAACGTGTTTTTTTGCAAAAGATTTATTTTATTTATTTATTTATTTATTTTTGAATTGGGTTGGAACAGAATAATTTCAAAATAAAGGCATTCTTGTTCACACCTTAAATATATCGAAAAATTACCTGAAAACGAGAAAGAAAATAGAACAAAATTAATTGTAATTCGGAATTAAATGATCGAAGAAAATTTTTGAGCTTTTAATGTCAGTAGGACCTATTTTTTAGGGTTGTTGTTGTTGCGGATTTATGTGATCATGCCACATAGTCAGAGTCCCTTTTTCATCATGTTCAAATATCACACAGGGAAAGAAAATTCAACAAAAATATAAACTGAATTTATTCTGCCTTTTCTTTCTGTGTGCAACTCCTGAAGAATGAATGAAAATGAAAAGAGAAATTTCAAATTACCTTTTAAGTGCGTAACTCCATGTTCTCCTTGAACATAGATTTTCCGATGCAAATCATTCTGAAAAAAGAGTGAAAAACAGAAATTAGTAACATATTTTAAGAGGAAAACAACTAATTATTTGGAATTATATTTCAGCAGGACCTATTTTTAGGGTTGTTGTTGTTGCGGATTTATGGGATCATGGCACACAATCATAGTCCCTTTTTCATCATGTTGAAGTGTAATTCACGTTTTTTTTTTTTTAATTTTTTATAAATAGTACATACCTCTTTTCTTTAAGCTGTAGATAATTAGTTTGGTTTCTGCATTACCTAAAAATACAAAAAAAAAACATAATTACCACAATTGTAAAGGGCTGTCTGTCGAAGAAATCAATATATTTTTAATGGGTTTTAACTATTCAGCAGGACCTATTTTTAGGGTTGTTGTTGTTGCGGATTTATGTGATCATGGCACATAATCATAGTCCCTTTTTCATCATGGTGATTCATGTGTGTTACCAAGCAATTGCTGCTGGTCTTGTATTCTGTGGACCCTTAATAAAATAAATTAGTTTGTTGCTGGGTTTACTTTTAATTTCATCTACCCCATATGAAATATGCCTTTAATATCAAGCTAAAAAAAAAACTGCATCAACTTCAGACTGCTGTCATTTCTAAGCCACTCGTCCGACAGTGGTTAAAATTATTCCAGTGACAGCTCATTATATTGTTTACAAGCGTACAAAAGCATTTTGGTGAAAATTTTCCAGAAAAAAAGTTATTTGTGATGAAATTCAAGCGTGATAGGGTGATTTCTTTATATTTGGCTGGAAAACCACAAGTGGCTATAGTTAGAGCACTCCAGCATTTAAATGTGAATAAATCTTTTGTGTCTCGTACCATCGCTCGTTACCGAAAAATGGCTCGTGAGCTGAACATATCGCAATATTCCTCCATCCATTCGGCAAATATTGAAAAACGAGCTGGGGGTAAAAGCCATTGAAATTCCAAAAAGTGCAAGAACTTACACCACAACAGAAAGCAAATAGACTGAAACGAGCTAAAGAGTTGCTTCGCTTGGCCGAAAGTGGTGAACTGCCGAATTTGGTATTCTTCGATGATCCTCAGCCACATGACTACGAAAATAGACTCAACGACAGAGCTAAAGAATTGCTTCGCTTGGCCAAAAGTGGTGAACTACCGAATTTGGTTTTCTCCGATGAGAAAACATTCGTTGTCCAGCAGTTTGTAAACAAACAAAATTATCGCGTTTACTTGCCAAAGAGGTCAGCAGAAAATGTGCACCTTCGGTTGGCCACCAGATGGTGTTGGTGTGGGTCGCCATAACAGTCGACGGTCGCTCTCCGCTCGTATTAATCGACCGTGGCATCAGAATAAATGCCGAATATTATAGCGAAATTATTCTGGAGAGTGTACCAAAGCCATGGGTACGCAAACATTTTGGGTGCAGACCTTGGACATTCAACAGGACTCAGCACGCGCCACCCAAGAATGGTTACAAAATGAGGTTCTTCTTCGCTTCATTTCCAGCGCACATTTCCGTTGGACTATTGTGTCTGGAGTATTTTGGAAAGCAAGGTTGGCACTAAAAAATACCAAAGCGTCGATCAGCTCAAGCTCAATACCGCAGAGCAACATTCGGACAGCGTGTGACGGTTTCATTGGCCGTTTGAAGGCCATAATTCGTGCCAAGGTGACCCAATTCGAAAAATCTAAACTTATTCTAAAATTTGATGCTACTTCCGACATTTTTTTGATTTCATTCAAAAAAAATTTAAAAAAAAAATGTAAAATCTATGGCTTTTGACTTTGTTGCAGTTTTTTTATTTCACCCTGTATATATATATCAGCAATACCCCCGTTCATTGAGGAGTTTTTAACGTACATTTGAAGCGTATAATTCAACAATTTTTAATTCGCGGCAAAAGCGATTAAGTTTATTTTGACAAAAGTCCACAGAAACGCATTTTAAATGAGAGCTGCTATTTGTATATCAGACCTTTAAAATTTTGAATGCACCATTCCATCTTCTCGGCCACAATGTGGGGAAATAAATCAATGATTTTTATTTGCAGGGTATGAAATATTAATAGCAATCCTCATAATAAAAAATTTATCGAAAGCGAAAAAAAAAAACTATTAACAAAGAAGAAACTTACCAAAAATGATCCGAAATTTCCACTCCCTGCCATTTTTTTAAATTAATGAGATAATGACCTGCAAAAACATTATTTCTATTAGTTTTCATATTTGGTTGCCAAAAAAACAAACTATATTTCAATTTCTTCAGTAAGACCAATTCGCATTCAACATAAGAAGTTTCCAAAACTTTCAGTTAGGGGCGAAAGTTAAATTGTCATCATTTCAAGAAAATGAAATCGAATGCAATAAAAATTGATCATCCTTACCTTTTTTATTGTTCAGTTTTAAAGGTCATCAAGTCATTCCGACAAATCTGAAAAAGGGGAAACATTCTGTTATTTTCTATTTCTAAATAATAATTTCAAATATTTTATGTATTTTTTTTTCGTTCAGTAAGACCAATCAAAGTCGCATTCAACATGAGAAGTTTCCAAATCTTTCAGTTAGGGGCGAAAGAATTTGTCATCATTTTAATTGAAATTGGAGACAAGTTAAATAAAAAAGCGTTTAATAATGTAACTTACCATTCAGAGCAGTCGTGGAGTCTAACCAGAGTAAAATAGCAGGGATTCAAATTGTCCAAATGCCTGCAAAGAATAAAAAAATATTTATTAGATTTTTTTTCTCGATGTATTAAAAAAAAATAAATAAAATTTGGTTAAAATCTCAGTAAGACCAATCATATTCGCATTCAACATGAGAAGTTTCCAAAACTTTCAGCTAGGGGCGAAAGTTAACTTGTCATCACAATATACCTAGTGCTATAAATTATATTTTATATGGATACATACCTTTCTTCGGGTCGGCTTTGTCTGTTCGAATTCACCATACATTTCCAGCTTTCAACATCTGAAAAAATAGCGAAAATAATTTTATTAAAAAAATTTGTTTTTAATCTTAATTGTTTATTATTCTTGAAACAAAAGCTTATTTTCAGTAAGACCAATCTTATTCGCATTCAACATGAGAAGTTTCCAAAACTTTCAGTTAGGGACGAAAGAATTTGTCATCATTTTTTAAACAAAAGGTAACTTATAATTCAAAATAATATTGATGCTTACCTTTCCGTTAATCTTCCTGCAATCCAGAAAATACTAAGCAGTATTTGACCTGTAATAAATAAAAAGAAAATCTATCAATAGTTTTATAATTTTCTGGACACGTTTTATGCAGTGAAATGATGCTTTCATCAGTAAGACCAATTCCGCATTCAACATGAGAAGTTTCCAAAACTTTCAGTTAGGGGCGAAAGTTAACTTGTCATCACAATATACCTAGGGCTATAAATTATATCTTATATGGATACATACCTTTCTCCGGGTCGGCTTTGTCTGTTCGAATTCACCATATATTTCCAGCTTTCAACATCTGAAAAAATAGCAAAAATAATTTTATTAAAAAATGTGTTTTTAATCTTAATTGTTTATTATTCTTGAAACAAAATCTAATTTTCAGTAAGACCAATCTTATTCGCATTCAACATGAGAAGTTTCCAAAACTTTCAGTTAGGGGCGAAAGAATTTGTCATCATTTAAAAACAAAAAGTAACTTATAATTCAAAATAATATTGATGCTTACCTTTCTGTTAATCTTTCTGCAATCCAAAAATTACTAAGCAATGTTTGACCTGTAATAGATAAAAAGAAAATCTTTTAATATTTTTATAATTTTCTGGACACGTTTTATGCATTGAAATGATGTTTTCATCAGTAAGACCAATTCCGCATTCAACATGAGAAGTTTCCAAAACATTCAGTTAGGGGCGAAAGTTAACTTGTCATCACAATATATCTAGGGCTATAAATTATTTTTTATACGTATACATACATACCTTTCTCCGGATCGTCTTTGTCTGTTCAAATGCACCATATATTTCCTGCTTTCAGCATCTGCAAAAAATGGAAAAAATAATCTAATTATACATTTTGCTTTTAAATAGTAATTGGCTATTATTCTTGAAACAAAATCTAATTTTCAGTAAGACCAATCATATTCGCATTCAACATGAGAAGTTTCCAAAACTTTCAGTTAGGGGCGAAAGAATTTGTCATCATTTTAAAACAAAAATTAACTTATAATTTAAAATAATATTGATGCTTACCTTTCTGTTAATCTTCCTGCAATCCAAAAATTACTAAGCAATGTTTGACCTGTAATAAATAAAAAGAAAATCTTTTAATATTTTTATAATTTTCTGGACACGTTTTATGCATTGAAATGATGTTTTCATCAGTAAGACCAATTCCGCATTCAACATGAGAAGTTTCCAAAACATTCAGTTAGGGGCGAAGGTTAACTTGTCATTACAATATATCTAGGCTATAAATTATTTTTTATACGTATACATACATACCTTTCTCGGGTCGTCTTTGTCTGTTCAAATGCACCATATATTTCCTGATTTCAGTATCTGCAAAAAATGGAAAAAATAATCTAATGATACATTTTGCTTTTAAAGAGTAATTGGCTATTATTCTTGGAACAAAATCTAATTTTCAGTAAGACCAATTCGCATTCAACATACGAAGTTTCCAAAACTTTCAGTTAGGGGCGAAAGATAATTTATCATCATTTCTTAAACAAAAAGTAACTTAAATTCAAAATAATATTGATGCTTACCTTTCTGTTAATTATCCTTCAATCCAAAAATTACTAAGCAATGTTTGACCCCTGTAATAAATAAAAAGAAAATCTTTTAATATTCTTATAATTTTCCGGGCACGTTTTATGCATTGAAATTATGTTTTCTTCAGTAAGACCAATTCGCATTCAACATAAGAAGTTTCCAAAACTTTCAGTTAGGGGCGAAAGATTATTTATCATCACGGATACTTTCAATACAAATCTAAGTACATACATGTTTTAAATGCTTACCTTTAAGAAAATCATTTCAACTAAATATCCCTTTTGTGTGGCATCAAGAAATCTAGAAAGATAAAACAAAATTTTATATAAAACCAACACTTTTATGTTAAAATGTACACTCACCTTTGTTTTCACGTTGACAACATCGCTTGTGAAAATTAAATCTACCCATGGAAAGTGATGGAAAATGAAAAATCGAATAGTTTTCTTTTTTAATTTCTATTTTTTCTTTATAGAAAAATTAGCTTTGATTTTATGTAATACAAAATTCACATGTATTTTAAAAATATAAAGAACTAAAACTAATAGTTTGAACTCTATTTTCCCTCCGAAGCGGAAAAAGTAATGAGGTCTTAATAACTAAAAATAGGGTTGGCTGACAAAGATACCAACTGCAACTATCAACAAATTTAAGTTTTGTTTTATATAAAAAATAAACTTAACATCATTAGTTGTAAAATGCATTGCTCATACGGAAAAAAGACATCAAAAACATACGATTTTTTCAACTCTTATAAAACCAGAGTTCTTATGAATTATGTTACAAAAGTAAGGTCCCTTTCTTATTCATCAGCCTTCTCCCTATCTTTGTCCTTCTTCTTCTTCTTTTTCTTTTCTTTCTTTTCACCCTCAGCGGGAACTTCTTCTTCTTCGGCTATTAAAGAAACATCTGGAGTTTCTTTGTCAGCCTTGTGTTTCTTCTTCTTTTTCTTCTCGGATTTTTCAGATTCCTGGGAAGCTTCAACAGGAGCTGTATCACTGGAGGTACTTAATTTACGCTGCACACAAAAAAATACAATAATATATAAAAAACTCATAATTATTATATTACTTTATCGCTTACTTTTTTGGACTCTTCCTCATCATTTGAGGGACTTCCGTTTGTGGCTTGTGGTGCAACAGCTGCGGCTGGTTTCTTTGAGTTGTAATCAACAAAACCAGTTAACCATTCCTTGGGAGTATTTTCATTTGGTCTACCATATTTATCTAATTTGCCAGCTGCAATTAAAGCCTTCTTAGCTGATGCTTTAGGACCCAAGCCCCATTTGCGTGGATATGTATCTCTTTCCATAATGACGCGCTTAATCTTGGCAATAACACCATGATCACAAGAAGCCATGGTGGCAGTTGTCATTTGAGCAATGGCCAAGCAGATGGCTTCACCTTTGGTGGTGCAAATAACAATTTCTTGGTCGATTTCAATACCATCTTCATAACGCAAGACACCAGTCAACATGATTTTGGCACCATAACAAATGGCATTTACCTGGAAAATAAACAGAAACATATTTTTAAAAATTTGAAAAAATAAATAACTTTTAGGTACGACTAAAAACATTTTGTTTTGCTTGTTCTTGTTACAGTTTAGAAATCTTCTTTTAAACCAAATTTTTTGTCATTTGTACTCTGAAATTTACTTTGTTTGGAAGTGGAGAAATTCACTACACAACATACACACATCGGAGCAGGCTTAATTTTCCCAATCATAGTCACGATGTAAACTAGTAATATATTCACACCGCCGGCTTATATCATGGGGTCGTTCCATACATAAATTTTTCTAGACTTACCGAGCTGTCCTTCATAATGACTCGTTTGTGATTGACCAAAAGACCTTCCAATGGCTTAATGACACGCCTCAACATAGATTCATCCTTGTGATTTTCATACAAATACATGGCGTCCAGAACATCGTGCATTGTCACCATGCCATCACGTTCCGATTGAATGCCAGAGCGTACACGACGCAACTCCAACATTTGACCACCAACGCCGAGCACCAAACCAAGATGTACACACATGGTACGGATATAAGAACCAGCCTCACAACTAACCCAAAAAACACCTTCAAATGTTCAATACATATACACATGATGAGGAAAGTTAAAATATAGGCCCATTTGTGGTATTGGGCCATGGAATTGAAAAGAATAAAATATTGTTTAGAAAACATGAAACTAAAAAGATGTACAAATGCTTCCCCTTTGGGAGAAGACAAATGGTAATTTTAATGTCGCATTTCCGAGTTAAATAATCCAAAAGGCAATTAACTCGCAGAAAAGAGTTGCAATGCTCACAGAGTAGGAAGGGCATGTGCAAAACAATTTCCATTGAAATGCATTTTCTAAGATTTTGTAGAAAAAATTCAAAGATCATAACTTACCCATGTTACGCGATTCATCGTAGTCTAAGAGTTTGCTGTCGTAAACAGTACGAACACGCAATTGACGTTTTACAGCCGATATTAGGGGAGGACGTTGGAATAAGGCACCTCGCAATTTTTCCAAACCCTGACGTACTTTGGCCACTGATTCAACACTTGAGTGCAATTTGAAAATAGCAACGTATTCTTTACCAGCACTTTGCTGGGATTTGACCAAACGTGTTGCACGATCAATGCAAACAATCAAGCAACCTAAAAAAAATAGACAAGAAAAAATAACGGCAATGAGTAGATGACACAAAGACCACATGTTAAAAACGTGCTCTCTACTGTTGTTGTTGTTAGTGTACTCTGAAATTTACTTTGTTTGTTAGTGTGGGAAAATCACTATACAACATACACACATCAGAGCAGGCTTCATTTTCCCAATCATAGTCACGTTGTGAACTAAAGAAATATCCACACCGCCGGCTTATATCATGGGGTCTGCGCTTTTAACCACAAACACATGGATTACACTTACCAGTTACTTTAGGATCCAGAGTACCGGAATGACCAGTCTTTTCGACTTTCAAAATTTTCTTAATCCATGCCACAACCTCGTGGGAACTGGGATTGGAAGGTTTGTCCAAATTAATGAAACCCGATTTCATGTATTCCTTGATATCACGGTTCAACGGTGACGAGCCACTTGGCAGTGGAGTATAATGATTTGTACGCACATTCAGTTTGTCGAAGTTTTTCAACAGCAATGGCCATTGTGAAGTGTCCAAGGTGGCTTTTTTCTCTGAGGGCTTAACTGTGAAGTTTCCAGACTTCTGTAAAGTACCAATATCATCGACATCAACTGGTTCTTCCTTGATCTTCTTCTTTTTCTTCTCTTTTTTGATTTCTAAAAAGATTGAAAGTATAAAACGTGGTCACAAACTTGTTAATAAAGCATAATCAACAAGTCTTAATTATTTTCCTGAATGGAAATCGTTGCCGAATTTATTTTGATGCAATGAAATTTGTTTATTATACTTGCCTACGTCAGCCATTGTTTTTTTCTTACAGAAATTATCACTTTTTATTTTAACTTTTTCCTATTTTATTTTTTTGTCTGTTGGTGCGTTGTCTATCAAACACACGTGCAGACCGAAATGAAATGAGAGGTTATTAGGGATCGACAGCTCGACTTTCGACCTATCAACATTTGGAAAACATCGAATAATCGATTATGTTTTGCCGTCGACTTTTCAAATATCCGGTTCGACTTTTTGAGATACATTATTAAATAAATAAAAATTGAAAATCTGAGAAAAAATTAAAAAATCGAAATAAATATACACCTGTACGTTTTTGGTACATATCACCAGTTAAAAAGGAATTAGCTCAAGATAGAATTTACGTTTGGGCGTTTCTTAAGGTGAGAACACCTAAAACAAGGTTTTTACTAGTTTAAAGCATGGTAAATACCATGGCAGAAGAATACAGGTAGATGCATCAACGCTTGGGAGCATTGATATGTCAAAAAAATTTAAATGTTTTTTCAAATATAAGTAGATTTTCATATACTTTCATATACTACGTCATTCGGAGGCTATTATAAGTCGCGTTTTTCAACAATTTTTACAAATTTAAATAATTTTTCATTCAACATTTTCAATTCCAAAATTGGTTTGACAGTTCATTGTTCAAGCAGCTGTGTCGACGCGTCTATCTATATTCTTCTACCATGGTAAATACTTGAGATAAGAATACATAAATCACTTTTTTGACTGGCTTAATGTGATAATACATAAAACACTTATTTGACTGGCTTAAGAAATCGGCGGGCTTCTTCGTAGGAACAAAGGAGTTTTATGTTCGCTTAGTTCGATCAGCCTAATTGCTTTTTTCCAAAACTGCAATAATGTATTTACTACGATACCAAAATTTTCCTTTATTATATTGACAAATATCGCAAAACTAGTGGATTCTTGTAGGTACTGGAACAAAGCAAATGTCATATTAATGTCATTAACCATTTCATTCATCTGACCCTGTTTAAATCGGCAAGGGCAGATTATATTTAGCTACTTCGTTCGAATTTTTATTTTACATTTTGAACTGTCAAACCAATTCTTATATTTAAAATTTTTATTGGAAAATTGTAAAAATTAGTTAAAATTGTTGATTCATGCATATCATAACAACAACAACAACAACCTTCAATTGGCGTCGTATTACAAAACATATAAAAATCGACTTATTTTTAACAAGGCGTTGCATGCATCTACCTGTATTCTTCTACCATGGCGCCAGCAAATGACACAATTACTGAAGATAGAACAAATTCATTCATTCATTCTAAATTCATTTTTTTCTGTCAAAACAAACAAAAATTTTGGGTTAGTGCCCTTTTTTTATTTTAATAAGAAATAAAATAATTTGAAATTATTATAAATTTAGTTGCAAAAAAGTGCCTATTTTCGATGTTAATAGGCTACAAATTTTACAATTTTGGGAAAAAACTGTTATGCCCTTATTTAGGTTCAATTCATGGTAGATGCATCAACGCTTGGGAACATTGATATGTCAAAAATTTTAAATGTTCTTTGAAATATAAGTAGATTTTTACGACGCCATTCAGAGGTTATTATAATTCGCTTATTTCAACAATTTTTACAAATTTAAATAAATTTTCATTCAACATTTTCAATTCCAAAAGTAGTTTGACAGTTCATTGTCTTCTTCTACCAAGGTTCAATTTAAATTTGTGGTTATGTTTTATGGTTTTCCCAATGTAGGAATTTTGCATGGTACAATGAAATAAAGGTGACCTCATTTCAAATAAGCATTCCCAGCTCTGCGTTTTCTATAATTTACCTTGCCAAATCTCACTACATAAAAATCAGGTTTTCATCTCTGATTTATGTATTTACACATTGACATGAAATAATGCTTTATGTATTGTACATCTTATAATTAGTTCTTTATATGGGTGCTATGTCAAACCGTGGACCTAGTGCAGTAACGACAAACGTTCTTCATTTTTGTTTCCAATTTGAGGCAAAATATCAACCTGCAGCAGAATTCGCTTAACAATTAAAGACAGACATTCAACAGAAGAATTTATACAAATTTTTACACTTACCTTGACTTATTTTTTGGCCAATATTGACATAAAATCACGACACTGTGCGATGCCAAAATACGATATACGCCATAGGAAGTTCTTGTGCGCCATCTACATACATCGCCTTGTACTATACTCATTTAATCTCCACGGTTTCCATTGTTTATATTGACATTTGGCCATGACGTTTGACGTTTCGGAATTTGACAGTTTTGCCTTTCTTTTACGTCAGGCTTTCATTTCCGATAGGTTGGTTTTTGTGAAATTTTTCTAAAATAAATCCAAAAACATCTGAAAAATCCTTTAATTTAAATAAAAATGAATTGTTTTGCCATTGAAATGAGTGTTGTGTCAAATAATAACAGAGAAAATTCCATTGCAACTAGTGAGAAATAGTATTTAAAATAGCTTAATTAAAATGGCTAGCTGATGGCAGGGCTGCAGTGCAGCTGCAATGAAAAATATAAATTTTATAAAATAAGATGTGCTAATTTAAAGTGAGCTAAACGAAATCTGTTTTATGTTCTTTTTTTTTTTTTGCAGGACTTGGAATAGCAGATAAGCATCTTCTTAAACAAAATGGTTAAAGCAAAGGGTGAAAAACGCAACAAATCCGCCATCAATGAAGTGGTGACCCGCGAGTGCACCATTCATATGTCCAAGCGCGTGCACAACATTGGCTTCAAGAAGCGTGCTCCTCGTGCCATCAAGGAAATCCGCAAATTCGCCGAAAAGGAAATGGGCACCACTGATGTCAGAATCGATACCCGTTTGAACAAACATATCTGGTCCAAGGGTATTAGGTGAGTGTGTGTGGTCATTATTGTTGTTATTTACTGACAAATGATCTGTTGCTGTGTGTGTGTGTGGGATGTAAACAATACTAATTAATTTTTTCTCTTACAGATCCACTCCTTTCCGCGTACGTGTACGTTTGGCTCGCCGCCGTAACGACGATGAGGACTCTCCCAACAAATTGTACACCTTGGTCACCTATGTCCCCGTCCCCACTTTCAAGAACTTGCAAACTGAAAATGTTGAATCCAATGACGATTAAACTAATCGCCACCATCTAGACAATCCTCCATTCCCATGAGAACTATGTATTGCCAGCTAAGGCAATATGTTTTTTTCAAATTGGCAAGGATTTGATATTTGTTTGTTTTAAAACGCGGGCTTAGATTTAAACAAGAAAATGAAAGTACATTTATTTTTTATGGTGAATAAAAAAACTTAAGAAAAACAAAAAGTTTTACCATTTGAAATGAAAAGTTTTTATTTTTTTAAATAAACCAAGCGGTGCAAGCGTGTGTTGAAGGAAGAATAAAAAAACTACGGGCTCTTTAACACTTTTTTTGAAATGCGAATTCCTTTAGGATATTATGGGAACTAAAATAAAACAATATAGTTTTCACCTAGCCTTTCACCCAACTGTTTATCATTCCTTATATCCGTCATAGATATAAACTCCTGCACAAATTTGATTTTTCTCAGTCCTTGTTCGAGTAATAACCTGATTTTCGGTCGATCGAATATATTAAGAAAATATTAAAAAAAATATATTGAAACATTTTTTTATACCCTTCACCATAGTATGGGGGGTATATTAAGTCATTCCTTTTGTAACAACTCGAAATATATATACCCCACAAGAATATATACTAGATCAACATAAAATTCTATGTCGATTTAGCAATGTCCATAGGTCTGTGGAAATCACTCTAGCTTCCGAACGAAATGAAGTAGGTGGATAAAATTTTACTCAAATATGCCTGCAAGACTTTTGGTATTGAATGTGGGCCTTGTATGTTCACGTTTTGGTATAGCCCTCATACAATAGTACCTCCCTATTTTCGGTATTTTGGTGATTTCGGCTACATTATTCCCCCGAAATGTTTCAAATTTTGTATTTGAAGTTCGTAATCGCAACTTCAGCCTATGACAGCAAATTCTCCGTACAGGTCCACGCCTTCGTACAGCCCCCAAATAACGGCGCCGCCCGATATTTTGATAGTTTCAGCGGCATTATTCACCGGAATTGTTTCAAATTTTGTATCCTAATGGATACTATAGCTAAAGACAGAAAATTGTCTGTGGAGGTCCACGTCTTCGTATAGCCCCTATATAACGGCACCTCCCGATATTCGATATTTTGATGATTTCGGCGAAATTATGCATCGGAATTGTTTCAAATTGGGTATTTGAAGTTCGTAAAGTGTACTACAGCCTATGGCCGAAAATTGTCTTTGCAGGTGCACGCCTTCGTACAGCCCCCATATAACGGCACCGCCCGATATTCGATATTTTGATGATTTCGGCGAAATTATTCACCAGAATTGTTTCAAATTTGGTATTTGAACTTCGCAATGGATACTACAGCCTATGACAGAAAATTGTCTGTGCAGGTCCACGTTTTGGTATAGCCCCTATATAATGGTACCTCCCTACATTCGATATTTTGATGATTTTAGCTACATTACTCATGGGTTTTTAAGTTTCGCATTTTAATATTGTAATGGCTTATACCAAAGTTGCCTATGCTGGTCCACGTCGTCGTATATACCCTAATATAACAGCTACATTCGGTAGTTTAAAGATTTTAACAGATTTTATTTTTTTGAAAATTGCCAAATTCGTGCCAAATGGCGTGTTGCCTCACATAAACACCGTGCTCCATGAATGCTCACCAATGACTCAGCGGACCGATTGGGTCAATTGAAGTTCCAGGATAATGGAAAACCTCATACTTTACATAAGTCCGATGAAGCTCAACTGAATTCATTGTAACAAAGCGTCTATTATTGTCCCTGAGAGCGTCTATTATTGTCCCAAGAGATTTTAAAATTCAAAGAGATTCTTGTTTTTTTTTATTCATAAATCTATTCATAAAGACTGACACGGCAACTGGAGTCTGAAAATGAAATTAGCCTGGTCTAAGTTTTTAAGGCGGCATTTATTAATCACTTAACGTAATATAGGACATATCTTTGCTGATTATCTTGGTAAATATGGGGATCAATGAGCTCAAACATGTTTAAGGACATTTTAACTCCAAGGTTTAGAGATGATAAACAAAACAAATTTTTAAATATATTGGGTAATGCGCCTGAAAATTATAGAAAATCTAATTGCTTCTCTTACTCACAAACAAGAATATATTTCGAATAAATATGTACAGTTCAGTATATTTACAAATTTATAATAATTAAATAAATTACAATATATTACATTTTACTTAAAACTGTTTTAACAACAATTATTTTATCAATATAACCAATAGCAATCATATATTCCTGTACAGATTTCAAATTAAGTGGACTAATATCTTTAATGTGTTTGGGCAAAATCGTATCAGCTAAGATTTCTTGAAAACCCAAAATATTACCCTGATATTGATAGATAATTAAAGATTTCTCCAATGAATCTGTGATGGCGTACAAGAGGAAATCGTGACTAGCACTAACATGAGAATATTCGATTTTGATGGCATGGGGACATGATAAAGTTTGCCATAATTTAAAAGCGCCACCCTTAATGGATCTGAAATACAAATAAAACATAAGAATTTTATGTTCTATTTATTTTTTTAATAATTTAATTAAAAATACCTATAAATTTCTATAAAACCATTATTCAACGATGTTGGTGTGGCATGGGCCACAACTGCCAAAAAACGTTTGTCTTGGAAATATCCCGTTGCCAATTGTTTGGGATGATTTATCAACAATTTCTGAGTTAATCTCATCTTTTCCGATTCCATGTTCCAAATCTCCAGAGAATTATTTGTGATTAGCGCTATGGAATTGTAGCCAATATTTATTATCTAAAAGCACAAAATATGTTAGAGATTTTCTAAAATAATATATTTAATTAATGTACTTGTCTTATATTATTAGATGTTTTTCCCATGATCTCCGAACTCATCATACTCTCATTTAAATCCACACAATTTATTTTAAACATTGCAGAACTTTGAGCCTTTGGATACATAAATAGGCATGTCTCATTCCAGAATTCTATCTTCAGATGTGTATGCGCAACATTGGTTTTAATATTGGACACAAATTCTTTTATTTTTGTCAATTCCAGAGGCAAATTGACATGATTGGTCATTTTTTGAATAATGTTCAGCAGAACTGGATTCTGTGGTAGCCATCCAAAATCTAGAATTAGAAAAAGAAACGTTTTACTGCGCATTTTCTCCTAAAAATTGTATCGCTTTTAATATTTTTATAAATTGGAATGCACCTTTCATAAGTCGCCTATTCAGTTGCATTTACATACAAATATAAAGATGGGACAAAATGCTTATTGCCGTTAAGGCATATTCTGAAATTACCAATAATGGCGGAAAACTTCAATGAAAATCATAAAAAATTATGTATGGACTCAAATATTTATACTCCAGAGCCAAAAAAAGCATAAAAGTTACAACTGTGATGGAGTAGATTCTTCAGACTACTAAAGGTGTCTACCGAAGCATAAGGCCAATCAAATTTCTTGTCTTATTATATTTGATGTTTTTGCTAGATGTTAATTGGAAACTCAAAAATATTTAAAAAAAAATTAAAAATCTTGCAAAATTATTGTTATTTAAATTCTCTGCACTGAAGAATAATTACAGATGGCGCCATTTACTACAGCAAATCGTTTTATTTCTCAATTCAGATCCCTATAACAGTGTCGATCTATGGATCCCTTGGATTTCCGGTTCATTTAATGAATGTGGCCAACGGTTCGATTTCCTCATGTCTCATTCGTAAACAACAGAGGTCCCTCGGGTTATGCATTCCACTCATTCGTAAACAACAGAGGTCCCTCGGGGGTTTTGCTTTCTCGTTCTTTTTTATCGGGCATTTCTTTTTGATTTCTTATTTGTTCCGTTGGGGACGTCTTTCATTTTGGTTTCCCACGCGCTCATTAGTTTTGCTCTTGGACAGGAAATTGGAAGGAATTGGACACATTGGACATTGGTTGGACCAACCTATATTGGAAAACATAAGCTATAAGACGCAGTGAGTATTTTGAGATTTTAGAAAGGACCTAAGGTATTTGGCATCTAGCTTCTGGTAGAAGCTTCAATGTCAATGTTTCGGAGATTTTTAATTTTTTTAATTTTTACCAGATTTACTATTTTGATGATTACTATTATTTGTACAAGGAAACCATTTTGCAACAAACGCTCATTGGATGATAATCGATTTTACTGATCTGCCAATTATTTTTTGGAAAAGTAAATCATTGGATTGGACGTTTATTCATTAAGAATCTACCTTAATTTGGGATACAACCTGGCATTTTGTATCCTGAAGAGCGCCAACCAGGTTGATATGTTATTACTCATTCCCTGTTTGGTGGTTGGAATTCGGATGTTGTAAATAATTTGGAGTCATTTTGAAATGAAGAAGATAACTAACATTTTAATCCCTGTCACTACAATATTCATTGTAGTTGCAGCAGCAAATTCCCAAGTCACAGATAATGAAAACCTTCCCCTGGTCATCAACACTTGGGCTTTTACGGAGGCCAATGAAGCTGCTTGGAGTACACTGAAAGCCGGAGGCAGTGCCATTGATAGCTTGGTTAAAGGCTGTACGACTTGTGAAGAACTACAATGTGATGGTACTGTGGGCTATGGTGGAAGTCCTGATGAAAATGGTGAAACCACTTTAGATGCCATGATAATTGATGGATCAAACATGAATATGGGCGCCGTGGCTGGGATGAAGGAAATAAAATCCGCCTCCAAGGTGGCACGTTTTGTTTTGGAACACACAAAACATTCCATGCTTGTGGGAGAGGCTGCAACCAATTTTGCAACAATGATGGGCATGCAACGTGAGTCATTGTCCACACCAAAGTCGCAGACAATTCACAAGGAATGGTTGAAAAATAAATGTCAACCAAATTTTTGGATTAATGTTGTTCCAGATTCCAACAAACAATGTGGACCTTATAAACCCCAAAGCGACGCAAATTCGCGTAGCAAACAACAATACTACTCATATAAAGTAGATCAATATAATCATGATACCATTGGCATGATTGTTATTGACAAGGCGGGTCAAATATTTGCCGGTACTTCAACGAATGGTGCCACACATAAAATACCCGGACGTGTGGGTGATTCGCCAATACCAGGTGCTGGTGCATATGCTGATAATGCGGTGGGAGCTGCTGTTGCCACAGGTGATGGTGATGTTATGATGCGTTTTCTGCCCTCCTTTTTAGCTGTAGAATTGTTGCGTATGGGCGCAACACCTGAAGATGCGGCCACGGAATGCATGCAAAGAATTGCTAGATTTTATCCAAGTTTTAGTGGAGGTTTGGTGGTGGCTACACGTATGGGGCAATTTGCCGCTGCCTGTGTTGGAATGGATAAATTTCCCTATTCGGTGGCTTTTGGTAGTGCAAACAACAGCAGCACTAGGGTACTGTATCAAACATGTATCAAAACCAAAGGAAATAAAAATGAATTGTAAAAAGTTAGGATGAGAAAAAGGTTTGAACATTTGGTTATCTATTTACTAGCTGATGAAAACCCCAGAATACGTTCCTACATTTCCATTTTTTTTTTTTTTGTCAAACTCCAGTCTCTCCTTATGAGGAATGACTCTTCGTAAAAGATAAGTATGGTTTCGTATGGAAAAATTGGAGGTTCTCGCATTTTTTTATTACGCCCAAAAGTGTGCTCTTCTATTTTTGTCTCAGGCCAGTAATGACTTTCACATTTTATTTTAGGTGGCTTTGTTGTTTGTATAATATACTTATATAGGATCCGCAACCCAACTTCTTTTTTAACTTGTGCTCATTTCGTAAATGGTAACAATTAGGTCATGTCTGATTTGAATCATAAGTAGTTCTATCCTTCCGCTAAAAGAATGGAGGTGTATATGCTTAAACAACGCTGGGAAATTTTACTTTTCAGAATGTGCGCGAAAATTGAGTGCGGATTTTGAAAGAAGAGAAGCACTGTCAGCTCCATAGCAGAGAAACATTGTCGCACTTAGGGCACATAAAACCCGCACGCATACATTGAGAAGAATGTACCCAAACTAGTTTGACAATATTGAGGTCCTGAAACGATTACAATCCTTTTCATCATTTTTCTCATTCATTTTTCATTTCTCATTTTAGCAAAAAAATGGACCTATTATGACTTCGGGCCAAAATCCCCAACAAACAGTTAGGTGTAAGTACATAAAAAGCTTGAAGTCATGGCTAGGCATCATAATGTCAAATTATAATGAAAAACGATGGCAAGATTTTAGTGGGGCTCTGTTATGCCTTAATGAAATATCACAAAATATGCCTAGCCATGACTTCAAGCTTCTTATGTAAGTCATAATAGGTGCATTTTATTTCTAAAATGAGAAATGATAAAAAAAAGGATTGTTATCGTTTCAGGACCTCAATATTGTCAAAAATTCCCGGCGTTCCATTCATTTTTCAAGATTATACACAACTGTATTCAATCAGAGTTGATTTCTACTACCAAATATATATTGATTTTCATAGGAGGTTTACACAAGACAATTTGTGTTGAATAAGAGCTGCATTTTACACATACAAAGTGACATGGTATAATAAGGAGGTGAAACAGCTTCGTAAAACTACCAAAATACATCCCTGATAGCATGGTACAATTACAGAAGGTAGAACAAAGCTACCCACTAAATACATTTTTTTCTTTTGGTGCCCTTATTCCTTCAAAACATATGCACATTTTTTTGTATGTGTGTGTACAGTACACACATAAAAAATAATAAATAATAAAAATAATTTGAATTTACTTCAAAATTCTGTTACAAAATAAATGCAAACTTTCGACGTTTATGGGCAACACATTGCACAATTTTGGGATAAATCTGTATTGTCCTACTACTTTTGATTCAATCGTGTGGAATAACCATGAAAATCCAATCTTGTTTTGCAGATTTTCCCCAATATATGAATTTTGTAAAAAAAAATTAAAAATAAACAAAACTAACTGTTGCATATTTAAAAGTCTATTTGACACTTTAAGACTTCAGCACAGAGTTGCATTTTTCTAGTTTCTTTTAAGTTGAGCAACCTTCCTTATTGAGTCATGTCTAAAAGTATGTTTACATTCAAAAATCACTGCTAAAATCGGTTATGGTAGTAAACATTTTTTCATTCTTGCAGTACTGGATCGGACAAAATGTAAGCAAGGCCCATGGTAGAAGAATACAGGTAGTTGCACCAACGCTTGGAAACACTAATATGTCAAAAATTATAAAATGTTTCTTCAAAAATAAGTAGATTTGTATATTATTTCCTACATGACGCAAATATGATATGATTTTTTCAACTAGTTTTGCAAATTTGATCAATTTTTCATTCAAAAATTTCGATTCCAAAATTTATTTGACAGTTCATTGTCCCAGCAGCTGTGTCGATGCGACAACCTTTATTATTCTACCACGGCAAGGCCTAATTCATCATTTTATTTGCTTTACATTTTGTTTTACGTTTTATTAAAACACGTTTAATGTGAACCATGTTTAACTGTCCTATTGAATTTACGTGAAATTTGTATGAGAAAATTGCCATACAAAATTGTTGTTTTTTTTTTTTATCGGGAATATGTGAAAAACAATTCCATCTTTAATTTCTAGTTTCAAAGAAAAAAATATTTTTTTTAAATTAAAACGGAACTTTTAATAGCCAGTAAACTCTGTGCAATTCGATAACGAGTATCGTCGTAAGTAACCACTAACCAGAGGTTGTCAGCACTGTAACGCGAAATATCAACGAAAGAGGAAGGCAAAAAATCGAAGCTGCGCCAACGAACAGAAAGTTTCAAGATTTTGCAAGCGAAAAGTGCATTTTACTCTCTAAGCCAGTAAAAAGAAGGAGATTTTGAGGAGCGTCTAAATTATAATTACTGTATCATAGATAAAAGAAAAACACTTCAATAAACAAGAAATCACAATGCCTATTCAACTGGACAAGATTTTGGCCGATATTGCCAATGAGGTTGTTTTACATCCAAATTATCAAGGCGCCACAAAAAAAGAAATTGACGATGCTTGGGCAAGAGTGGGAAAAAATAGTAATTTGTCGGGTAAGCAAAAGGGCGCGCGGGCAAGCCATTGTTTTCCCCATAAACAACAATAAGCTTACATGTTTTATATTCTCTTATAGTCCATGAATCTCGTTCGATATTCAAAGTTTTGCAAAAGAAATATGATCAGGAAAAAATTAAAGAAACATCGGCTTGGAAATTATTTGCGGTTATGGATAAAATTCATAAAAAAGTGGAACCCAAGCCGGAACCGCCACCACCAAAAGAAGAGTAAGTCAGATCTTTGAAAATAAACAAATGAAAATATCGATTAAAATACAAATCTAATTACAGGGAAACCAACGCCGCCATGGAAGAGGATGAAGAATATGAAATGTTGGAAGTTCAAGAGGAAGAAGATGGTGGTGGACAGCCAGGTCATCACTCTGGGGAATCGGGCTCTGAGGCAGAAAGTCCAAATAAGTCAAGTCAAAATTATTCCACATCACCAGAAAAGCAAGAAGAGCAAAAACAGACCACTAAAAACGTAAGCAAACCACAGACCACACCCTCTACTAGCTCTTCGCCTGGATCGGAGAATATTCGACCAAATACCGGAGCCAAGTTGTTAAACTCAATGGCCACTGTTACAACGACCAAGCCAAATGTTCCAACAACACCAACCTCGGTTACAGCCGCGGCTCTACAAAAGAAAGGCATTACCATGAAGAAAACCAGTGGAGTTTCTCCTGCTAATCAGCAAGGACGATCTATTATTAAAACTCAACAAGGTAGAGAGCAGCATAGAGAACACAAGTCATTATTCAAAATATTTAAATTATTTTTTTCTAATATTTTTACAGCTCGCACTGCAGCCAATGCTGGGGCCATGCATGGTTTGGAAGTTGGTAAAACAATACAGTTGCCGGAATCCCTGAAACGTAAACTATCAATAGAACCCACTACACCCCAAAATAAACGAGTCAATCAACAACATACGCCCCAGTCTACAAAAGGTTCTCCTTCTTCGGCTTCAACAAAATCTTCACCACAAACCCAACAACAGCAAAACCAACAGCAGCACACCACAACTGCCCAGCTATTGCAACTTAAACAAGATTGTCAAGAACAAGAGCGTCAACAAAACTCTGGAACAACTCCACCAGGCATTAATGTCATTACCATACCAGCAAATCCTTCCGGCAATCTGGTAAATGGTATTATAAACACCAGCGCTGGAGGTCCTTCGTCTTCCACAGCGGCCACTGTAGCTTCGACAACCTCAACTAATGGCTTTTCACCGCGCATTGAGGATATTGATTTCCGTAATGATATTATTTTTGATTCCAATAATGCTGTTAATGGCTCTGCTATGCCTGGCAAGGTACCCAATGCCTCAGAAATTATTAATCTGGGCAATTTTGATAACTCCTTGCCGCCAACGTTCTTTAAGAATTTGTGTAACTCATCGCGACACGAGGCATTGGGTCTGTATGTGGCCAATGTTATGAATCGCTTGCGTCCTCGTTCGGCCGCAAAACTGGAAGTTGGCATATTAAGAGCCATTTTAGATGTACAAAGCGATGAATTGGACCAGTAGATTTTAGTTTTTTATAAGAATTGTCTTAATAGTTGAGAATACCATATGTTAAGTATTGTCACCTTTTTTTTATTATTTTAAATGCCATGTCTTTGTGCTCGTTTCTCCATTTTGATTTATTTTTTAATTCTTGGTTTTAATGAACTGTTCTGTTATTGTAGCGTACATTTAGAGAAGCCAACCTAGCCCTATGCTAAAGTATTTCCATTAAAATAATCCTACTCCCTCTCATGTTTAGTTTATAAGTTAACCATTTTTAAATAAAACAAATAAAAGTAATTATGACGAACGATGTGAAAGAATTTTGGTTCTCTTTGTGGGTAGAGAAAGAAAAAAAATGCACAACAATACACACATTTAAAAAGGGCGGGAAATTCGATTGAGCAACAGCTGCAAACAAATGTGTGGAATACAACAACAAATGTTTAGGGGTGAAACTGAGATAGCAAAACGCTGTTACTTGGAAATGCTGCTAGTAATTGTAAGGATAGCTGGGTAGTCCAAGGGAATTTTTACTTCAGGCAACAATAGCAATGTTAGGTTAAGTTGAAGAAGTTGTTGTTTTTGGTGCAGATTGTGCCGCGATCAATGTTTATTCCTTTAACATGTGCATATGTGTGGGTGTTCAAGGTGATCTGATAATTGCTTGTTTTCAAGGACAAAACGTTGATGTTAAAATAGTTCTATGTGTGCATTTATATAATTTCAAGGAATACCTACAATAGCTTCAACACGTAGATTTTAAGTCATTTTTTACACAAACAGTGTTACAATTGGTGGATATTAAATTAATTTTTTCCAGGAATATTTGTTTTAAAGAAAGCGGTTATTTACTTTGTTGACGGAAGAACTTCTGAGCTACACAACCTGAAATATTTCAGATTTTTTTTTATTTTACGAAAAACTTACCACGAGTTTGAATGAATTTCTTAGAATCTGGCTGCCATACATAAAAATTTATATTGTGTGTTCTGTTATCCAATAATGCCAAGATATCTACCACTTCCGATGAATCATTAAAATAGAAATGCATTACTTTCGAAGATTGTGTAGGGAAAGTTTGTGCAATTTCAAAATGATCCAAGGTATAAGACGTATCTGAAAAATAATACATCCAAGTATATATATAAAAATATTTAAAAAATTATAATTTTAATTACCTTTTGTTATATTGAGCAAATACCGTTCAAAACCCTGTAAACTTTTGAAATTCTCTAGATCTATTTTCGAATCAGCATCCACACTGGATTCTGTGGTGATGTCATCTAGGGATCTTTGCCAGCGTGTGTTGTGCATAGAATTGTCGGGACCATAGTAGTTATCCACATTTACGGTTTCCTTGAACACCACATGGCTTGAAATTTCCGTATTCGATGCCCATGGAATTAAACTGTCCATTAATTTCGGCATATATTCGGAATTAATAAAATCAACATATAAATTATCAATATTATTCGTTAAGAAACGTTTCTCATCTTTGAGATGACTGGTTATGCGTAAATTTTTCGGTAAGATTTGTTTGCGATCTTGTAAAAAGAGATGATCTTCATGAAACGTTACATTGTTAAGTGTCCCTATAACTTGTATGTCATTAAAGACATTCAGTGATGATATTGTTGTGGTGCCATGTATCGTATAATTTTCATAAAGATAAACAGCATCATTGATCCACTTGCCAAGTGGAATTTTATTAAGCACACTTGTGTGATCGGCCATCAGATTATCTATGGTGGCACCTTTCAACATCATTTTCGGAGCTCTAATTACATAGGGCGCATCGTTGTTGACATTATGAACGACATCATCTACTAAATTTAAATTATTTATTAACACTTGATTGAGGTTTCCATCAATAACTGCTTCAAGAATAGACCAATTCCCGGTAATGGTTGGAGGAGGATGATCATAGTTTGATTTTAAGGTATTTTCGACAAATTTCATAAAGTCCAATTGTGTTCCACTGCAAAAAAACATGAAGATTTAATTAAACATTTACGAAAGTTTGACATAAATGTTATTAAATTATAATGGATTTAGTGCTGTTAACACGAAAGTTCTGCAAAAAAAGAGCGGTTGGAGAGAGACATTTTGACAGTTCTTTCGGTGAGAGTTTGCAAATTCTTACGGGAAAAGTAACCAGACACACCTAATAATTCCGTGCAGAATAGAAGGTGTAACAATTGATCTCGAAGTTGCATTTTCCTGCAGAAAAATAAAAAGCTAAAGGGAGTTATTTACGTTAAAGCTTTTTTTCCGGGTTAACCTTTATTTTTAAGATTTATTTGAGCTACCTATATACAATAGTATTGACAGTTTAAATCGACTGGGTTTTATTTTAAATCCAACGTACTATTAACAAAGAATTTAAAGTATTTCTAACGAAAAGCATCCGATGTATATAACACCATGAATTTTATAAGTTTCAATTTAATTAATTATAATTATTATTAAAACACACTATTTGATGGGAATTTGACCAAAAAAGCATGCAACTTATTTATTAAAGCTGTTAAAAATACAGCCACATTTGAAATTAAAAAAAAAATGCAAGACATCAAATATACATTTCTAATTAAAAAAAAAAACAATAGTAAATTCAATATCTTTAGTTTCTTGTTTTTAAATTATTTTTGCTTTTTTAATCCAATTTTTCAAATTGCCCTCAACAAATAGGATACACTAGGTACGAAAAAGACCTATTAGTGTTGCCAACTTCACATATTATTTCTTCTCAATTATTCATGATTAAACTAATCGAGATTAATCGAGAAAAATGCTCTCCGAGAGAATAAAATTCTGAGCGCATATTTATGTTTTGGCTGAAATTGTTAAATTTGCCTTAACACTTCAATATTATCACGTCAAATTAAATGATTTTTCGTTTCGTTTTTCATTTTAAATTTTACGTACAAAATAATACCATTATACCCGTGAATGTGGCAACATAATATTGTCTGGTGTCGCATTTACAATTATGTGGCAGCTTAGGTTATTTTTATGTTGCCTCTTCCATTTTCTCAACATTCGGTGTGTTGCCTCCTCCATATTCTACACTTGGCCTGTTGCCTCTTCCCTCATTCACAACTCTCTTTGTTGCTTTGAGTCGAGTCGGTAGTGTTCGCATTAGTTGTGTAAGTTATTTAAATTTATTTAATATTTGTTAATTTGTTTTATTATTGATCAGGAATAGTGTGTATCCAAGGCTCCATTGACCTCTGTGCTCGACGAATTGAAGTACCCAATTTGCCACTAGTGTGGGAGCAAAACAAACTCTTTTGTTTTTAGTATGCGCCACGCCGCCAAATTGCAGGCAATGAAATGACTGATGAAGAGAGATTGGCAACCGGTTAGCGATCTTGAGGCGAAGGCGAAGCACTTCCTCTTATCACTTAATAAACTAGAAGTGAGGTTAATAGTGGGCACTCTACTGGCTTTCGAATTGTATGTCAGTATTGCTTTCTGCTGTAGACTATGTGAGGATGATGAAGAGTTAGAGACATTGGAACACATATGAACATGTTATAAAACATCATCGGCTATACAAAAGATCTTAACTGGACTTTGTTTTTCTATCAATTCTTCCTTGGCGTCCAGGATGAGCATCCTTCATGAATTTGATATCATTCAAGTCAGTGGTGTATTTTAAACTGAACAAAGGTCCCTGAGCTATTTAGTCATAGTTCCGCAGTGGTTACATTATTGATTGATTTATATTTTCGACATAACCTAATCATCTTAATTGCACACACGATATCCACGCTGAAGCTATTATAAGATTAATTTCTCTATCTTCGGGGATACCAGTAGGACCCTACCTATCTGTTACAAAAACCAGAAATACTAAAATTCTTCCATCTTATATCGTTCATAGTTTGAACAACATCAGGTTTTTTTACGAGTTTCCCGTAGCAGAGATTCCAAGAAAAAGGAGAGCTTTTATGGGCCAGAAGACCACTCATATACCAAAGACCTATCGGTCTACTGTAGACAGAAGACCTCTTACGGCATCTGCATAATATATGAATTGAATTTCTTCCATTAATGGAATTTTATTTAAAGGATTGCTTTGAAATAAAATATTCTGAAGAAAATCTTTTTAATGTCCCTAATGGATAAATAACTCTACGGAGGTCTACTAAAGATTATTTTTGTTGTACAACAGGTGTAGTAAACTAGGCAACTAAAGTTTGCATTGGAGCTGATCATCATCATAATAGTTCTGCAGAAAGCTTTTAAAAAGATATTGCCTCTTACCTTTCTTTCTCGATTATGGGTCCAAATAGCTGAATATCATCGGCTTGGATATCTTCGGCAAAAGTTACAGTTTCCGCAAAAACAACTTGACTGACAACCTGTTGCGGCTTTGTTTTACTAAAGTAATTCTCACTAATATACGACAAGTCCATGTTGTTCATGGGACCCTGAAAAGGAATAAAAACACAAGAAATGTTGCCATTAAAAAGAGTTCTAATGGTAATGCTGAATGGAGTCTGATACACATAAATAATCAAACATATTCCATAAATACCTCAAATTCCAATAGGCCCTCAAAATAGGCATCATCGATTTCAACATTTTCCTGTAAGACCACATTTTCATTGGCTAGCCATACGTTATCCAAAATTGTTGGTATATTCTGATAATTTAGAGTTTTATAAATAGGTGGTCCATGTTTTAAATAGGCGTTCTCTACAATCAATTGTTGTGTATAATCCTCTTGGAGAAATTTATGTAATGCCTGGACGTGAATGCCTTTAATGATTGTTAGATTTAAGGGATCTCCTATCACTTCCAGATCTCCTTCAATGATGAGAGGATGTAGTACCCTTTGTACTTCATTACGGCATAAAAATTCTTCAGGAACATAATAATGATTAAGAGTTTGTGTGGTTAAACCAGATGACATTTCAATGGGATTTTCTGGAAAACGAAAAATATTTTCAATTAATGTTTTTTTTCCTGAATACAAAACCAACTCACCAAACATCATTTCATTTAGAAATTCATCCCGATTAATCCAATACGTTTTCGTATAGAGATCATTGATCGAGAAACCATTCAACTTCCCCCCAATGTGCAAACCATTTTCCGCTGTCACCGTACCAAAAGTCTGTGGCACCATAAACACCTGTTGTTCGGCGGCGTATTTTTGCAGCCAACTTTTGCCTAATTCCTCTGCTTTGATATCATTAATTTTGCCATAGAACGATAATTTCGTGACATTCATGGGATAATTAAATTTGAAATTGCCCACATATTTTATATTGCCCTCCAATTGCAAGAGATTTCGTTCGATTTCTTGTATATTACGTTCATTGATAGTTGAGTTTAATATTAAATTTTTCACATAAATCGAACCATGGAATTTTTGATGTTTCGAAAAGATCTCTTGTTGATTGGGGGCACTACGTGACTTTTGCCTGTATATATCAACGATGTTTTGTTGAAATATTCGATTGTTGGTATTAAGATTGTCCACTTTCAGCGTTTCCACTTTAAGATTATCCACAATTAGATTGCCGTTAATAGTTTGATTGGTTGATTTTGTAAGGTATTCGGTTATATTGCGGTTGTTGATAAGAATTGAAGTGCTATTGATGCTGGAATTGGGGAGAAGATTGAACAAAAAGCAAGGTATGGTAAAACATACAAATAGAGAGATAAAGATTCCTTGGAAAACTTCAGGAGATCTTTTTGTAAAAGTTATGAAGACACCTCTAGATCTCACCAAAGATTTTCGTCAAATTAAGAAAATCTTACCTCTTGGCTTGAATTTTCCCAACTTTCATTGGCACGCCAATGGTTTGATTATTATTTCGTAGAAATGAATTCTTCTCCAATTTTTCCATATCAATGCCATTGAGATTTTTAAATTCACTAAAGCCACGGCTAATTTCCAATGAGCCGGCAAATTGTTTGGCACCTTCTATTATTTGTATTTCATCTTGATTGAGTTTGACGAGCCGTTGTAAATCATTACGATTTACAAAACTCACCAGCGTATTATTCGCCACAATGGGTTGCAGAAATTTCAGTTTAATATCTTCCAAAGTCTTATTCATTCGAATGCCTCGATCCAGAGTTTGCCTTACGGACATCTTTTCACGCAAATCGATAATGTCCCCTGTTTTGAGCAAACGATTGATATCAACATCGCCATTTATCATAAAATCACCCTGCAGTTGCAAGGGTTCGTGGATGGCCTTATTGGGTGTTATGGATTCTAGATGTCTACCCAACATTTGACCCTAAAAAAATTCAACATATTTAGGTTATTTTGCCATTGAAAAACACACCACCCCCAACTTACCGCAATTGTTATGGGTTCCATAACTTTAACATTACGCATACTTTTTGGACCCTCAATAACTTGGGTTTCATTCGATCTGCGCAGCAAAACATCCAGTTTACCTTGCAAAACTCGTACATTATTCAGGCGCTCATTGATTTGAACGGCCTTGGCACGAATCGGTTGGGAAAATTGTATGTCCTGATTGATGGTGTATTCCCCGCCATCGATGGGAATTAGGCTACTTAAATGTTGTTGATTTACCACATTCCCCGTGACAACAATGCGAGGGGTTTCTAAATTTTTTATTTTAACATTGGCTGCATTAATTATTTGTTCCTCCTCTTCTGGCATACGTTTTAGGGTATCATTTAATAAATCATTCCATGTATATTCATTCAATTTGCCATTAATATTAAGATTTCTAATCATAAGTATCTCATTGTCTTCCAAATAACTAACGTCAGAAAATCTCTCTTCCGCAATGGGGGGTTTCATGAAGCTTTCATAGATGGTTATTTTCTTTGCATGGATTTCTTTGAACTCTGGATTTTCAATATCTATTTGGTTGATCTTCTTTGCTTGCAGCCTATTGTTGAGAGTCAATTCCTTGATGTTTAAGGTATCATATTCCAAATCATCGGCTTGATCTTGTCCCTGATCTTTATTGTTGCTATGACGTTTTGCGTGTGGTTTTTGTAGAATATCTCTTTCCAATATATCCAAAGCCTGATTTATATAGGATAGGGGTTTCCAATAGTTGGTGGACATTTTCCTATTGGGGTATACCAGCTTTTTCAAGGCGAAATCTTTTAATTTAAAAGGAAGTCAAAATTTTAGGGCATTTCTTACCATTTTTGTAGAGACCGTGTCGATTTTGGCAGCGCTAATGTCTCTTTTCAGTTTTGCTCCGTAGGATTCCAATATTCCACGTTTGTTCTGTGTAGAAATAATAAAATGGAACAATATAATGCACGAAGCTTTTGAAATACAAGAAAACTCCAGCCCTACGTACAAAAATTTTGTCCCTAATCTGTCCCTGCCGCATATTTTTATACCCTCCACCATAGTATGGAGGTTATATTAAGTTTGTCATTCCGTTTGTAACACCTCGAAATACACATTTTAGACCCCACAAAGTATAAATATTCTTGATCAGCATAAAATTCTATGTCGGTTTAGCTATGTCCGTCCGTCTGTGCAAATCACTCTAGCTTCCGAACGAATTGAAGTAGATTGATAAAATTTTGCACAAATGTAGGTTATGTCTGCAGGACTTTTGGTATTGAAAATGTAGGTCCACGTTTTGGTATAGCCCCCATATAACGGTACCTCCCGATATTCGGTATTTTGATGATTTTAGCGACGGAATAGTTTCAAATTTGGTATTTGAAGTACGTAATGGATACTACAGCCTAAGACTGAAAATTTTCTGTGCAGATCCACCTCTTCGTAAAGCCCTCATATAACCGTACCTCCCGATATTCTGTATTTTAATGATTTTAGGGGCATTTTTCACCAGATTTGTTTTAAATTTGATATTTGAAGTTCGTAATAGATACTTCAGCCTACGACAGAAAATTAGCATTTCCAAACACTTCAAATTCCCAAATATAAATTATTGATGTGCTTCTGGAAAACATTCATGGTGTGTCAGTATCTATTATTCATTCCCGCTTTTAGAGGTGAGGTGACTGCCGAATACTCGGCGAAGCTTCATCCGCAACCATTTTGTTCACGTGATTTGTTTGTATTTTTAACGAAAAAAGATGTCTCAATTAACCTTTCATCCAAGCTTCACTTTTCTCCCTGATGAAAGGAAACGGTAGAGTACTTGCTATGTCAATGTTCAGGACGGTCGAGCAAACGACAAAGGCTTCAAGGAAACCTTGTCGACCTCTTATAAACGCTATAGGTTGGTCTGAGGTCAGCTATGCGGCTACAGTGTGGTCTGCGAATACTAGTGCTACGCAGTGGAAGCACATCCAGACCTGCCAGGATGCTGCCGTGATAACTGCGAAAGGGTGCCTTCACATGATACCTGTGGACTATCTACATGAGAAGGCAAACGACCTTCTCATACGTCAGCATATGTTTTCGTTGCAGTACCTGTTTGGGTGTTACCGTGAGAGTCATTCCAACCATCATACGGTAGATACAACTCCCCCACCCAGGCGTGCCAGGAAGGACATACACGATCTCGAGAGGGAGGTCCAACGCTATAAGAGAGAACCTCTAGATCAAGAAGCCTATCAGGCAGGTCTCATTGGCATTCATACCGATGAAGTCGCAGATGCTATCAGCAATTACAGGATAAATATAGTCCTCGAAGTACACCTCCCATCCATTGCAGCTGAAGAACGCTAGCTGCCTCGACAAACCAGGTTAGTTTTGCGCAATTACGTTCAGAATGGTGCAGTCGTCTCAATTCGTATTGGGCACGTATTGACAAAGATGTGCGTTACGCCCGCCCGTCGGGTGATACCGGCCCGCACAGTACGCTGCACCTCTTTAATTGTACAGCCAAAACTACTCAACTCACTTCAGAAGATCTATGGCTACAGCCTGCTAAAATAGCCGAATTTTTAAACCTGGAGCTTTAACCAGATTAGCAGAAAACAAACATCCATATGTACTACTACTACTACAACAACAAAGGATGCACCTCGTTAAGGGGAGATCTATATTTTAGGGAAATAACTTCTTACCTGAACCTGGATGGTCAATTCCTCAATATCATTGGTTTGAACTCGCTTCGATTCGCTTTCAAGCCAATCCATGATGTCCTGTTTCAATTTATGAATTTTTGGGTTATTTCTAAATTCAGGTTTATAAACTACCATTGTATCTTCAATTCGATATCGGTGGCTTATTAACAAACATGGATGTTCATCCTCCTGATGTACATAAAAGTTATGGCCTGTAAAGTGCATCGATGACTCATGGAACATTCCACGATCAAAATGAAACAGCCGAATATCATCTTCACCGTAGGATGCCAAGAGAAACAATGATTTTGGGAGCTATAAAAGGAATGGAACAAATTATATAACTTTTGGAAAGAATATCACATTTGTCACCTACCTGAACCACTTTGATTTTCTTAACCCTACTTATAGGCAATTGCTGAAAGGGTATAAATTGATCAAGATCATTGAAAACATACACCCCTGAGTTATCCCTGCCACTGGAGGCAAAAATCAAAAAATGCTTTGCATCTTCTGTCTCTTCCTGCGTCTCAAAATACTCCACATCCATTGACGAAGGTGTTTGAATTTCTTGAAATAATTCAAATTTTTGAGAGGTTTGGGAAAATTTTAAAATTTTTTGATTGCCATAGACAGCTAGTGCAATGTAGGTCTCTTCGTTTATGGTAAATAGTCTCATGTTTTGAGTATAGTAAGGGCAAAATGTATTGCCTTGGATCTTGAATTTCATATTCTCCGACCATTTGAAATAGGGGCAGGAGGTCTCTACATTATTGGTAATATGAAAAAGATAAAATCCATTATCGCCAACGTGAAGTACGGATTTTCTTAAATCTGGTGTTGATAAATTCTGAATGGGCTTTATATGCTGAGCCGTTATTTCATATATAATCGAGTTATCTTCAGTTCCTGGCACACTTGATGTTTTGTTCTTCTGGACAATTGAAACATAACCTTTACCATTGAATTCAGCACAATCCATTGACACTGCATTAGGTTGAGGTGTACTGGCTATTTGGTCATATGATTCGTTCTGGAAAAAGGGAAACAAATTGGATAATTAATTTTTTTGGATTGTTTGCATTATTTGAATTAGAGCCTGGACACTATGGTGCTTTCAATTGTCCTGCCTCGATGACATGGTATCCAATAACACTTGGAACTATTGGTCAGTTTTCTTTACGTGATCACATATAAAAGATGATGCTTTGTCATCAGCAGCTTTGTTTAATATAAAATGTTGAGAAGATTCCGTTCCACCAGTTGGTACAGAAATTTGAAACTCAGCCTCTAAACTAGTTTCAGTCTTCTGACGGTTTACAGTGCTTGGCGTAGACAAGCCCTGTAATCTAATGGTATTCATAAGAGTGTTTTACTTACCAACATTTTCATCACAGTAAACTGCCTCGATCCTCTCTCATTTCGATGTAGTGCTGCAATATATTTTTCCTCAGAATCCGTGTGGATTATACATGTATCCAAGGGAAAGGGGATTGGTATGGTAGACACCTTCTTAAATCCAGTCCATGTTGGAGGATCTAAACAAAAGAATATTTTTTTTTACAAATTCTAACATTCTCTTTTCCGTCTTCTTTTTTTAGCTCGCTCCGCAATGGATGATCAATTGGAAATGTACAAAGAGTGTATTACCAAACAGCTGGAAGAAGTCGATATGTTGTCATCAATTTATTGCAGTCCGGGCGAAATGCACATTTTCGATCCCGGAGTTATTAGCGATTTCAATGAATTCCTACAGAACCCCACCAATGAAAATGTGATGATGTACCTAAAAGCCCATCTAGATTATAGTATTAAATTGCAATGTGGAAGACAGAATGATAAAATCGAAATACGCATCGAATTGCCACACATGTATCCATTGTTGGAAAATGCCATTGTAATTGTTCACACGCCACTGCTAACGAAGAACAAGGAGATCTATTTGAAAAAGGAGCTAGAATTGTACATTGAATCCATGGATAAAACTGAAACATATATCTATCAAGTTTTATCATGGTTACAAGATTACATCGATGATTTGATACAAAAGAAAGCCAGTGAATTTGAGGATATATCCACAACAACAACGACAACAAATCACGAAGAGGAAATGTTGGATTTTGAACGGTTGTGGATCTATTCACATCACATCAAATCGAAAACAAAACGTCAGGAAATCGTCAAGGAGGCACGCAATTTGGAATTGAGTGGTTTTAGCCGTCCCGGCAAACCGGGCATTATATGCGTGGAGGGTACCAAGGAAAATACCCAAGAATTTTGGCGTACAATACGAGCCTATGGTTGGCAAAAGATTTCGTTGTGTAAAATTGAATCGGCACGCAAGCCTAGAGATAAAATGGATAAATTAAGACGTTTTGAGGGTTTCAAGGAACAGCTGTTTTGTGATGATATCGAAAGCAATGATGGTGTCATGAATATGGCATTATTTCTTAAATATTTGGAAAACCATAACTCTGGCTATATGAAAAAGGAGTTGTTTGGTTTGGAGTAAAGTGCCTATTTTGTATTTGTAAATATTTAGAATTTGTTAATATTTTTTTATATTGTTAATAAAAAAACTTTTAAAGTTTACAAATTTTAAATTTAATGGGGATGTGTGAATTCATTATCAATAGAAAACCACAAAAAAGGAGGAGAATGGTTTCATTGGAAGAATTAAATTATTGTAATATAGAATTTTATACGTAACAATAGTTCTCAAAACTTTTCCTGAAACAAAAAATATTCACCTTCATCCATTGGCAACAAGAATTTCTTTAATTCTCTCTTGTGTAAATTTGAGTTAAAGGGCTCCTCTTTTAAATCATTTTTATAATAAAAATTCACATTAAATCCACTTCCGAACTTAAATAAATTTAATATTATGAATAAAATTAATATACTCTTTTTAGGCATTTTTATCATCAAACACTGACAAATTATTTCACATCTAAACACTGTACTTTTTTGTTCAATATTAGAAATTTATTGCAAATTAAACCGTTATTATTTCAATTGATAATGGGTTAGTATTTCAACTAACTGTTCATTCATAAAAAATGAGACTTTAATAAGTACGTATAGCAAAGGTGATCATTTTGTAGGGTTGCCAAGTTAGGCGTTAATAAATTAACGACAATCCCTTCATTTCAGAGTATGAACAAAATTATATGAAATGTTTGCATTCGATCCGTTTTATATTTCCTCAGTACGAAAAGTAACAAAAATTATACTCAGATAATGGTATTTGTTGTTTTTTGTTTCGTACTGTTTGTGCAAAAACAAGAACAAAATTGAAATGTACTCTGCTGGGGGACGAAACATTGAAAAGTAAATAGTATTCATTGTGAATGTTTGCTTGTGCATTAACTCAATATAAATGGTGAACAATAACAATATTAACTTTTATTTAATGTCTTTTTAATAATATTAATAATATAAATAATATAAGAAATAAACGGCAAAAAGGCCCAGAAACAATATTTAGATTTATAACTCAAAAGGTGAGAATACATAAAATGCTTTTTTGACAGGCTTAAGTAATCGGCTGGCTTCTTAGTAGATGAAAAAAGGAGTTTTAGGTTGACTTAGTTCGATTTTTGCGCTAACCTCCTTTGCTCTTTTTCGATGAAGCCAGCCGATGAATTAAGTCGGTCAAAAAAGCGTTTTATGTATTCTCACCTTGAAAGTATCAGTCGCGTTTCGAAACGATTTAAGGTGAGAATACATAAAACGCTTATTTGACTGGTTTAAGTCATCGGCTGGCTTCTTCGTATAAGAACAAAAGAGAGTAGGGCCGAAATCGATCTAAGCAAACCTAAAATTCCATTATCCCCCTACGAAGAAGCCAGCCGAAGTCTTAAGCCAGTCAAACAAGCGATTTATGTATTCTCACCATTACTCGCAACGAACAAGTCGACACCCAAAGTCGACCAAAAATACTACTTCTGACAACATTTGGCAATAAACCTAGTAGTTTTGCACTATTGTAATTTGACTCCCTTTGAATTTCAAATCACAATATGAATTCTGACGCAAACTTGGTTGTCAGATGGGCTTACTGACCGACCTTATGTATGTAGGCAATGTCGGGATCAGTATTTTAATCGGAAAACTATCAGGGCTGTCACAGAAACCATGTCGGTTTTGCTATTTGTCGTTTTTGTAAACCAATGTTGGTTTCATTTGGTGTCATGAAACCAAGTTGGTTTTGTCAATTTCGAATGTAAATAAAACCAATGTTCGAAACAGCTGTTGTTGCTTACATGTGTTGTTTGTTTATTTGTCATTGAAATATCAGTAAAAGTAAAGTAAATAAAAAAAGGAATAAGTCGCTATAAATAAAATAAGATGGCATCAGCAGTGGTAGTTTTTGTGTTTTGGACGAAGAACGCTCAGAAAAGGTGACGAGAAAAGCTCTTAGAGATTTCAGCAACCCACCGGAGTTGCCGGAGATTGCGTAAGTCATTTTTTTTATTGTGAACTTACTCATAAAGCTGCTTTGCAGATTTAATGTTTATGGTCCTTTAAAAAATTATTTAAAAAATCCTTAAAAAATCTACGTTTATGGTCCTTTAAATATCCTTTAAAAAATCCACGTTTATGGTCCTTTTAATATCCTTTAAAAATTCTTTAAAAAATCCACGTTTATAGTCCTTTAAATATCCTTTAAAAATTCTTTAAAAAAATCCACGTTTATAGTCCTTTTAAAAAATCCACGTTTATGGTCCTTTCAATATCCTTTAAAAATTCTTTAAAAAATCCACGTTTATAGTCCTTTTAAAAAATCCACGTTTATGGTCCTTTCAATATCCTTTAAAAATTCTTTAAAAAAATCCACGTTTATAGTCCTTTTAAAAATCCACGTTTATGGTCCTTTCAATATCCTTTAAAAATTCTTTAAAAAAATCCACGTTTATGGTCCTTTCAATATCCTTTAAAAATTCTTTAAAAAAATCCACGTTTATAGTCCTTTTAAAAAATCCACGTTTATGGTCCTTTCAATATCCTTTAAAAATTCTTTAAAAAAATCCACGTTTATGGTCCTTTCAATATCCTTTAAAAATTCTTTAAAAAAATTCACGTTTATAGTCCTTTTAAAAAATCCACGTTTATGGTCCTTTCAATATCCTTTAAAAATTCTTTAAAAAAATCCACGTTTACGGTCATTTCAATATATTTTAAAAATTCTTTAAAAAAATCCACGTTTATAGTCTTTTTAAAAAATCCACGTTTATGGTCCTTTTAATATCCTTTAAAAATTTTTTAAAAAATCCACGTTTATGGTCCTTTTAATATCCTTTAAAAATTCTTTAAAAAAATCCACGTTTATAGTCCTTTTAAAAAATCCAAGTTTATGGTCCTTTTAATATCCTTTAAAAATTCTTTAAAAAATCCACGTTTATGGTCCTTTTAATATCCTTTAAAAATTCTTTAAAAAATCCACGTTTATGGTCCTTTTAATATCCTTTAAAAATTCTTTAAAAAATCTACGTTTATGGTCCTTTTAATATCCTTTAAAAATTTTTTAAAAAATCCACGTTTATGGTCCTTTTAATATCCTTTAAAAATTCTTTAAAAAATCCACGTTTATGGTCCTTTTAATATCCTTTAAAAATTCTTTAAAAAATCCACGTTTATGGTCCTTTTAATATCCTTTAAAAATTCTTTAAAAAATCCACGTTTATGGTCCTTTTAATATCCTTTAAAAATTCTTTAAAAAATCCACGTTTATGGTCCTTTTAATATCCTTTAAAAATTCTTTAAAAAAATCCACGTTTATAGTCCTTTTAAAAAATCCACGTTTATGGTCCTTTTAATATCCTTTAAAAATTCTTTAAAAAATCCACGTTTATGGTCCTTTTAATATCCTTTAAAAATTCTTTAAAAAATCCACGTTTATGGTCCTTTTAATATCCTTTAAAAATTCTTTAAAAAATCCACGTTTATGGTCCTTTTAATATCCTTTAGAAATTCTTTAAAAAAATCCACGTTTATAGTCCTTTAAAAATTCTTTAAAAAAATCCACGTCTATAGTCCTTTAAAAATTCTTTAAAAAATCCAAGTTTCTACTCCTTTAAAAATTGTTTAAAAAATCCACATTTTTAGTCCTTTGAATATCCTTTAAAAATTGTTTAAAAAATCCAAAGCAAATGAAAAGTAACAGCTCTAAGCAACTTGGTTTATTTCCAATAACAAAACCAATAACATTGGCTTCTATGACACCGATAAAATTCTAATTCGAAATTAAAACCAATAACATTGATTTTCATGACACCAAAGCATTTTTTCTTGTCGTTTTTAAAACCAATAGTGACAAAATTGATTTCTATGACAGCCCTGTATAATTTATCCACAAGTCTTGTTTGTTTTGTGAAAATATGTAAAATAAAATGTTTGCCAAATACTCATTGATATATAGGGTGAGATAAAAAAACTGTAACAAAGTCAAACACCATAATTTTTACATTTTTTTTAATTTTATTGAATGAAAGCAAAAATGTCGAAATAGCAAAAAATTTTAGAATAAGTTTAGATATGTTCGAATTGGTCACCTTGGGCACGAGTTATGGCCTTCAAACGGCCAATGAAACCGTCACACGCTGCTCGAATGTTGCTCTGCGGCATTTTGGCCCATTCCCGGCGAAACGCTTGCTTGAAGTGATCGACACTTTGGTATATTTAGTGCCAACCTTGCTTTATAAAATAATCCAATAATAAATAATAATAATCCGACGGATTGGTATCCGGAGATTTTTGAAATGAAGCAACCATTCTTGGGTGGCGCGTGCTGAGCGTGATGGTGCTGAGTCCTGTTTGAATGTCAAAGGTCAGCGGCCAAAATGTTTGCGTGCCAAAGGCGATAATATTCGGCATTTATTCTAATGCCACGGTCGATTAATACGAGCTGTTACGGCGGCCCACATCATCACCATGGCCGGCGCTTGAGTTCTGGTGGCCAACCGAAGGTGCAAATTTTCAGCTGACCTCTTTGGCAAGTAAACACAATCATTTTGTTTGTTTACAAACTACTGGACAACGAATGTCTTCTCATCGGAGAAAACAAAATTCGGCAGTTCACCACTTTCGGCCAAGCGAAACAACTCTTTAGCTCTTTTGAGTCTATTTCTTTCCGTTGCGGTGTAAGTTCTTGCACTTTTTGGAATTTCAATGGCTTTACTCCGAGAAACTTTTTTCAATATTTGCCGAATGGAATATTGCGAGCCATTTTTCGGCCACTGCGACGCGGGTTTCGATCAAGTCGTTTCTTTACTTTTACGAGCGATGGTACAAGACACAAAAGATTTATTCACATTTAAATGCTGGAGTGCTCTGGAGAGCCACTTGTGGTTTTCCAGCCAAATATAAAGAAATCACAATATCACGTTTTAATTTCGTCAGGAATAACTTTTTATTCTGGAAAATTCTCACTAAAATGCGTATGTACGCTTGTAAACAATATAATGAGCCGTCACGGGAATAATTTTTACAGCTGTCGGACGAGTGGCTTAGAAATGACAGCAGTCTGAAGTTGGTTGCAGACTTTTCATCTCATCCTGTAAAATGGATTTATAAATATATGTACATATGATTTCATGACTTTACCTTCTTAATTCTACCATGCTATTCATTTTAAATGCACTCGATTTCTAAAACAATATTTTAAATCCTTCTTGTTTAGACTTGTTTAAAATAATATAGATTGTCAGGCAGCTTATCTTTTTTTACATATATATATATATATATATATATATATATATATATATATATATATATATATATATATATATATATGCTCTTGTTTATATAATCATTTTTAGGAGCAAAAACAGTGTTGTATCTCAAAATGTTTAGATTTAACATTGGATTTATGCTATTCAAGATTAATCTGATAAATACAGGTAGAAGAATATAGGTAGATGCATCAACGCTTGGGAACATTGATATGTTAAAATTTTTAAAATGTTTTATGAAAAATAAGTAGATTTTTAAATGTTTTTTATACGACGCAAATCAGAGGTTGTTATAATATGAATTTTTCAACAATTTTTACAAATATTAATTATTTTTCATTCAACATTTTCAATTCCAAAATCGGTTTGACAGTTCATTGTCCCAGCAGCTGTGTCGATGCGACTACCTGTATTCTTCTGCCATGATACAGTGGGTTAATTATGTGTGTTTAGATACACCCATGGTAGAAGAATATAGGTAGACGCATCGACACAGCTGCTGAGACAATGAAATGTCAAACCAATTTTGGAATTGAAAATGTTGAATGAAAAATTATAAAAATTTATAAACATTGTTGAAAAACAGGAATTATAATATTCTCCGAATGGCGTCGTATAAGAAAACATATAAAAATCTACTTATATTTAAAAAAAACATTTAAAATTTTTTGACATATCAATGCTCCCAAGCGTTGATGCATCTACCTGTATTTTTCTGCCATGGATACACCCTTAGCAGGATATAAATGCCGATCAGCTGATGTTTTCTTATTCAAGTTAAGGAATTTTACATTCAATTTTATTTGATGATTATGTATTTTAATATATAAAATATATAAGCAAGTAAATATTCTGTATTTTATTACATATGTTCTCCAATTTCCAATGCATTGTTAGAACCTTTCGGTTGACTTTCGACTACCTTTTCTTCCTCGAAACCATTATTACTGAAAGCCATGTTCAAATTTTCATTCTGCAGACTACCGGCAAAATCATTTTTATATTTAAGACAGCATAGATTTTTATGCAACCACATCTTGACGGATTTCCACCAAGCCTAAGTTGGAAGAAGAGAATGTGGAAAGATGAGAAATAATCACCATATATTTCATTTATTAAATTTTCCTTGTCTTTACAGAACTTACATTTTCCTTTTTCTCTTTTGGTAGTTTAGTTCTTTTATTGCAACACGTTTTACACAGCGGCAATTGCTCATAGGCCCTTCGAAAATTATCATTGGTGTAGCCGTAAATGATCGGATTGATGGCGGCATTTAAAAACATCAAATACTGTGAGATATACCAGAAAATGCGAAAGCTACTCTTTATCATACTCTCAGTATTGGCCACGATCCTATCGCGCATAATCACCAATATTGTAAAGGGTAGGCGAAGAACCACAAATACGATGGTTATAATGAACAGTGTACGGGCCACAGTTTTTTTGTACGATACTGTCAGGGGGTGTTCACGATTCAGTACACGTTTTTCATAGCGATCCAACTGGGTGAGAGAAAAAGAGAGAGAATTGCTTAAAATTGTGTTGAGAAAATGAAAGCTTAAAGGACGAAACAAAATGAGACCGTTGGGCAATTTTTGCATCAAATCGTATGAGCATGGCAAAATTAAGAAGGTAAAGTCATTTCAATAAGAATATACATCTCTGTACTTTACCTTGTCAAATTTTACTTAATTGAAAATTGGTTCCCATCTCTGAGATGTTAAAGGAATAATTTTGAAAAAATGTTAAATAAATGATGGCACGTCTTTACCTTCTTAATTCTACCATGCGTATGAGAGTGTCTTTCGACCATGGTAGAAGAATCCAGGTAGAATTATTCAAAGCTTGGGAGCATTGAAATGTCAAAAATTTGTAAATGTTTCTTCAAAAATAAGTAGATTTGGGTAAGTTTTCCTACACAACGTCAATCGGAGGCTGTTATGATATGCATCTTTTTAAGAATTTTTACAAATTTGAATAATTTTTCAAAAATTAAAATTTCAAAATTGGTTTGACAGTTCATTGTACCCACAGCTGTGTCAATGCAACTACATGTATTCATCTACCATGTTTTCAACCATTCAATAAAGAAAGAGTTGCCATGCCTTTTTATAAACTATTAAGATCCCCGGTTTTGCACTTACCTTATAAAATATGGCCGTATAACAAATCAGCATTATGGCCAAGGGTAACCAAACCATGACTGTGATCAGAACATACCAGTATTTGGGTAAAATATTGGGATTTTCCTTGCAATACATTTCGGTAAAATTTTTCCAATGGCGGACCTTTGCAAATAGTTTGAAATTAAGTAAACAAAACTAACCTCAATAAAGGTGGAAGTACATAAAGAGCTTTTTTGATTGGCATATGTCATCGGCTGGCTTCTTCGTAAAAGAATAAAGGAGCCTAGGGCCAAAATCGAACTATGTCAACCTTTGTTCCTCTACGAAGAAGCCAGCTGATAATTTAGGGTGGAAATACATAAAGCGCATATTTGGCTGGCATAAGTCATCGGCTGGCTTCTTCGTAGATGAACAAAGTAGTTTTAGGTTGACTTAGTTCGATTTTGGCCCTAGGCTCCTTTGTTCCTTTCCGAAGAAGCTGGCCGATGACTTAAGCCAGGCAGATAAGTGCCTTATGTATCCTTACCTTTATGCCCATGGTAGAAGAATACTGGTACATGAACCAACACTTGGGAACATTGACATGTCAACATTTATAAAAATGGCAGTCAAAAAAGCTCTTTGTGTACTTCCACCTTTACCTTCAATCTTACCTTATAAGTTCTGTAAATGGCCAGTGGCAAGGCAATAAGGATACCCGCTAGCCAGGTGAAGAAAATCACTATTTTGGCACCTCTCATTGTTAGACGGGCTTCGCTGGGCAAAACAATGGCAGTTAAACGATCATAACTCACCACCGAAAGATTTAGAACGGCGGTTATCAAAAAAGCACCCTCCAGAAAACCTTCCAGTTTACAGCCAACCGAACCCAACAGATAATTTTGATAGAAATCATTGATCAGGAACATTGTGGGACAAATCAGCAAGGTTAATAAATCGGCCATTGCCATATTGGCTATAATCAAATTGGTTGGAGTTCGCAACGCTCGATTCATGACAATCAAACGGATAATAATGTAATTGCCAATCAAGCCAAAAATCAAAACCGGTATAAAGGTACATATTTTGATTATCATCTCAGTTTCGGGAATATGTAGCCATATGCGATCTTCGGGAAAATCCCATTTACTGAAATCAAACTAAAAATCCAGAAAAAAAATATTATAAAAAATAATAGAAGTAGTGATGACACATTGGCAGCTTGGCTTCATGTCATGGCATATTTTTTGACATATCATAAAAGGTATGGCAAAACTGAACTCGAATCCTGTCTTGGGTTTCTTTGTAATTTGACATTAATATGCCATGCCATGATGCCATGTATCATCAACTCAAGGAAAATAATGAAAATACCTGTGAATCGTCAGACATTTTGTCGCCAGGGTATCCTTCAATTAGTACCAAAGGATCTTCGACATTTTGTGATTTGCTCATAAAAATTTATTTTTCGTTGTATTATATTACCATCCTATTCGGTGGCCGGGATATTACTAACATGGTGGCACTTTGATTTAATTAAGTCTGTGACAATACACCTGCTTATTGTTGTTTTGATAGTCAAAGTGTCTCCATCATCAGTCAACTGTTATCATTTCCATTAAATTGTTACAATTTTATCAGATTAGATTGACTGTTACGGGATGCGTAGAGCTCCATCCATTCACGTAATGACACATTTCATGGATGGTTTTTAATGTATTTGAAGGACTAACACACTATTGACATTTCGACGTAATTTAACATTCAATTAAACATGGATGATTCACGGGGACAGTATTGTCAGGAGAGGGGAATGTTGAATGGTATTTTTGCAAAGCATCAACTTTCAGATTTAGGTAATGGAAATTTTTAGGAAAATGTCTTCAAATGTTGAGAATACATTAGCACCTTGGCATAATCGCATGCCATATTAAAGATGAGAATACATAAAACGCTTTTCAGACTGGCTTAAGTCATCGGCTGGCTTCTTCGGAAAATAAATGCTGCTCATCTGTGCTAGAAGAATACAGATAGTCGCATCGACACAGCTGCTGGGACAATGAACTGTCAAGCCAATTTTGGAATTAAAGATTTTGAATGAAAAGTTAAGGTGGGAGTACATAAAGCGCTTATCTGGCTGGCTTGAGTAATCGGCTGGCTTCTTCGGAATTTCACAAAGGAGCCTAGGGCCAAAATCGAACTGAGTCAACCTAAAACTCCTTTGTTCATCTACGAAGAAGCCAGCCGATGACTTAAGCCAGCCAAAATGCGTTTTATGTATTTCCACCCATATTCACAATTAGAAAACTTTTTTAAAAATGCATATGTAATAACCTCCGATAAGCGTCGTATAAGAAAACAGGTAAAAATCCACTTATTTTTGAAAAATCATTTAAAAGTTTTTGACATGTCAATGTTCGCAAGCGTTGACGTATCTGCCTGTATTCTTCTACCATGTTTACACCATTATTAGGCGATATGGTTTTTACATATGTAGTGCCAAATTTTCCATCTGTAGAAGTTGCACATATTGTGTGATACATGGACGACATTTCTATTGCAAAATATAGGGAGAGACAAAAAAATCTGCAACAAAGTCAAACGCCACAATTTTTACATTTTATTTTTAAATTTTATTGAATGAAAGCAAAAAATGTCGGAAATAGCATCAAATTTTAGAATAACTTTAGATTTGTTTGAATTGGTCACCTTGGGCACGAATTATAGCCTTCAAACGGCCAATAAAACCGTTATTTTTTATTGACAACCTTGCTTTTCAAAATACTCCAGACACAATAGTCCAACGGATTGGTATCCGTAGATTTTGGTGGCCATTGTGTGCTGGAAATGATGTGAGAAACCTCAATTTGTAACCATTCTGAGTCCTCTTGGAATGTCCAAAGTCTACGGCCAAAATGTTTGCGTGCCCAAGGCTTTATTACGCCCTCCAGAATATTTTCGAGATAATATTCGGCATTTATTCTGATGCCAAGGTCGATTATTACGATCGGATAGCGACCATCGGCTGTTACGGTTGCCCACACCATTACCATGGCCGGCGCTTGTGTTCTGGTGGCCAATTTTTAGCTGACATCTTTGGGAAGTAAACACGATTATTTTATTTGTTTTCTCATTGGAAAAACCCAAATTCGGCAGTACGGCACTTTCGGCTAAGTATGGCAACTCTTTAGCTCTTTTCAGACTATTTTCTTCCTGATGCGGTGTAAGTTCTTGCACTTTTTGGAATTTCAATGGCTTTACCCTGAGCTCATTTTTCAATATTTGCCAAATGGAATGAAATGGCTATATATTCATCTCACGAGCCATTTTTCGGCCACCGCGACGCGGTTTTCGATCAAGTCGCTTCTTTACATTTCGAACTATTTCTGCTGATGTAACTGTTTTCTTCCGTCCACTTCCTTGACGTCGGGCTATGCTACCAGCATCACGGTAAAGAGCGATGGTACGAGACACAAAAGATTTATTCACATTTAAATGCTGGAGTCCCCTAACCAGATCCACTTGTTGATTTCCAGCCAAATATAAAGAAATCATATTATCACGCTTGAATTCACGAACCACGAATAACTTTTTTTTAGAAAATTCTCACCAAAATGCTTTTCTACGCTTGTAAACAATATAATGAACTGTCACTGGAATAATTTTAACAGCTGTCGGACGAGTGACTTACAAATGACAGCAGTCTGAAATTGGTTGCAGTTTTTTCATCTCACCATGTATGTTTACAAGTCCATTGTAAATACACAAATCAGTGATGGAAATCTAGTTTCTGTTCAGTGAAATTTGACAAGGTAAATTTCAGAAAATACAGAGATGCGTATGCTTATTTGAAGTAATTTTACCTTCTTAATTTTACCATGGTTTAAGCCCAAGTTGGGATAAATACTTTTATAAATAATACTTTTATGCCATGTTTACGTTAGAACTTTTTGTAGGGTTAACCTACTTTGAGAGGATTTATTTGAAGTATAAGTAATGGATATGACAATTTTAATCCAAATCCAGTCGGTTAACCCATTTATATATAAACGTACTGTTAGGTGCCAAAAAATGACCAGATTAAAAAAATAATTTTTCCTTTTTTTGTAAAATATGCCACTCGTCACACGTAACTATTTTAGATATGAAGTTAATTTTTATTTGAAATATGACAAGGTCAGCTTTGTTGGAAAAGGGTTGCCATATTCGATTTAGCAAATGAGTCTACTTCTGTTGCATGGTAGAAGAATATAGGTAAACGCGTCGACACAGCTGCTGGGACAATGAACTGTCAAACCAATTTTGGAATTGAAAATGTTGAATGAAAAATTATTTAAATTTGTAAAAATTGTTGAAAAACGCGAATTATAATAGCATTCGAATGACGAAGTATAAGAAAACATATAAAAATCTACTTATATTTGAAAAAACTTTTGAATTTTATTGACATATCAATGCTCCCAAGCGTTGATGCATCTACCTGCATTCTTCTGCCATGCTCTGATATAGAATTAAAAACCACAATTTTAATATAAAATTGACAAAAAGGTTTTCGATGTTATTGTCACAAATACCATTGAATACACAAAGAGTTGTAATTACATTTTTTTCTAGTTTATTTTCTAATTATTGCTATTTTTCCATATATCTTGGCCTTGCCTTTAATCAATATCCAATTTACGGAATGAACCCTCAATACCAAACAGCGAATCCATATCGACCTTTTTACCCGGTCTTAAATTCTCATCAACGCCATATTGATCTTCTTCGGCGAAATAATCATTCAGGGCTAGCAAATCCTTTTCAGTTTGTTCGATTAACTCCGAAATGGTGCCATTAGTACCACCATATTCCACGGGCAAATATTCCTTGGGTATGACTTTGTATAAATCCTCCATGGATTTGTGGACATAGAACTGAAAAAAAAACAAATTAAAAAAAAATAGAAAAATAGATTTTCAATTCTTACGCGTTTCTGTAACTTTTCACTCATCATGCTGCGGGCCAGATTCAATACAGCCTGAGCCTCTTTGGGACAATTAACCAAATGGACACCCTTAAAACGCATGGGGGCAGCCTTCTCTGCAAATACTCCCAATTTCTTGATTAGTATTGGATCGAATTGTGTGAGGAAGGATAAACTCAGTTTGGTCAGATCCACAATTTCAATATAACCACTGACAATACAATTGTCATCATTGTAGATTTGCCAATCCATTAAGAGATTTTGGAAACGAAACAAATCCAAAATTTTAAATAATTTGGGATCGAATTTCGAATAATTGGTAAGCTGTATGCGTGGGCCACCCTCGCCCAAGGGTTTGGGTAAACGGACATAAGTCCTAAAAGAATGAAATTTAATAATATTGCAACTGCGGTAAACTCTGCCACAACTTGCCCCGAACGATTTAGCTGTATGGACTTCTCATCCATGGTATTGTAGGCGAACAGCTCCGGCATCATGGTCTTAATGGTATAGAAATAATCTACCTTTGATTTGGCCTTTTCCAAACTATATTTACAACCTCTTAGGAAGGACACCAAAAATTGATCATCTGTACGTGCCTTGATGTATGGCTGCTTATCAAGCCACGTCCTAAGGGCTATCACATCGTCAGCAATGCGACTCTCCACTTCATTGAGCTCTTCTTTGGACACTTTTTTCAAGGCATCGCTTAAGGGACGGATATTTATTGTTGCAGCCATTCTCTTTGTTGTTTGTCTTGAACTGCTGACCAAAAAAAAAGGTCTTAAACGCTCCAGTTAAAATTTAAAACTATACTAGGAAAATTTTCTTCCAGACACACAGTAGTTGTTATCCGGACCCGGTCAATTGATGGCAATTAATATTTGTTGCTGATAAGCTTTTGTTGATATTCAAGTTCACAGGCTAATCTATTTGTGTATTATTGGCAAAATTTCTGTTTGTTGGCCACATAATTCGTATATCATTAACGATAACGTTTGCTTTCGAGGTGAGGGCAAAGGGTGTGGTATCGGGTGGTGGATGGTTAGACGTGAAGCGGGTACATGACGACCTTTGCTAAGTACTTAACCTATATTAGATAATGAAATGTTGGTATACAATATAACAGTTTTATTGTTTGTATAAGAGTATTTTAGAAGAGTTCCGACCATAAGCATTTGTTATTAGCACTTTGAGAGATTTATATGTTTTTACGTTCTCAACCGAAAAAGGAAACAAAAACCAACATGATCTCATTACATATGAATAACATATTCTCGCATTCGATATCTAAAAAATTTCGATCAAAATAGATTTTAATATGTGCAATTTGACATGATTAAATGGGAAATTTAGGAGTCTTAAGGTGTGAATACATAAAACACCTTTAAGGTGAGAATACAAAATAGTGAGAGTACATAAAAGGTTTTTTCTTGACTGGCTTAAGTTATCGCCTGGCTTCTTCGTAGAGGAACAAAAGATTTTTAGGTTGACTTAGTTCGATTTTGGCTCTACACTCCTTTGTTCTTTTTCGAAGAAGCCAGCCGATAACTAAAGCCAGTAAAAAAAACGTTTTATGTATTCTCTCCTTAAAACGCTTTTTTGATTGACTTACGTCAAGGCTGGCTTCTTCGTAGGAGAATAAAGGAGTTTTAGGTTGACTTAGTTCGATTTTGGCCCCAGGCTTCTTTGTTCTTTTCCCAACAATCCAGCCGATAACTTAAGCCAGTCAATAAACGTGTTATGTATTCTCACCTTAACGCGTTCAGAATTCCTTTAGACAATATGTTTTTTACATATGTAGTGTCGAATTTTCCATATGTAAAAGTTGCACACATCGTGTGATAGATGTACTAAATTTCACTTGTGAAATACATGAGTACACTAGACATGTACCTTTTCGATCACAGCGAGCCCTGTTTTCTTCGAAAAAATAGAATTTAATCAAGTATGTTGTTTGTTTGATGTGTGAAAATATCATGGTAGAAGAATACAGGTAGTCGCTTCGACACAGCTGCTGGAACAATGAACTGTCAAACCGATTTTGGATTTGAAAATGTTTAATGAAAATTTATTAAAATTTGTAAAAATTGTTGAGAAATGCATATTGTAACCACCTCCGATTTGCATCGTATAAGAAAATATATAAAAATCTACTTATTTTTGACAAAACAATTTTAAAATTTTGACATATCAATGTTCGCAAGCGTTGATGCATTTACCTATATTCTTCTACCATGGAAAATATATAAAATTAAAAGTCATCCCACGGCAAAACAATAAAGGTAAACTCATTTGCTAAACTTAATATGGCAACCCTTTTCTGACGGACTAGACCTTGTCATTTAAAAAAAAATCTAATTTTATATCTAAAATATTTTCGTATGGCGAGTGGCAGATTTTACAAAAATAATAAATAATCTTTTATTTTCGGCATTCCTTTTCACATAAAAACATATACGTTCCATATCTTGAGAATACTATGTTTAATTATCTGTTTTTGGACTTAAACATATTAAGATAAAGATTTCAAATCCTTTATCTTAAGGAAACGTTTTCGGTGTTGTAAGTTCTGAGTGTGTGCCTCGAATGACGTTTACTTTATGTCCCCCTTTGAGGATCAAACCCCCACATTTACCAGCTGAAAAATTTTACTAAAATCTTTACAATACCCCCTATATAGATTCCGTGCTAAAACGAAGACTTACACCGACAATTTCTTGCAACAAATTTAATGCCAATTTATCTGAAAATAAGAGATGACAATCTTCTACTAGTATTTTGGGAAACAAGGCATGATATTATCTTTATACTTGTCCTAAGCTAACAAAATTCAACCCATGGTAGAAGAATATAGGTAGACGCGTCGACTCAGCTGCTGGGACAATGAACTGTCAAACCAATTTTGGAATTGAAAATGTTGAATTGAAATGTTGAATTCTTTAAATTTATTAAAATTGCTGAAAAACGCCGAATGACGTAGTATAAGAAAACATATAAAAATCTACTTATATTTGAAAAAACATTAATTTTTTTGACATATCCCAAGCGTTGATGCATCTACCTGTATTCTTCTGCCATGATTCAACCGTTCCATAATTAAGTTTTAAATAACATGTCGGACTAATATTTTAGTTTTCTGTTTTAGATTATATTTTTCTTTGACTTTTATAACCTGTAAAAGGCCGAAAATTTAAAAAAATATTTTGTTCGGAAATAAATGTAAATTTCTTACCATACTTAAGGGAGAACTACAGAATATACATTTGACAAAATGAAGAGGTAAACAAGTGTAATCGTATGCAAGAATGATATTGGTAATTGTACCATGAGTCATCCATTAATTATAATGTTTTTTTTTAATACAATACTATCACAATGTAACCAAAGAAAATAAAAAGCATATACAAGTGTGTGACAGCTAAAAATTATATGTCATATGTTAACTGGCAATTTTGACAAACACACGGAAATACATATGGATAATAAAAGTGACAGCACATATGTAAAATCCATTCCGTCTGATCATGCCTTCACAGCTTTTACAAATTTCCACACCTTCAACCGATGCTTTCATGGTAAAATTAAGAAGGTAAATTAATTTCAAATAAGCATATCCATCTCTGCATTTTCTGTAATTTACCTTGTCTAATTTCTCTGCGTAAAAACTAGGTTTCTATCTCTGATTTTTTGTATTTACAATGCATTTAAAAATACATTTTTTGACAAAGAGATGTTGTCAAACGAATAATTTTGAAAAAATATTGTAAACATATATTACCAAGACTTTACCTTATTGATTCTACCATGGGTGTTTCATGAATACATTTTTTTAAGGAATTTCTCCCATTATTTAATCCACTGTGCTAAAACCCTATCAAATATGTTTTCGCACAAAAACCACCTGACGCAATTCTCGATATTCCTAAACAAGCTGGATCAGTTCTTTTTTTTTTTTTTGCAAAGTAATGCTACCTACATACAGACATGTTTTTGTGTATATATGTCAACGTAATCGTTCATAAATGCAAACAATCAATATACAACCTTTATAAACGAATTCACTTTTTTTTATTTTTCGGGGGGTTCATTCGAATATTAATAAACAAAAATGATAAAAAATCGCATTTTGTATGTCATGTTAGAACAAACAGACGACAAACAAAAGTGAGGCAAAGAATTTTTTATGGATCCCCACTTGTCAGACCATGACAAGTGTAATCGCAATTTTTGTCCATATGTCCACTGATAATACACTGAGAGAAACAAGGTAGCTGTGACATTTTTACACAAACATATTTCCGGCCAATGCCATTGGCTGGCTTTTTCGTAAAAACACAAAGGATTTTCAGGTTTATTTGATTTCTTCTTTTGTTCCTTTACGAAAAAGCCATATGCCGGAAAGAAAATCCAACTATGTATTCTCTCCTTAAAAAGCTTTTCTTGATTGACTTGATCGGCTGACTTCTTCGTAGAAGAACAAAAGAGTTGTAGGCTGACTTAGTTCGACTTCGGCCCTAGGCTCCTTTGTTCTTTTCCGAAAAAGTCAGCCGATGACTTAAGGGGGGAAATACATAAGGTGCATATTTGGCTGGCTTCTTCGTAGAGGAACAGAGGAGTTTTAGGTTGAATTAGTTCGATTTTGGCCCTAGGCTCCTTTGTTCATTTCCGAAGAAGCCAGCCGATGACTTAAGACAGCCAGATAAGCACTTTATGTATTCCCGCCTTAAGTCGGTCAGAAAAGCGTTTTATATATTCTCACCTTTAGTCCACTATCCATAGCATATTACCAAGTCACCTTTCCTGCCCTTTATATGGAGTAACACTATAACAGGATCTTTTGTTATTTCTGTGTATGTCTGTATTATTATTTCTTGATGTATCCGAATTTTTTTACGATAAACATAAACGTTTTTTTCTTTCATTTGCTGTTGTTGTTTGTTTCGATACCATTAATCGGACAGCGACAATATCTTATCAATTTAAATAGCGTTAAAAGAATGAACGTTTGTATGTTCGTGGTATGGTATAAATGGTATGTACATGTGTGTCGGATATATGTCACATTGTGGGCAAAAAAAGAGAGGCCTTTAACTTTCCAACAACCATTAACATCGCTTTCTAGATTCAAAAATCGTTCAAGTGAAAACAGTTACAATTTGGATTCGCAGCAAAGTGCGTTCTACGCCTCCTAACAGATATATAGCAAAGAGAAATACAAGACACTAGTATGGCCCAACTACGACCCTTAAATCCTGAACTTGCCGAAATTGCCCGTAAAGATTTAAATGAAGTGCCATCGAGAATTCCCTCGGATTTAGAGGCACTACGGGAATGGATTAAAAAGGAACCCCATCTGAAGGCCCGCACAGATGATCAATTTTTAATTGCCTTCTTACGCTACTGCAAATATAGTCTGGAGAGTGCCAAGAAGCGTATTGATTATTTCTATACGTATAAGTCATCGGCTAAAGATTTGATCAAATCCCGGCGCATTGATGATAAGATTATCGACATAGCCAGATCTGGGTGAGTAAGCATTGCGTGTGGTGGACAGGTGTTTTAATGTCTCGCGGTCTACAAAGTTCAAGTGCAAGCAGATGAGTAATGGAAAGGGGGGGAAGAACGTTTTTCAGAATAAAATCTATAGAAAATATATTTGATATGTATATTGAAAAAATCTAAGGGCGGGGAAGACCTACATAGATTAGGGTTCTTATATTAAACCATTTTATTGATATTCTGTAAAGGAAACATTTTTAAATGTCTCCAGTGAAAAGGGGACAATCTATTGACATTCTTAAGTTGAGAATACATAAAACGCTTTTTTGACTGGCTTAAAGGTACAAGTACATAAGAAGCTTGAAGTCATGGCTAGGCATATTTTGTGACATTTCAAAAAGAGATTACAGAGCCGCACTAAAATCCTACCGTCACTTTCCATTATAATTTGACATTAATATGACTCCATGCTTTTTATGTACTTGCACCCTAAGGGTGGAAATACATAAAGAGCATATTTGGCTGGCTTAAGTCATCGGCAGGCTTCTTTGTAGATGAACAAAGGAGTTTTAGGTTGACTTAGTTCGATTTTGGCCCTAGGCACCTTTGTTCATTTCCGAAGAAGCCAGCCGATGACTTAAGCCAGCCAGATAAGGGCTTTATGTGTTCCCGCCTTAAGTCATCGGCTGGCTTCTTCATAGAGGAACAAGGAGTTTCAGGTTGACTTAGTTCAAAAATGTCCCTACGCTTCTTTGTTCCTTTCCGAAGAAGCCAGCCGATGACTTAAGGTGGAAATACATAAAGCGCTTATCTGACTGGCTTCTTCGGAAATAAACAATGGAGCCTAGGGCCAAAGTCGGACTAAGTCAACCTAAAACTCCCAGCCAGCCAGCCGATGACTTAAGCCAGCCAAATATGCGCTTTATGTATTTCCTGCCATAAGTCAGAAGAATACAGACAGTCGCATCAACACAGCTGCTGGGACAATAAACTGTCACACCGATTTTGGAACTGAAAAATTATTGAAATTTGTAAAAAATTGTTAAACATAACAACCTTCGATTTACTGCATATAAGAAAGCATATCAAAATCTACAGGGTTAGATAAAAAACTGCAACAAAGTCAAACGCAAAACATTTACTGAATGAAAGCAAAAAATGTCGGAAATAGCATCAAATTTTAGAATAAGTTTAGATTTGTTCGAATTCGTCACCTTTGGCACGAATTATGGCCTTCAAACGGCCAATGAAACCGTCACACGCTGCCCGAATGTTCTTCTGCGACATTTTGGCCCATTCCCGGCGAAGCGCTAGCTTGAGGTGATCGACACTTTGGTATTTTTTAGTGCCAACATTGCTTTCCAAAATACTCCAGACACAATAGTCCAACGGTTTGTTATCCGGAGATTTTGGTTGCCATTATGCGCTGGAAATGGAGCGAGGTACCTCATTTTGTAACCATTCTTGGGTGGCGCGTGCTGAGTCCTGCTGGAATGTCCAAGGTCTGCGGCAAAATGTTTGCATGCCCAAGGCTTTAATACACCCTCCAGGATAATACGAGCGGAGAGCGACCATCGGCTGTTATGGCGGCTCACATCATCACCATGGCCGGCGCTTGAGTTCTGGTTGCCAACCGAAGGTGCACATTTTCAGCTGACCTCTTTGGCAAGTAAACACCGCCATTTCGTTTGTTTACAAACTGCTGGATAACGAATGTTTTCTCATCGGAGAAAACCCAATTTCGGCAGTTCACCACTTTCGGCTGATCGAGGCAACTCTATGGCTCTTTTGAGTCTATTTTCTTTCTGTTGCGGTGTAAGTTCTTGCACTTTTTGAAATTTCAATGACTTTACCCTGAGCTCAATTTTTCAATATTTGCCGAATGGAATATTGCGATATGTTCAGCTCACGTGACATTTTTCAGCCACTGCGATGCGGGTTTCGATCAAGTCGCTTCTTAAATCTTCGAACCATTTCTGCTGATGTTGCTGTTTTCTTCCATCCACCTCCTTGACGTTGGGCTACGCTACCAGATTTATTCACATTTAAATGCTGGAGTGCTCTAACGATAGCCACTTGTGGTTTTCCAGCCAAATATAAAGAAATCACACTATCACGCGTGAATTCTATCCCGAATAACTTTTTTTCTGGAAAATTCTTACCAAAATGCTTTTGTACGCTCGTAAACAATATAATGAGCTATCATTGGAATAATTTTAACAGCTGTTGGACGTGTGACTTAGAAATGAAAACAGTCTGAAGTTGGTTGCAGTTCTTTCACCCTGTACTTATGTTTTACAAAACATTTTAAAAACTTTGACATATCAATGTTCCCAAGCGTTGATTAATCTACCTGTATTCTTCTACGTTAGCCCTACTCTTCTTCGTTCTCTTACGAAATATTCACAAATGGATGGACTATTCCGGCACTGCAAGAATGTGAAATTTTTTACTTTAACAACCGATTTTCCCTTTATGATATAAAAAAAATTGCAAAGCTAATAAATTCTTGCAATTTCTGAAACACATTAAGAGTAAATAAAATGTTTTTTGAATGGCTTAAGTCATCGGCTGGCTTCTTTGGATAAGAACAAAGGAGTATAGGGCCAAAATCGAACTAAGTCAAACTAAAACTTCCTTGTTCCTTTACGAAAAAGCCAGTCGATGACACAAGCCTGTCAGAAAAGCCTTTTATGTATTCTCACCTTTAATCTCACATTGCTGCCTCATTCGATTCTATATTCCCTGAAAATTACCTAATAATCATCTAACTAATGCCTCTTTTTTCTCTACTCTTTTATTGATTTTCAGAATTTTCTGTTCTCTGCCCAAGCCCAAAGGAGCCGGTGGACCACGCATTCACTTTATGCGTATGGGTAACATTAATCCGACCATTCACAGTGTACAGGATGTGTTCCGTTTTCACATAATGCGCTGTGAAATCGAAACCAATACCGATGATAATTGGAACATAAGTGGTGTCATTGAAATTATTGATTTCTCAAAGATACCCTTTGGATTTTTGAAACAATTCGATCCGACCCTGTTTCGACAAATGGCATCAGTATTGGAATTTGGTATACCCACCAATTTACTGGGTACACATATTGTTAATGCCTCCAAGGAGGCGCAAATTATTTTGGGACTCATCCGTAATGTGATGAAACAGAAGGAACTGGTAAGAAATAACCTCCTAATCCCGTTGAGAAAAGCAGTAAAATGTTTTGTGTGTTTTTTGCAGCTCAACATCCATCCCACATTGGAATCGCTGCAGCAGGCAATCGGCAAGGAATATTTACCCGCCGAATATGGTGGCACCAATAGCAGTTTTGAAGAATCCGAACAGAATTATGAAAAACTCTTGATGAGCTACAAATCCTATTTCGATGAGGATGACCAGTACGGCGTGGACGAGAAATTGCGTCAGGGAGAAAATCAAATGTCTGAATTATTTGGCGGCAGTGCGACCGGTTCATTCCGCAAATTAGATATTGATTAATGTTTGTGTGTGTTTTTTTTTTTGTTGTCAATAATTTTCTGTTTTTTTTTTTTATCGCTAATTTATTTTTGTAATAAAAATGTTAAATAATTTTGATAAAACCTATGTGATCGATATTTATAAATTGGGAAGTGTGTGAGTATTTGTTTTGGTGTTTTTTTGGCGCATAACAGAGTAACAGAGAAAGAGAGAGAGAGAGGATTGAAAGTAACTGCACAGTGGGAAATTGGAGAATGTTTTACCAGGATAATATATTATTTATTGAAATAAAAAACAAGTAAGAAAGCTCGGCCCGGCTGAGAATTTTAAATACCCTCCACCATTTGGAACGAATTTGGCATTTTTTTTAAATAAAAAACTTTAAAATAAAAATAAATTCGTTAAAAATTCTGTTAAAATCTTAAGGTGGGAATACCTATAGTGATTATTTGGCTGGCTTCTTCGGAAATGAACAAAGCAGCCTAGGAACATAATTGAACCAAGTAAATCAAAACTCCTTTGTTCATCTACGAAGAAGCCAGCTGATGATTTAAGTCAGCAAAATATGCGCTTTATGTATTTCCACCTTTAAATATACCGAATGTAGCCCATTACAATATTCAACTGCGAAATCGGTGAATAATGTAGCTAATATCATCAAAATACCGAATATCGGGGGTGCCGTTATATAGGGCCCATACGAAGACGTGAACCCGCACAGATAATTTTCTGTCATGGGCTGTAAAATCCATTACGAACATCAAATACCAAATTTAAAAAAAAATCCGATGAATAATGTCGCTAAAATCATAAAAATACCGAATATCTGGAGGTGCCGTTAGGCTATACAAGGACGTGGACCTGCACAGACAATTTTCTGTCTTAGGCTGTAGTATTCAGTACGCATTTCAAATACCAAATTTAAAACAATTCCGTTGAATAAAGTCGCTAAAATCATCAAAAAACCGAATAACGGGATTTGCCGTTACGTGGGGGCTATACCAAAACGTGGACCTGCACCGACAACTTTCTGTCCTAGGCCGTAATATCCATTACGAACTTCAAATCCACATTTGAAACAATTCCGGTGAATAATGTAGCTAATATCATCAAAATACAGAATATCGGGAGGTGCCGTTATGTGAGGGCTGTACAAAAACGTGAACCTACATGACCCATTAATCAATATCCAAAGTCCTACAGACATACTATACAGTTGAGTAAAATTAAAACAAAAGCTAAAGCGATTTCCACAGAAGAACGGACATTGCGAAATCGACATAGAATTTTATGCTGATCAAAAATATATATTTGTGGGTATATTTCGAGGTCTTACAAACGATATGACAAACTTAATATACCCTCCACACTATGGATACAATACCGACCCGAGGTGATAAAAATGTTTTTCTTTTAACAAATTTTCAAACAAATCTAATCGCGAAAGATATATTTAGATGTAGTACAGGGTGAACACAATAAAATATTTAACTTCAGGAGAACTCAACGAAACTTTGGAGGCGACAAAGCTCTGAAACTGGACATGATAAACGATAGTGTTTCCAGACATTAGCAGGCAATCTAAAATACGGAGATTGGATCACTAATGACTGAAGGAAGAGTGTATATAAAATGCAGTATCCCCTGCCGCTGTCCCTGGGAACAGCTGGGATGTCCCTTGTGGCTTCTTAACCTGACAAGTCTCTAAATTGAATCTTCGGCTAATAACGTGTTTTAAGATATCTGAAAAATGCTTCTATTGATTGCCAAGGACTTCAAAAGAATACCTTTAAAATGAAATTTTAACTAGGAAGTACCTTTTTCTGCAGAAAGCCATACATACGGAAATATTTTTTTAACGCCGTCTATTCGTAATATAATTTCAATTAACTCTTCATTAGAGTCTCGTAAAACTATGGCGAAGAAAATGTTGCGTTTTTATGGCAGTGTTAGGTAGCAACACTTAATTTAGCTTTTTTAAATAAATTAAATATTGAAAAGCTTATTTGGTGCCGGCTTTTTATGCGTGAGAGATAACTCGCATTTATAGTTGCCAGATTATGTTATTTTAAATTTTTGCTCTGTTTCAGAACCTGCAAGAATCTACTATTTTGGCAGTTTTTTTCGATTTTGTAAAGGGAAAAATCGGTTGTCGAAGTAAAAAGTTTTAAATTCTCGTACTTCTGGAACAGATCAATTAATATTGTTAATAATTTGCTTCATTAAAAATTTTAGATAACATTCATATTTAAAGGCAATTGAAATAAATTGTAGAACCCAATATACACATAGTAGATTTTGTTCATGGTAGAATCAAGAAGGTAAATTCATGCAGTCATATGTTTACAATTTTTTTCAAAAATTATTCATTTGACAACATCTCATTGTCAAAATTTGAATTTATAAATACATTGTACACACACAAATCAGAGATGGGAACCTGTTTTTATGTAGTGAAATATGTCAATGTAAATTACAAAAAATGCAGAGATGCGAATGTTTTTTTTTAATGACTTTACCTTCTTAGTTTTATTATGATTTTGCTGTATATAGATTATTTAGGTATTTTTGTTTTTAATAATATTTGGTCGAAATAGCCCAAATATGGCAGCACTATTTATAAAAGAGAAGCGATCAAAGTTTCTCAATTTGAGTGTGGAAGAGATACAATTGAACTTTAGTCAGAGTAAACAGCTGGTGACTTGCAAAAGAACTATTTTGTTGATCTATTAGAGATATAGTTTCTATTGGGAGCTAGAGCATTCAGATTCTAAAAAAAATTAAATAAAATCATGTCTAAAGTGAAATATTTTTATGATTTGCTGTCCCAGCCATCTAGGGCCTTATGGATTTCCCTGCAATTGGGTAAAATACCCTATGAAGATTGTCCAGTTGCCCTGCGAAAAGGTAAGTCAATGAAACAAATGTAAATATAAATCTTGATTTAAATTTCTCTTATCTGTGACCTATATTTAGGTGAACAGCGTACTGAGGAGTTCAAGAAAATCAACCGTTTCCAAAAGGTGCCCTGCATTGTAGATGGTGACTTCCATTTAAGTGAATCGGTGGCTATTTTAAGGTAGTTATGAAGTATATTGCACTTGGATAAACTATTGGATGTACTTCGATTTTTAAAAACATTCCCACAACAAATTCAATCCTATTGAATCACATCTTCTTAAGGCAAAGCCCTTGATTTTGTTTGGGATATTTACCATGGATAGAATTTCTTGTAATGATTTTGGGGATATAATTTTTGAATCGTAGATATACGTTAAGGTTAGAACCTTTTACGGATTATTTGCTCATGGGTTCTTAAGAATACATGATAATAGCTCTAATCTTGTGGGAAAAATTATTCCAAATCTCTATAAATATTGGTTGGTGGATTCTTGAAATACATTGTTATTTATTTACGAATATTGGTTTTTGGACCCTAAAAACGTTTTTTTAATATCCACGAATATTGCTTTAAAATATTGAAGTGAATACATTTTTCGTCAATTGGTTCTTAAAAAATTTACCGCAACTAAACATTTAAATATATTTATTATCAAATTTCAGATATTTATCGGACAAAGGTCTGTTCAGCGAAAAACTCTATCCAAAAGATTTGAAAAATCGTTCTCGGGTTGATGAATTTTTGGAATGGCATCATTTGTCCATACGTTATGGTTGTGCCTTCTATTTTGCTCGTCTCTGGCTGTATCCCGCCAGAGGTTTGGCTGAGAAACCATCGGCCGAAGAGGCTGCAAAATATCGAAATGAAATGGAGAATAATTTGAAGTTAATGGAGAAAATGTGGCTTCAAGATAGTAAATTTGTTAGCGGTAATTCGTTGACGGTGGCCGATCTATTCGGTGCCTGTGAAATTGAACAGACAAGTAAGTGATTTCAAATAAAATCTTTAAAAAATTTTGAAATTTAGGTTTAAATGTTTAGTTATTGATGGAATATGAAAAAAAATATGTACTTTGCTGACACCGAATAAGCCAATAAAAACTATAGATACTGGCTGGGATCATCTTGACAGCCCATAACAACTAGACATTGTACGGAATGAAATTCTCGAATTATTTTTTTAAGCAAATGCTTGTTCCAGAAACTGCTAGAATATACTACCTTTGCGATTTTTTTTTTCGATTTTGTAAGGGAAACATCGGTTGTCGTAGTAAAATGTTTTGCATTCTTGCAGTTCTAGAAAAGAGCAAAAATGAATTAAGTATTTCTTTTTCAGTATTCTAATCTGTGTTCCACTTTCTACTTCCAGAAATTTGCAATTATGATGTTTCGGAGAAATTCCCAAAAATATCTGAATGGTTGGCCAGAGTACGTGAAGAATCGAATCCGTTCTATGATGAAGGTCATAAATATGTCAACAAGTTGGCTGCAATCAATGCCAAAGCATAAATTCAATAATAGTGAGAACAAAACTGCCAATGCATTTAAATTTGTATATACTTATATGTGTGTACATTAAGGAACCAGATTCAAAACTGTGTATTGATTTTATCTATAAACCGTTAAAGTTGAAAATGTAAATAAATATAATTGTTATCAATTTTAAAAAGTAATCCACTCTATTGATTTCAAATTCATCAGAAACACAAAGAAGAAATAATTGAAGACCCCCCAAGTTCCGTTGACTGTTAGCAGATGCGAAGAAAACATTTGAAAGTAGATTTCTGAACAATTAAAGTGATTTTCTCCAGCATAATATGAAAATGTAAACAATGACAAATATCATCTAAAGGCAAGAAATGCAACCCATACTAGTTTTGCAATTTTTTTCGATATCATAAAGCGAAAATCGGTTATCATAGTAAACATTTTTACATTCTTATGGTTCTGGAACAGACTATATATTTTAATCGATTTTCAAACACATAATTCGTTTTCAGTACGATGATGAGGAAATCTGACTTAGAAAATAAATACGAGCTTAATGCCATGTTTACGTTAGAACTTTTTGTAGGGTTAACCTTCTTTGAGAGGATTTATTTGAAGTAAAAGTAATGGATATGACAATTTAAATCCAAATCCAGTGGGTTAACCCTCATATATATAAACGTACTATTATACTATTTACTACAATTTATTTACAATACAGGAATATATAGTAAGTAGGTATATTACATATATTTTTCCTGTCCGTCCTTATGTTCGTCTATCCGTCTGTGGAAATCACTTTAGCTTCCGAACGAATTGAAGTAGATTGATAAAATTTTACTAAAATGTAAATTATGTCTGGTATTGAAAATGAGGCATGTAGGTCCACGTTTTGATATAGCCCCTATATAACGGTACCACCCGATATTCGGAATTTTTATGATTTCAGCGACAATATTTATCGGAATTGTTTCAAATTTGGTATTTGAAGTTCGAAATGGATGATACAGCCTAAGACAGAAAATTGTCTGTGCAGGTTCACGTCTTTGTTGATTTTAGTGACATTATTCACCGGAATTGTTTCAAATTTGGCATTTGAAGTGCGTACAATTTATTTACAATACAGGAATATGTAGTAAGTAGGTATATTACATATATTTTTCCATTTAAGGATCCAAAACTTGAACAAGGCATAATACAATGTTCCACGGCGTCTTATAGTATATATACAGGGTGAGATGAAAAAACTGCAACCAACTTCAGACTGCTATCATTTCTAAGCCACTCGTCCGACAGATGTTAAAATTATTCCAGTGACAGCTCACTGTATTGTTTACAAGCGTACAAAAGCATTTTGGTGAGAATTTTCAAAAAAAAATCGTGATGGAATTCGAGTGTGATTGTGTGATTTCTTTATATTTGGCTGGAAAATCGCAAGTGGCTATCGTTAGAGCACTATAGCACTTTTGTGTCTCCTACCATCGCTCCTTACCGTGATACTGGTAATGTAGCCCGACGTCAAGGAAGTGGACGAAAAAAAGAACAGCAACATCAGCAGAAATGGGTCGAGAAGGAAAGAAGCGACTTGAACAAAACTCGCGTTGCATTGGCCGAAAAATGGCTCTTGAGCTGAACATATCGCAATATTCCATTCGGCAAATATTGAAAAAATGAACTCGTGGTAAAGCCATTGTAATTTCAAAAAGTGCAAGAACTTACACCGCTACAGAAAGAAAATAGACGCAAAAGAGCTAAAGAGTTGCTTCCCTTGGCCGAAAGTGGTGAACTGCCGAATTTGGTTTTCTCCGGTGAGAAAACATTGGTTGTCCAGCAGTTTGTAAAAAAAATGATCGTGTTCACTTGCCAAAGAGGTCAGCTGAAAATGTGCACCTTCGGTTAGCCACCAGAACTCAAGCGCCGGCCATGATGATGGTGTGGGCCGCCATAACAGCCGATGGTCGCTCTCCGCTTCTATTAATCGACCTTGGCATCAGAATAAATGCCGAATATTATCGGGGCAACCAAACATTTTGGCCGCAGACATTGGACATTCCAACAGGACTCATCACCATTGCACTCAGCACGCGCCACTCATGAATGGTTACCAAATGACGTTCCTCGCTTCATTTCCAGCGCACAATGGCCACCAAAATCTCCGGATACCAATCCGTTGGACTATTGTGTCTCGAGTATTTTGGAAAGCAACATTGACTCTAAAAAATACCAAAGTATCGATCACCTCAAGCAAGCTTTTCGCGGGAATGAGCCAAAATACGCAGAGAAACATTCGGCAGCGTGTGACGGTTTCATTGGCCGTCTGAAGGCCATAATTCGTGCCAAAGGTGACCAATTCCAAAAAATCTAAACTTATTCTAAAATTTGATGCTCTTTCCGACATATTTTGCTTTCATCCAATAAAATTTAAAAAAATGTTAAAAAAATGGCGTTTGACTTTGTTGCATTTTTATATAAAACTGTATATATTTTCCTCTTGAAGGTTCCAAGGCATAATACATTGTTCCACAGCCTCTTATAGGGTATCAATAGTGACCACAATCAGTATACTCTATGTTTTCAATTTTGTCTCTTCATGATATTTTATTTCCAACCATTAACTCGAAATTGCTTTGCTCTCCATTGAATATGGCAACATTTTGGAAGACAATTTTATGTTCTCAATTCTTGTTTTCTTGTTGGTATTCTCTCGAGTGCATATGAAGCCATCCCATAAGAAGTCAAAAAGATGATCATAAGCAAACAAACCCAAAAACAACGAAAACAAAACTTGGAGAGAACTTTGTACAAATACGGAGACAGGTCACACGCAAATTCCCACTCGAACTCATATGAGTGGAAGGAAGATCGGTAGGTGGTATCGGCGCTATTGAATTGATATCTTTTAGCAAACAACAAAGAACAAACAGCTGGGCCGGACTGAGCGGTTAGCATACATATTGGAAAACAACAACAATAAAAAAATATATTAAACATTTGTTTTGATAACAAAAAAAAAAAAATTAATAATCAACGCAAAAAATAGGAGATGTCAAAAGTAAAATATTTCTACGATTTAATGTCGCAGCCATCTCGAGCCCTATGGATTGCATTGCAAATGAGTAAAACTTCATATGAAGATTGTCCGGTGGCGTTAAGGAAGTGTAAGTATAGTACCATCTATAATTTGTTTGGTATAGTGCAAAAATAATTCTGTTTACATATAACAAATGTTATCTACATACACAGGTTTGTACTGGGAAGAGAAGGAAATTTTGTATTTTTTTGGGGGGCCTTTGATATGAAGCCACAAAAATACATTTTTAGGTAAATGGAAATCAAGCGAAGCGAATTGATTAGTTGACCTTTTAAGTGATAGAATCGTACAAGACACCATCGTCTGGGACCAAATTTACAAAATAATATAATTTTGCGAAAAATTAAAAGTGTGAAATGCCAAATTTTAGCTAACTTAGTTGGAAATTGAAAGCTAAATCTTAAAAATAAATTTCGATTTTCCAAACATTATTTGTTTGGCCCAAGGACGAACCTTATTGAAATTGGTGATAATCGGATCTGATTTAAATATAGCTCCCACATATATCTTCAACCGATGTCGGGTTAATTGTGCATCAAATGGCCAATATAAATCCTAATGGCCTGAATTTTGGTACATCCCGCCGAATTTGGTCTAAAAGCAAGTACATCAAATTTGTAGAAAATCGGTTCAGATATAGCTATAGATCCCATACATATGTTTCATCCGATTTGGGGTTGTAAGTCCCTCACATGCGTAATATGCCTCCACAAGAATGATATTTGGTATCGGACGTCAGATACAGCCCAGAAATACCCCTCCCAAAATATTATCAAGATCGGTTCAGATTTGGATATAGCTTCAACCGATTTCGTGTTATTTGTGTACCAAACATCCAAATCATATATATCTTCAACCAAATGACCAATATCAGTCCAAATTAACTAAATTTTGACACATCCGACCGAATTCAATGTAGAAGCAAGTACATCAAATTTCGGTACAGATATAGCATAGATCCCATATTTGAGTCCCTCACATTCATAGTATACATTTGACAACAATGATATTTGGTTTCAGATATCTTATAGAGCTCAGAAATATCTTTGCCAAATTTTACCGAGAACGGCTAAGGTTTGGATATAGCTTCCATACATATCCTTTATCCGATTTCAAGTTTATTGTGCAAGTAATGGCTAATGTCAGTCCAAATGGCGTGAATTTCGGGACGTACGTTTTAATTTTTTGAAACTCGTCTATATTTTTATATCCTCCACCAGAGTATGGAGGGTATATTAAGTATGTCGTTCCGTTTGTATCACCTCGAAATATACATTTTAGACCCCACAAATATATATATTCTTGATCAGCATAAAATTCTATGTCGATTTAGCGATTTCCGTCCGTCTGTTCGTCTATCCGTCTGTGGAAATCACTCTAGCTTCCGAACGAATTGAAGTAGATTGATACAATTTTACTCAAATGTATATAATGTCTGCAGGACTTTTGGTATTGAAAATGAGCCACGTTTTGATATAGCCTTTATATAACGGTACCACCCGACATTCGGAATTTTGATGATTTTAGCGACTATATTTATCGGAATTGTTTCAAATTTGGTATTTGAAGTTCAAAATGGATACTACAGCATAAGGCAGAAAATTGTATGTGCAGGTTCACGTCTTCGTATAGCCCCCATATAACGGTACCTCCCGATATTCGGTACTTTGTTGATTTTAGCGACATTATTCACCGGAATTGTTTCAAATTTGGTATTTGAAGTTCGTACAGCATAAGACAGAAAATTTTCTGACCCCATATAACGATACCTGCCGATATTCGGTATTTTGATGATTGTAGCTATATTATTCACAGATTTTTTTTTTAAGTTTCGCATTTGAATATCGTAATGGCTTATGACAAAAGTTACCTATTCTGGTCCATGTCGTCGTATAGACCCTAATAAAACAGCTACATTCGGTATTTTTAAAATTTTAAAAGAATTTTTAACAGATTTTATTGTTTTTGAGATTTGCCCAATTCGTTTCAAATGATGGAGGGTATTCAAAGTTTGCTATAAAAGATTAAAATGTATCCGTCAAATTTAGTGAAAATCGATTCAGAATTGAATATGTCTCCCATATATTAGTTCCCTCTGAAACCAAACTATAACTGCTCTAAAGTCAAATGTTGATAGGTGGTATGATCCACTTCAAATAAATTTTTTGTTACTGGAGCTGTACTAAATATGCATAGGGGGTAGGGTATCAAATAGTCGGCCTGCCTGACTTTGGACTTTTCCTTACTGGTTATAATTATTATAGCCTTACTTTTCACAGGAATATTTTCACATTTGGTATTTGGAGTTTGTAATGATTACTGTTTCCTATGATAGAAAAATTTCCGTACAGGTCACGATTTCTTATAGGCCCCATAAAACGGTGCCTTCCAACTGAATTACGTCAAACTTAGTATTTGGAATTTGTGGTAGACACAGCATTCAATGGCAGATAATTGTCATTCTTTGTAGGGAAATATTACCGTCAAATTTCTCATCCTTGGTAACCCAATATTGAGTTCCTAATGCAGCTTCGTCTGCAGAAATGTTCGTTCTTTACACAAAAATAATAAATTTTCCATTTCTTGTTCCAGTGGAGAATCGTTCGGAGAAATTCAAGAAAATAAATCGCTTTCAAAAGGTACCCTGCATTGTGGATGGTGATTTTCATTTGGGTGAATCCGTAGCCATTTTAAGGTACGTTAATATGAAATTAACTCAAAAATTGTTTTTAAAACCCTTTCTCTATTTCTCAGATACCTTTCCGACAAGGGACATATTGACGGGCAATTATATCCCAAAGATTTGCAAAGCCGAGCTCAAGTTGATGAATTTCTCGAATGGCAACATTTAAACCTGCGTCTACCATGTTCAACATATTTCCTAAAAGTTGGCCTATACCCCATGATGGGTTTGGCCGAAGTGCCCACAGTTGAAAAGCTTACCGAACTTCAAAACGAAATGGAAAATAATCTCAAGTTGGTGGAAAATGTTTGGTTAAAACACAAGGATTTTCTAACGGGCAATAAGTTGACGGCAGCCGATCTGTTTGGAGCTTGTGAAATTGAACAAACAAGTAAGATTACAAAATTATTAATAGGAATCCTAATTGCCAGTGTCTTAATTTATTTCAGAAATCTGTAAATACAATGTTTCCGATAAATTTCCAAAAATCTCTGATTGGTTGTCCAAGGTGCGTCAGGAATCCAATCCATTTTATGATAGTGGCCATAAATTTGTGAACAAACTTGCAAAGTAAATGTGAAATCCACAAAGAAAGACTTGTTTTTCGGAGGGTCTTCGGTCCCAGCAATAAAAAATAAATATATATACACTTGACTGCAATAAGTAATAATGTGTTACGTTCCCGAAAAAGCAAACATCTTCTAATTTTGCCATTTTTACCAAATTCTGCATTATATTTACATAAATTTATAATAAAAATAAATTATTTTTTATGTTTCAAATTTTTATTAAAAATTATTTATTTAAAAAAATTATTGTATTAAAGTCTTGATGTTTATGAAAAAAACCGACAAAATTTAAAACTATTAAAATCTAATGCATTATCCAAGAATTGTACTTTATGTTCCAACCCAGTAATAAGTGTAGCTTCCCCAGAGAAAATATGATTTAATCAATATCTAATTTTCTAAATGAACCCTCTATGCCAAACAGGGATTCCGAGTTCAATGGTCTGCCAGGTCTAAGTTTTTCATTTGTACAATATTGAGCTTCTTCTTCAAAGTATGGCTTATATTCCAGCAATTTCTTTTCCCATGTGTTGATGACATCGGCTATGGTGCCATTACTGCCACCATATTCCTCAGGCAGGCATTCTTGTGGGATATACTCATACAACGATTCATATTTGCTGTGGATGTGGAACTGCAATAAAAAAAATCGTTAGAATTGATTGTTCCACAATCTGTTCCCAAAATGCTTACCCTTTGTTTAATTTTCTCACTCATCAAACCCTTGGCAATTGACAACAATTTCTCTGTACCCGATGGTGCATTGACAAAGTGGAAACCCTTTGGCCTATAGGGCCATGCCTTGTCACCCAAAACGGCCAATTTTTTAATGAGTACCGCATCAAATTGGAAAATGTGTCCGGCTCCAACACCCTTGAGATCAATAATTTCCACAAAACCCATTACCATGGCATTGTCGTCTTCACGAAATTGTATTTCGCCCAACATTGTGCCGACCTTAACAACATCGGCCAAACCGAATTTATTTGTATCGTAAAGACCATAACGGGAAATGTGTATGCGGGGTCCAGCTTCGCTTAGGGGTTTCGGTAAACGCAGCAAACATCTGCAAATAGGAATTAAAAATTTTAGAAAACTATGAATAAAAAAAATCGATTGTTAAAATTGTTTGGTTAATTGTTGAACGATTGTTTGGTTCGCTTAGCCTGTTGAACGTACCCAGAAGAGAATATCTCTGGACTCAGAAAAGGTATTGTAAGCATTTTGGAAAGGAAAGAGTGTCAGCAATTATTTGGCATCAATTTTAATTGCCCCCATAATGGGCACTTTTTCGACTTTTTGGGGGTTTTATAAAAAATCCGGGTCCAAAAATATCGATAATTTGACTATAAATTCCTTACCGCTTAAAAATTATCTCATTGTGTACCACTTGTTGGTTAGGTATCATAAGCTTTCCAACGATACCTATGTTGTCTATATCGGGTAAGTAGATGCGGGTCTTGAACCCGGACTTTCGAGTCAAAAATCTGGGGTAACGGGACCGTGCCAAGCTTTTTATGAATTCTCACCTTTCGATCATATAGGCAAGCTGCACAAAAGAGTATAACCAGGCCAAAGTAACGGAGCAAATACATAAAGAGCTTTTTTGACTGACTATTCATAGGCTGGCTTCTTTGGAAAATAACAAAGGAGCGTAGGTCCAAAGTCGAAATAAAGGTGGGAATACATAAAGCGCTTATCTGGTTGGCTTAAGTCATCAGCTGGCTTCTTCGGAAATGAACAAAGGAGCCTAGGGCTAAATTCGAACTAGGTCAACCTAAAACTCCTCTGCTCCTCTATGAAGAAACTAGCCGATGACCAGCCAAATATGCGCTTTATGTATTTCCACCATAAGTCAACCTAAGACTCCTTTGTTCCTCTTCAAAGGAGTTATAGGTTGACTTAGTTCGATTTTTTGGCCCTAGGCTCCTTTGTTAATTTCTGAAGAAGCCAGCCAGATAAGCGCTTTATGTATTCCCACCTTAATAAGAAGCTCATATCGCGAGTTAAGGTGAGAATATATAAAATGCTTTTCTGACTGGCTTAAGTCATCGGCTGGCTTCTTCGTAGAGGAACAAAGGAGTTTTAGGTTGACCTAGTTCGATTTTAGCCCTAAGCTCTTTTCATGGAAGAAGAAAATAGGTAGATGCATCAACGCTTGGGAACATTGATTTGTTAACAAATTTAAAATATTTTTTCAAATATAAGTTGATTTTTATATTTTTTTTATAATGTGCGTTTTTTACACAATTTTTAGAAATTTGAACAATTTTTCATTCAAAAATTTCAATTGCAAAATTTGTTTGAAAGTTCATTGTCCCAGCAGCTATGTCGATGCGCCTGGCTGTATTTTTTGCCATGGCTCCTTTTTTATTTACCGATGAAGCCAGCCAAAAAAAAAATTTATGTATTCTCAACTTTAGACATATAGGCTATGTGCAAGCAAGAGTATAGCACAGGCCAAATTAAGTTTAAGGTCGTGGGTCTCTATATAGACGAGCTGACGGACTATAAAGCTTATAAATGGAAAAGCTAATGGGGCTATTTTATATACTTATATATTTCTATCACTTTAAACAAATAATCAACAAAATTGTAGACTGTATTAGACGTTATGCAACCTAACATTTAATTAAAACCCGAAATCTGTTTATGCAATAAAAAGTAATTAATCTAAGATGTAGATGTAGATATTTATATGAAGCGTTTCATTATAAATTGTCCAGTTTATATGATATAGATTCTATTTTTTCTTAAAAGAAAACACTAACAGAGAGTCATCGAAGCTCAAAACGAACGTGTCACGTGTCATCGATAAAACCACAACTTCAAGCTAAACACAGCCGTATCCTTTTTGATGTTGTGTTATTGATAACGCATAACGAGTTTATTCTGCTTTGACCTTAAATACCATATCAGAATGAGCGCTTTGCATGTTATCAATAAAATAAATAGGAACACGGCATTATCGACTCCGAAAATCCATTTTAGGTACTTCTCTCAAATATCTGAGTCGATAAGACCGCCTATTCATGGTTCATACGACTATAGCAGAATGAATGTGTCACGCTTTACCAAAGGCGCTTTTGTTGTTCCATGACCCTCATGGCCATTAGAGTATTCGATATAACCACAATACATGGTAGAAGAATATAGGTAGACGCATCGACACAGCTGCTGAGACAATGAACTGTTAAAATACATTTTGGAATTGAAAATGTTGAATGAAAAATTATTTAAATTTGTAACTATTTTTGAAAAACACAAATTATAACGTGAATGTATCACTGTTGGTGAATTGTAGGAGTCCTAGGCTGACTTAGTTCGATTTTAGACCTATGCTCCTTTGTTCTTTTCCGAAAAAGCCAGCCGATGACTTAAGCAAGTCAAAAAAGCGTTTAATGTATTCTCACCATAATTTCACATATTTTTTATTATCAATATTTATTGCCGTGTGAATGTCAAAATTGCCTTTTTACAAATGACTCAAAATCGTACCACAGATGGATTTTGACAGCAAATTTTGTTTTATATATTTTCACACAACCATGGTAGAATTAAGAAGGTAACCTTAAATTACTTTTATATTTAAGAAATCCACTCGATCTTTAATGTCAATTCCAAAGCGTATACGTCAAATAAAAGCCAGCGGATTTATGAATACGATTTACGTGACGTATACGCTATGGAACTGAAGGTGAGAGTACATAAAACGTTTTTTTGACTGGCTTAAGTCATCGACTGCCTTCTTCGTAGAGGAACAAACGAGTTTTAGGTTGATTTAGTTCGATTTTGGCCCTACTCTTTGTTCTTTTCCGAAGAAACCAGCCGATGACTTAAGCAAGTCAAAATAGCGTTTTATATATTTTCACCTTTACATTTGACATAGAGCGGATGTAGTAGTCTATATGTGCTATTAGCTTTATTAATTTTTATTTCCAAGACGAATGGAAAAAAGTTGCTCTTCATAAAACGTAATAAGTCAATTTTTTGTGGAATGTCTCATATGTTTGTATTTAAGTCATTTAATCATCCTAAGAATCCATTAACGAATATCAACCAGGTTTTTAATTTATTGCATTCCTTTTTCAACCATAGCTCTAATGCAAAATTATTTAGTATAGCCGAGAAACTTAGTCATGGCACAGATAATACCTCTAACCAGTGATTTGCAACAGCTTGCCATTGATGAGTTGGGTGAGGTGCCTTCTCGAATCGCAGATGATTTGGAAGCTCTTAAATTATGGATACAAGCGGAATCACATTTACGCGCCCGAACTGATGATCAATTTTTAATACAGTTCCTACGCGGTTGTAAATATAGTTTAGAGAGGGCCAAAGAAAAAATTGATTTATTCTATTCATTGAAAAGCAAATATCCATCAATGTTTGGTCCCACAGATGTGGATGATATTAAATTCAGAAGCGTCAACAATTTAGGGTAAGTTAAAATCATTTTTGGCAAATTTTTATAAGCTATTTCATTAAAATACTTTTTTAAGATGCTACATTGCTTTACCCGAACCCCTGCATGGAAGTGGTTCTCGAATTGTGGTATTTCGTTTCAATTACAACACTTCGCTATACAGCATTGATGATGCCTTCCTGCCAGGTTCAGCCATGCATGAAGTGATGATCTACAATGATCCGTATGCCTGCATCAATGGCATCGTTTACATTGTGGATTTTGCATTGGCCACTGCCAGTCATTTTCTTCAATTGACACCCAATTTTTGTATGAAAATTATATCGTTTTTCGAAAATTCCATGCCGTTTCGCGTAAAACATATCTATTATTTCAACACCTCTCCTGCTGCTCAACAATTTCTCAAAGTATTGTTGCTATTCTTTTCGGAGAAAATCAAACAAAGGGTAAGAAAAACGAAAAACCCATTTTAAAACAAAATTAAATCTCATTATTCTTTAATTAGATAACGATTTTGGGTCAAGACAAAAAGGAATGGGCTCGGCACATACCAACCGCCTACTTGCCACGTGATTATGGCGGTGAGAATAGCTCTTGTGTGGAGGCGGCCTTGGACTATAATAAAATATGGGATTCATATCGTGAATATTTTAAAGAGAACTCCCAATATGGCGTCGATGAGAGGTTGCGCCAGGGAAAATCCCTTGATATAGATGACTTATTTGGCGTTGGGGGTTCTTTTAGAAAACTTGCAGTCGATTAATTTATAAGAATTTAAAAATATATGTCCAAAATAATTCTTAAGGTGAGAATACATAAAACGCTTTCTTGACTGGCTTAAGTCATCGGCTGGCTTATTTGGAAAATCACAAATTAGTGTAGGGCCAAAATCGAACTTAGTCAACCTATAACTCCAGAAGAAGCCAGCCGATGACTTAAGCCAGTCAAAAAAATGTTTTATGTATTCTCACCTTTATTCTATTTAATAGAATGGAATTTGAAATAAACTATATTCTATAGAAGGTGGTATAAGTTCTTAGAGAACCAATAACGTACTTTAAATTCCAGTGAGAACACGGTATGTTGAAAACCACATGTTTTCATTGGTAATTAAAAACAAGTAAAAAAGCAGTGAAGGTGAGTTTACATAAAGGCTTTTATGACTGACTGGAAAAGAACAAAGAAGCGAAGGGCCAAAATCGAACTAAGTCAACCTAAAAGTCTAAAAGAAGCCAAACTATATCTTTGACTGGCTTAAGTCATCGGCTGGCTTCTTCGTATAGGAATAAAGGCATTTTAGGTTGACTTAGTTCGATTTCAGTCCAGGCTCTTTTTTTTTCTTTTCGAAGAAACCAGCCGATAATTTAAAACAGTCAGAAAAGGCTTTTTATGTACTCTCACCTTAAGTTCGCTCGGGATGAATACCCTCCGACATTTGGAAAAAAATTGAAAATTATCAAAAAAAAAAAAAAAAAAAAAAAAATAATAATAATAATAAAAACTAAAATCTGTTTAAATCTTAAAAATACCGAATATTGGGAGTTACCATTATATTGGGGTCTATTCGAAGAGGTGGACCCGCATAAGCATTTTTTTTGTTTTTGGCCATTACAATATTCAAATACGAAACTTGAAATAATTCTGGTGAAATCTGGGACCTGTATAGATAATTTTCTGTCATAGATGGAAGTACCTGTTAAGAACTTCAAATACTAAGATTGAATAATGTCGCTGAAATCATCAAAATACCGAATATAGGGAGGTACCCATATATGGGGCCTATTCGGAGACCTGGACCTGCATAGACAATTTTCTGTCTTAGACTGTAGTATTCATTGCGAACTTCAAATACAAATTTGAAACAATGCCGGTGAATAAAGTCACTAAAATCATAAAAAAACGAATATCGGGTGGTGCCGTTACATGGGGGCTATACCAAAGCGTGGACCTGCACAGACAACTTTCTGTCCTAGGCTGTAATATCCATTACGAACTTCAAATACCAAATTTGAAACAATTCCGGTGAATAATTTCGCTTCATCAAAAGACCGATAATAGGGGGGTACCACTATATGGGGCCTATACGAAGATCAGGATCTGCATAGACAATTTTCTGTCATAGACAGAAATACCCATTAGGAACTTCAAATACGAAATTTGAAACCATTCCCGTGAATAATGTCGCTAAAATCACCAAAATACCGAATATCGGGAGGTACCATTATATGGGGGCTATACCAAAACGTGGACCTACATGGCACATTTTCAATACAAAAAGTCCTGCAGACATAATATACATTTTAATCAACCTATTTCATTTCGTTTGGAAACTAGAGTGATTTCCACAGACGGGTAGACGGACAGACGGACGGACAACGCTAGATTGATAATAATTTTATGTTGATCAAGAATATATATACTTTGTGGGGTCTAAAATGTATATTTCGAGGTGTTACAAACGGAATGACAAACTTAATATACCCTGCATAATTTGTTGTTGGGTATAAAAAATAATAATACCATGTTTTCATTGGCAATTACAAAAAATAATACCATGTTCTCATTGGCACCATGATTTCCTATTTTATTGGCACTATGATTTCCCACATAATTTTATTGCATTGCTTTTTTCTGAGAATTTCTCAATAGTGTTTTTTTTTAATATAACTTACCCCTGTCTCAATATCTCTATCGCTTTATCGTCGACAAAACGATTTTTATATATTTCAGGTACAACATTACGCATCGCATAGAAATTGTCGACCTTCTGTTTGGTCTTTTCCAGACTATATTTACAGCCGCGTAAAAATGCCACCAACAGTTGATCGTCTGTGCGGGCTTTCAGATGGGGTTGTTTTGAGATCCATTCACGCAGTGTGGCAATATCTTCATCAATGCGTTCGGGTACTTCACCCAATTCTTTTTGGGCATTTTCTGCCAGTTTGGCTGATAGAGGGCGGATTTTTGACATGATTATTTATTTTGTTTTTTGGCTGGAAAAAGAAAAAGCATGAAAAAATCTACGCGTAAATATTAATATGATTGATGAACATTTATTTACAACTAATACAAGTTGGGGAAATGGTAGACAATTCTCCTCATAAATTACATTGGCATTCATATTCAATGTTTTGTGGAAAATACCCTCTTCATGGTTACTGGTCCCAAGTTATCAGTATTATCTTATCATTATCCATGGTAGTTAGCGTCACATTGAACTATATTCTTTTTGTCGTTGTTGTTATAAATAATTATTTTTATTTAGATCATTTGCCATGTCTATAGAGACCTCATTTTTTTTACGTGCGATTATTTGTGTTTGTTTTTGATGCCATCATTTTATTTAGTTTTTTTTTTGTTTTTCAGACGGTAAATTAATTTTAGTGAATTGAGCAAAGCCAAAGAACCATATTTGTCATTGGCAACAAGGTATATAGGTGTCTTCATTCGATGGTTGTGCATTGACATTTGAAATTGATTAGAACTGAAGTTATCAGAAGTAAAAGTAGGACAAAACCCACAGGTCTATGGCGGCTATGTATGATTGTTTGCTGTGATTTTGGAGTGCCAAGAAATACATTCATTTAAATTTGGTTCCCTAAAGGTACATACAACGCTTTTTGACTGGATTAAGGCATCAGCTGGCTTTTTCGCAAAGGAACAAAGGAAAGACCTAAAATGATGAAGACTAGACAAAATGCATTTTGAGCAAATAGTTTGTGTCTATAATACATAGAGTAGCAGGTCATGGCAGAGGCATGATGATATAAAAACCACAATTACAGAAATGAATGACAAGTAAAAGGTGTGAAAAATCCAAAAATGTGTTTTTTAAAATTCTATTCCATTGTCCTTTCCAAATAATTGCATATTGCTTAGCGGTTTAAATCACTTAACATAGGTAACTATGTTGTTATCATGGCAGAAGAATACAGGTAGATGCATCAACGCTTGTGAGCATTGATATGTCAAAAATTAAAATTTTTTTTCAAAGATAAGTAGATGTTTAAATTTTTTTTAAGTAGATTTTTTATATTTTTCGATGTCATTCGGAGGTTATTATAATTCGCGTTTTCAACAATTTTTACAAATTTAAATAATTTTTCGTTCAATATTTTTAATTCCAAAATTGGTTTGACATTTCATTGTCCCAGCAGCTGTGTTGATGCATCTACCTATATTCTTCTACCTTGGTTGTTATGGTATAATAACAGAGGTAAATTCACAGGGTTGCCCTATTTTGACTCTGTCTTGTCCCATCTTTATACTTCTATGCATGGTAGAAGAATATAGGTAGACGCGTCGACACAGCTGCTGGGACAATGAACTGTCAAACCAATTTTGAAATTGAAAATGTTGAATGAAAAATTATTTAAATTTGTAAAAATTGTTAAAAAACGCGAATTATAATAGCCTCCGAATGACGTAGTATAAGAAAACGTATAAAAATCTACTTATATTTAAAAAAACATTTAATTTTTTTTTTGACATATCAATGCTCCCAAGCGTTGATGCATCTACCTGTATTCTTCTACCATGCTTCTATGTCTTTGAACAAAAGATTTTCATTTTGACTTAGTTCGATTTGCTTCTTTGTTTTTTTTTCAAGAAGCCAGCCGATGACTTAGGCCAGCGTTTTATGTAAACGAAACTGGCTTTTTCGTAAAAGAACAAAGAACTCAATGACAGGGTCAGAAAAATTCAAGCAAGCGTGCCTTCGATGAGCATAATTCTCAACAAACTCAGATCAGAATTATTGAAAAGCAATGTAATCAGAGAGTAAAAAAATTGGGAGAGCATTAAATTACGACTCCCTGCCTGGGCCTGCTCTAAGGCTGGAAATACATAAAGCGCATATTTGGCTGGCTTAAGTCATCGGCTGGCTTCTTCGTAAATGAACAAAGGAGTTTTAGGTTGACCTAGTTCGATTTTGGCCCTAGGCTCCTTTGTTCATTTCCGAAGAAGCCAGCCGATGACTTAAGCCAGCCAAATAAGCGCTTTATGTATTCCCAGCTTAAGGCGACTAAGTTGAATTTAGACTCCTCTGTAAATTTAAGAAAAAGCTACAATACATAACATACTTTTTAACTGTCTTAAGTCATCGGCTGGCTTCTTCGGAGTGTAGGACCAAAATCGAACTAAGTCAACCTAAAACTCCTTTGTTCCTCTACGAATGATGACTTAAGCCAATTAAAAAAGCGTTTTATGTCTTATCACCTTAAGACATTTCATTATAGGCATAGTTCTTACTAGTTTTTTACAGGTACCATAGCTTTTTCTATTGTCATATGATTGTGAGACTGTGGCGTGCATGGTAGAAGAATATGGGTAGATGAGAACATTGATATGTCAAAAAAAATTTAAATGTTTTATCAAAAATAAGTAGATTTTTAATTTTTTTTATACGACGCCAATAGGAGGATATTATAATATTCATTTTTCAACATTTTTACAAATTTCAACAATTTTTCATTCAACATTTTCAATTCCAAAATCAGTTTGACAGTTCAGCCATACTATGTTCTCACTGGCATTTGAACTAACTTGTCAGCTATCAAAATTGCGTACACTAAATTATATGTTTTCTTATACGACGTCAACCGGAGGTTCTTATGATATGCATTTTTCAACAATTTTAAAGGATTTGAATAAATTTTCATTAAAAATTTTCAGTTTCAAAATTGATTTGACATTTCACTATTGCAGCAGCTGTGTCGAGTTAAAGGAGTTATGGCCAACATAAGATAATTAGATGTTCATCTATAAAAAAAGACGATTTAAAGCACGCTAAAAATGCGAAATACTTAAGGTGAGAATACATAAAACGCTTTTTTTGACTGGCTTTATTCATCGACTGGCTTCTTCGGAAAAGAATAAAGGAGCCAAAACAAAACTAAGTCAACCTAAAACTTCTTTGTTCCTCTACAAGAAGCGTGTTATGTTTTCTCACCTTTAATAATAAAGGATTTATAGCCAAAATAAAATAATCAAATGTTCCAAACTACAAAATGACGATTCAAAGCACCATAAAAATGCGAAAAACTCAATAGCCAAGGAGTTATGGCCAACTTATAATAGGAAAATATTTATCTTATGGTAGAAGAATAAAGGTAGTCGTATCGATACAGCTACTGGGATAATGTACTGTCAAAACCAATTTTGGAAGTGAAAGTTTTGGATGAAAAATTATTCAAATTTGTAAAAATTGTAAAGGAAGGATATAAAAATCTACTTATTTTTGAAAAAAAAAAAAACAGTTAATAAAATTTGACATATCAATGTTTTCAAGCGTTGATGCATCTACTGAGTTTCTTCTACAAAGGTTCATCCATGTTAAAATTAAGAAGGTAAAGTCATTTCAAATTAGCATACCCATCTCTGCATTTTCTGTAATTTACCTTGTCACATTTCACTTCATAAAAACAGGTTCCCATCTCTGATTTGTGTATGTACAATGGATTTATAAATACAAATTTTGACAGTGAGGTGTTGTCAAATGAATACTTTTTGAGAAAATTGTAAACATATGATTACATGACTTTACCTCCTTGATTCTGGCTTGGGTTCATCTATAAAAACTACGATTTAAAACGCCCAAAAATTGCGAAAAACTCATGAACAAGGTTAAGAGTACATAAACAGCTGGAAGTCTTCGTATGGTATATTTTGTGACATATAATAAAGGGATGCCAGAGTAAATTCTGTTGTCGTTGTTCCTTATAATTTAAGATTAAAATGCCTAGCCATGATGCCAAGCTGCTTATGTGCCCTCACCTTTAGAGTGAGAATACATAAAACGTTTTTTTGAATGACACCTGAAGAAAAAAGCGTTTTATGTATTAAAAAACACGTTTTATGTATTCCCACCTTTAAAAAAAATTTGGCTGGATTTTTCGGAAAAGAACAAAGGAGCATAGACCCAAAATCGAACTAAGTCAACTTTAAACATCTTTTGTTCCCCAAAAAAACCGTATTATGTATTCCCACCTTAAAGAAGTTATGGCCAAAATGTGATAGGATTTTAAAACATTTTCAATTGATAGAAAAACTTTCAAGTTTGTATGTTAGAAAGGACCATTTATAGAAATTTTATAGAAAATAAAAAGAAAACAGTGTTCAGGTTTCTATAGATCGAAAATCTCTTAACTGTCTGTTATCTTATAGCTTTATATATGTTTTATAGATGTTTTACAGTAAACATTAATTTAAATATTATGAATTTATAAACCATTTTTCTCGAGTGTATGCAATGGTGAAATTCTCATAAAATAGATTTCGACAGCCACGTTTCTTTAAGACATAAAGATTAAAGCTTTTTCTTATTTTTATGGTAACAAAAAAGTGTATCTTCTATTAAAATTGTGGGTTACAGGGAAACCTTTATAGCTCACAATGTAACCCTTGTATTTGAACATTAATTTAGCACGTCGACCAAAAATTCTAACTTTTTCGTAAAGACAAAATTTGTTAACTTCCCTGAATAGAAATACCACTGAGTACGTTAAAACTGTACCCTATTTCAAACTTAAATAGTACCAAACATAAATATCCTCCACATTGTCCCATCTCTGGATAAAAAGAATGCTATTTTTTTCAAAATATGTATATTTTGAATTTTCAAAATCCCTTTTTTACAAGTTCCACTGTACACCATTTTGACAACACTTGTAATTTTAACCCTCTTGATGATCATCTATCTACTCTAATTTAAGTGCGAATTCTAACAAATTTTGTGTTAAGGTCAAAACCTCAAGGTCTTGTAAATGTCATTGCAGTCATAAACAATTACAAGTGTTTATATTAACTTTAATGTGATTCATATTCCAATATTATTTAGAATAACAATAGCAATAACAACAACAACGTTTGCACTTATGACACATACTTGGGTAAATTTTCTTCACTTATTATGTTCGTTTTTTCCTCACTTTAATTTATGATTAATTTTGTTGCTTTTCCGTCCGTTTAATATTTCTCGTTCGCACTCGCGTTCGTCTAATATGTATTTCCCATAGAAAAAAAAGCGTATTCTGGGTGTTCGACTACAAACAATACCTTTCGTTGCAGATATTCAACTGACGATCGTTTAGTTTATGCCGGTGATAAAAGACCCCTTCTTGACTGTCCAAAAAAACAGCAACGAAAATTCAGCCAGGTAGAATACTCCTCCAATATGTAGATAAGTGTATTGGCGTGTGTATGTATGGGAGAGTTCTCGTTTGGGGAGCAAATGTCTCTGACATTAGAGATAGCAATATTCAAACACTATTCGTAGCAACACCACCACCACCATCACTACTCCATTCAAATCAGTATCTAATAGGTTCCCAGTACATTTGCCTGGCTGGTTTCAACACTATCTTGTTGAAGCGTGCGTTTCAGAAATTTTTTTGAGTTATTTTTTTTCCTTTACGATAATAAAATGCTATAAAAATTGCACTGAAGTTAAACTTTACGATTGTGAATTGTCCATATGGTCTTAAGTGGATTACTGACTCATATTTACTGATTAGAAAGATTATGTTATATATGAGTTAATAAAATTGAAGTATCTTTGTTCGTTTTTGGAAAAGTTTAAAACAAAATGTCACAATTATTTGAATAATAGAATTCAATATATGTAATTTTTTTAAATTCGCAATTAGAATATTTTTCAAAACTGTCATGGTAGAAGAATATAGGTAGTCGCATCAACGCTTTATAACATTGATATGTTTGAAAATGTTTTTCAAAAATAAGTAGATTTTTATATGTTTTCCTATACGACGTGAATCGGAGGTTATTATAATATGCGATTTTAATTATTTTTTTCCAATTTGAATAATTTTCTATTCAAAAATTGCAATTGCAATATTGGTTTGACAGTTCATTGTCCCAGCAGCTGTGTCCATGCGACTACCTCTATTCTTCTGCCATGAAAACTGCATTATCTTATAACGCGTTTACATAACAATACTCTTGATATAAGCCCATGGTAAAGAATACAGGTAGATGCATCAACACTCGCGAACATTGATATGTCAAAAATATTCAAAAATATCTCCAAAAATAAATTAAACTTAAAAGGTTTTCTTATACGATGCCGTTCAAAAATTGCTATGATATATGATTTTCAAGAAATTTTTACCCATTTAAATTATTTTTCATTCAAAATTTAAAACCCCAACAACGTTTTGACAGCGCATTGTACCAGCAGCTGTGTGGATGCGCCAACCTGTATAATTTTATCATGTATTAGCCCAATCACGAACATTGCACGTAATACGCGTTTAGACACATAATGTTATCTAGATTAAAAGTACATTCAGATTTACGAAATCCACTCGATCTAAAATGTCAATTCTATAGCGTATACGTCAAATCATGGCAGAAGAATACAGGTAGATGCATCAACGCTTGGGAGCATTGATATGTCAAAAAAATGTAAATGTTTTTCAAATATAAGTAGATTTTTATATGTTTTCTTATACGACGTCATTCGGAGGTTATAACTCGCGTTTTTCCAAATTTTTTTTACAAATTTAAATATTTTTTCATTCAATATTTTCAATTCCAAAATTGGTTTGACAGTTCATTGTCCCAGCAGCTGTGTCGACGCGTTTACCTATATTCTTCTACTATGCGTCAAATAATATCCACTGGGTTTATGAATACGTGACGTGATTTACGTGACATATACGCCATGATAGAAGAATATAGGTAGATGCATCATATTTGGGAACATCGATGTGTCAAACATTTAAAAATTTTTGTCAAAAAAATTAAATGTTTTTTCAAATATAAGTGGATTTTTATATATTTTCTTATGTGACCTCAATAGGAGCTTATTATATGCGTTTTTCAACAATTTTTACAAATTTTAATGATTTTCAATTCAAAAATTTCAATTGCAAAATTTGTTTGATGCATCTACCTCTATTCTTCTACCGTACGTCAAATAATATCCAGTGGATTTATGAATACGATTTACGTGACGTATACACTATGGAATTGACATTTGATATCGAGTAGATTTAGTGGTCTTTACGTGCTTTAAAGGTGTTCTTTTCCGAAAACCAGCCAATGACTCAAGCCAGTCAAAAATCTTTTTATGTATTCTCACCTTAACCCACATTATCAGGATTTATTACTTAATCAGGTTCAAGTATATAAAAGGCTTTTTTACTGACGTAAGTCATCGGCTGGCTTCTTTGTGAAAAACACAGGTAGCTTTAGGTGGACTTCATTCAATTTTGGCCCATAATTTACACTTGTTAATCCTACGCATCTTTCCTGTTTTATGAAGAAGCCAGCCGATGACTTAAGCCAGTCAAAAAAGGGTTTTATGTATTCTCACCTTTACCGTGCCATTATACAGGGTGAGATATAAAAACTGCAACAAAGTCAAACGCCATCATTTTTACATTTTTTTTTTAAATTTTATGAATGAAAGCAAAAAATGTCGGAAATAGCAAATCAAATTTTAGACTAAGTTTAAATTTGTTCGAACTGGTCACCTTTGGCACGAATTATGGCATTCAAATAGCCAATGAAATCGTCATACGATTCCCGAATTTTGCTCTGCAGTATTTTGACCTATTCCCGGCGAAGCGCTTGCTTGAGGTGATTTTTTGTGTCCAACGGATTGGTATCTGGAGATTTTGGTGCGCTGGAAATGAAGCGAGGAACCTCATTTTGTAACCATTCTTGGGTGGCGCTGAGTCCTGTTGGAATGTCCAAGGTCTGCGGCCAAAATGTTTGTGTGACCAGGGCTTTAATACACCCTCCAGAATATTTTCGCAATAATATTCGACATTTATTCTGATGCCACGGTCGATTACTACGAGCGGAGAGCGACCTTCGGCCGTTATGGTGGTCCATACCATCACCATGGCCGGCGTTTAAGTTCTGGTGGCCAACCGAAGGTGCACATTTTCAGCTGACCTCCTTGGCATTTTCAGCTGACCTCCTTGGCATTTTCAGCTGACCTCTTTGGCTGACCTCTTTTCGGCCACTGCGACGCGTATCACGCTAACGTGCGATGGTACGAGACACAAAATATTTATTCACATTTAAATGCTGGAGTGCTCTAACGATAGCCACTTGTGGTTTTCCAGCGAAATATAAAGAAATCACACTATCAGGATTGAATTCCATCACGAATAACTGTTTTTCTGGAAAGTTCTCACCAAAATGCTTTTGTACGCTTGTAAACAATATAATGAGCTGTCACTGGAGTAATTTTAATAGCTGTCGGACGAGTGGCTAAGAAATGACAAGCAATCTGAAGTTGGTTGAAGTTTTTTCATCTCATCCAGTATAAATTATGTTCCAAAATTGAACGAAGTCAAGTAAAGCATTCTCACCTTTAGGCCTGTATAGAAGCGTTTTATGTATTCTCACCGTTACGCATGTTCGAAGAATACAGGGAGGCGCGTCAACACAGCTGCTGAAACAATGAACTGTCAAACCAATTTTGGAATTGAAAATTGTGATAAAAAATCATTTGAATTTGTTAAAATTGTCGAAAAATGCAACAACCTCCGATTGGCTTTGTATGAGAAAACACACAAAAATGTGCTTATTTTTGAAAAAAAAAAATAAAATAAAACAGTTTGATATATCAATGTTCCTAATATTAATGCATCTACCTGTATTCTTTACCGTAATGCTGGTATTCTGTCATTTTACTATTTACAATTTTCATGCAAAGGAGAAGAAAACCACATTATTCTCTCAGACATACCTACAGTTACCTCAGTTGCCGGTCACTGACCGACGGAAGTTTCGCTTGACTGATGTACATTTTGTGATTAATTTGCATAAGTTTCCAGACTTTTCTTTCACTCTACGTAATAATGTTATTCAGAGGCGGGTAACGTCACTAATGGTCGTGGAATCAAAATCTTTTACTTTACAATTCGTCTCCATCAATCAAAAAATATTTAAATTGTTTTTGTATTTCTTTGATTTTCACTTGGAATTGATAATAGGAAGACAATCGATGTCCACAAGACAATAGACTCGTTCAATGCCGCACAGTGTGAAGGTCAATTAGCAAAGGAAATGCTGCAAAGCGTCAATCGTTTGGCTGAGCTCTAAGAAATTGGAGATGAAAATCTCATCGTTCACAATGGGTGTGTACGAAAATCCAATAATTTGTAAGGTTATTAAAAAAAATCCAGTAAGTGAGAGAGAGAGGGTGAAGGGAGCCATTTTGACTGCAGAGTTAGTGAAAGTAAATAATTACTAGGAAAAGTAAGAAATCACATCAGCTGACTGAAAATCAGCTGTTTTGTGTCCAATGTAAAAAGGTTTACAAATTTTAGGCAATTATTGTATTATTTTACTACTTTTTTTTAAACATTAAGCATCCAACATAGTATGCCATCAATTACTAATATTAATCTATGAAAATTGCAATTTTGATTGGATTTTCTGAACGAACACGGTAGAATTCGTGATGAAAAATTGGATGGATTTTCTGAAAGACCACGGTAGAATTATATTTGGCTGGAAACCCACAAGTGGCTATCGTTAGAGTGAATAAATCTTTTGTGTCTCCTACCATCGCACGTTACCGCGATACTGGTATTGTAGCCCGACGTCAAGGAAGTGGACGGCAGAAAACAGCAACATCAGCAGAAATGGTTCGAAAAGTAAAGAAGCGACTTGATCGCAACCCACGTCGCAGTGTCCGAAAAATGGCTCGTGAGCTGAACATATCGCAATATACCATTCGGCAAATATTGAAAAATGAGCTCGGGGTAAAGCCATTGAAAATCCAAAAAAAAACGCAAGAACTTACACCGCAACAGAAAGAAAATAGACTCAAAAGAGCTAAAGAGTTGCTTCGCTTGGCCGAAAGTGGTGAACTGCCGAAGTTGGTTTTCTCCAATGAGGAAACATTCGTTGTCCAGCAGTTTGTAAACAAACAAAATGATCGTGTTTACCTGCCAAAGAGATCAGCTGAACATGTGCAGCTTCGGTTGGTCACCAGAACTCAGGCGCCGGTCATGGTGATGGTGTGGGCCGCCATAACAGCCGATTATCGATCTCCGCTCGTATTAATCGACCGTGGCATCAGAATAAATGCCGAATATTATCGCG